AAAATCAACCTTTTTTTTGGGTTTAAACTGACGTCGCAAAAAGGCAGCCACCTGCGTACATCATTAAAATTGCGCCACCGTGCAGTGAATCTGAATAGGCAATTCGGCGGAACAATGAACGTGCTAGAAAATTACGTAACAGAGTGTGCTGTCAAAAGCGTAACGCCAGATATTGGAAGAGAAAGTAAGGTGTGTTCGAATTCCTTGATACTGTTAGTGATTGGAAAGAATTCGGAGTACATTGTTCAATGTCGATTATTTGTGACGATACTCTCAGTCAGTTGAGGGCACTATTTAGGTTTAACGGTCAAGCCTACGCAGGTTTGGTTTGGGGGTTAAACGTACGAAAAGTAGTTCACGCATAAGTAGCTGTTTTGGGCGACGTAGTTCGCCGAAACAGCTCCTGTTAAGTATGGGTGTTCATATTAGGGAGTAATTGCAGAATTAAAGATAAATGTAGATAAATGAAGGGGTTCTTTGCTGTTGTGATTAGAAAGAATTGTATTTGATTACATAATAATTGTACAGGTGTGCAGTGACGATCAGTTGTGTGATTACTTTTAGTTGATTGAGGGCGCTATTCAAGTTTAACGGTCAAACCTACGCGCAGTTTGTTAAGCGTACGAAAAGTAGTCCGCTCAGAATTTGCTGTTTTGGTAACGTAGTTCGCCGAAACAGCTCTTGTCTATTGCGTGTGTTTCATGTTAGGATTAAAAATAGGAATCGCTGCATTTCTTTGATTCTCATTTCGATTGCTTAAAACCAGACCCGCCAATGTCCAAAAATTACCTTTTTTTAGAAAAACAAGTTTTGAAGTTTGATTGTAGCTATAAAATCATGAATTTTAGCATAAACGGTCATCTTTCAGATTTTTGTTACTCATACTTTGTCAAAGTTCATGATGGGGTCTCATGTTCACTTGACCGTGGGTCAAAACCCGCAAAAAAATGACACAACAATGCGGTTCTGGTTACTATGGCAAAATCAGACCACTCCAACAATTACATTTGAACTAAAACTGCTCATGTCAACCATGCCTTGGAGAACTATGTGTGTTATCTAGTGTACGTACCGGCCTGTTATCGACCCTGTTACAAGTACACTTTTTCCAAGCCCTTCTAAATTATCGAACAACCTACAGTTCATAAACCATGGGCAGGGATGTGATAGGTTCATATCTTCGCAAGAGCTTACGATTACTGACTTCTTTTTTTTAATACCAAAACATGGATATGATGACCTTTTTATTTCCTGAAACAAACATTTCCCGGTTTATCGCAGCTTTGTGTAAAACACAAATCAATGACTTGGATCGCATTATTTTAGCGAGTTGAAAAACTCAAGATTTATAAAGTGGAATACATAAATGTGGAACTTGCTGGAATTTTACTCAATCAGAAAAAAATCGGTTAAAACCAACTGGCTCTGTCAAGATGCCACAGGTGAATAGGGACATTTATTACGCAACGGCAGATCTTTTTGGGAGGGGGGGGGGGGGGGGGGGGACAACAGGGGCTATGCTCCCCCCCAAAAAAATTACCGAATTTCTTTGTCTAAACTTGCGTCGCAAAAAGGCAGCCACCTGCGTACATCATTAAAATTGCGCCACCGTGCACCGATGCCATATATGGCCCCTTACTTTTCATATAAATTTCGGGCGGAACATTCAATTGGACCCACTTTATCGTGGAACAAACAAAAAGGTTTGGCCCACCCTAAAACAACTGTCCTGGATTTGGCCTAATACATACGTAGGCGCGAGACCAGCTCTTGGCTGTACAGTCGCGCGACATGCAAGGAATTGTTGATTGCAAGAAGTGAAAAAAAAACAAAAGAAGAATAGGTTGAGAGAGGAGTGGTTCCTCCATCGAGAGTGCAGTTGAATAGGCAATTCGGCGTAACAATGAACGCGCTAGAAAATTACGTAACAGAGTGCGCTGTCAATAGTGTAACGCCGGATATTGGAAGAAAAAGTAAGGCGCGTTCGAATTCCTTGACATTGTAGTGATTGGAAAGAATTCGGGGTACATTGTCCAATGATGATTATTTGTGGGTGATACTCTCAGTCAGTTGAGGGCGCTATTTAAGTTTAACGGTCAAGCCTACACAGGTTTGGTTTGGGGGTTAACCGTACGAAAAGTAGTTCGCGCATAATTAGCTGTTTTGGGCGACGTAGTTCGCCGATCCTCTTAAGTATGTGTTTTCTTATCAGAATTAAAGTTGGACGAAGGGGTTGTTTGCTGTTGTGATTAGAAAGAATTGTTTGTGATTACAAAATTATTGTACAAGTGTGCAATGACGATCAGTTGTGTGATTACTTTTAGTTGATTGCGGGCGCTATTCACGTTTAACGGTCAAACCTACGCGCAGTTTGTTTTTGGAAATAAACGTACGAAAAGTAGTCCGCTTAGAATTTGCTGTTTTGGTAACGTAGTTCGTCGAAACAGCTCTTGTCAATTGTATGTGTTTCATATTAGCATTAGAAATAGGAATCGCTGCATTTCTTTGATTCTCATTTCGAGTGCTTGAGAAAAACAAGTTTTTCTGTGATATCACAAGGCTCTGTGATATTTGAAGTTATTGGAAATGAATATCGATTTATATGCGAAGTGTATGGCATAACAACCAACCTCAGGATGCATGTTTTAGGCTATACATGTATGCACATTTTTGTTTATAAGACACTGTATAAAAAGAAAAACATGCTGGCTGGTGAAAATGAATAATGTGTTTCAGTAGCCCGGCTGGGATTGTTACCGAGGGCGAATTTATTTTGGAAGAAAACCTTTTCGTCATTACTGTGTCTTATAAAGTCTCGACAATGAAAAAATAATGGGATAAAGAAAAACAAAAGTTATGTGGTGTTGACGAAGCATTCGGGGGTCGCGATTGGTTACCAACTCCCATATAGGGCTCTTCCTGGGTCTCGGATTCCCCGGCCCACCACACCTCCTTCCCTTTCCATCCATGTAACCCCGGAGGGCCAAGCACCGTTAAGGGAGGACACGATCGAGGCGACACCCTATGCCTTGCTGCCGAGACAGCAAAAGAGCCCCGTACCTATGAGTAGATGCATAACCTGGACTTCGCAGACAGTCCCATCAGCCGGCGATTTAACTCATTGAGCTATAGGGAATCAGTAACATGTTTACTTTTGTTGAATTCACAAAGTAAATTTTCCTTCAGTTACGCATTTGTCCTTAACTTTCCTTGTCAACCTAACCATACCCTACCCCACCCTTCCTCGCCTCTTCCTTTCACTCTTTAATATTTCATCACCACTGCACCATGGCCCAATAATCAGCACATTGTCACCACATCTTCAGGTTTCCCCTTACGCCGTTTCTCAAGCTAACTATCTTATCTTCTTACATTTTTCTTTCCACATTTGAGCACTTTCAGAGCTGCATTCCACCATCCAAAATGTTTCTCTGCCTCCCCCCCCCCCAGCCCCGAGTCTGTGGTCAAATCCGGGCACGCTATTAATTCTGTCACGAAGGCCCCCTTCAATGGCTACGTCACGGGGCAGTCACTTTGTATATAACAGCGTGCAGGATGCTTTCTCCATTGAAAGGGGCCTCGTGAGTGTACTGTGTGATCACGTGCGCGGATTCGCGCACTGTAACTCCAAAAAGCAACCCCTGAACACTGCCCTCTAGTGGTGATAATGACAACCTCTGTTCTCGGATGCAAAGCTTCCCTCACTTTAACAAAAAATTCAGATTTGTTTAGAAACCAGTTAAATTTGACTAGCTATTTAGGTTCAACTTAGTGCAACTGAAAATCAGTCAATCTGACTAGATTTTTCCAGTCAGTTTTGAAAAAAGTAATGTGCAAATGACTAAACTTGGAGTCAAATTCAACTACTTTTTCTAGTCATAGTTTGAAACTCTGCATGTTTAACTAAGGTCCTAATCAACTTTCAATAATTAAGAATCTAGTCAATGTTTTGACTGCATTTTTTTGTGCTACCGAGTGGTTCATGCGTAAATTTGCATGTCAGGACATGTCGGACGTTCTCCAGGATTTGGCTCCGTGGATAACGCGAACGGGTAATAGATCATTATCATGATGCAGCCATTTGATTTTTTTTCCCATTCAAATCAATGTAACCACAGCGAGGCTGGAGGGAAATATAGTCTGGTTCCTTTTTGCACAAACACATTATCATTCAGTACTGAAATTGGATACAGGGAACATGACTAAAATGGTGGAAGCGTGATATAGGGCTATACTCAAGACTAGTTCAAACTGGGCGATCATGCACTATATCGGACAATAGATGGCGCTTTTCAGGGCGGCGCGCGAAATTCCAAAAAGGGCACTCGCAAAACGCCCCTGGTAAAAAAAAGACCACTTTTTTTGGGGGGGGGGGATGGTACACACTGATGAAAAAAAAATGGCACTTGAGTGGAACAGGGTAGTCTTTACCCAAAAAAATCGGAGGGGTAAATATCCCCTTTACACCCTTGGAAGTCTTAACAGAAAAATTAGGAGAGGGGTGTTAAATACCCCCTTCTCCCCCACCCCATGGCTATGCCTTAGAAAGATGTCCCTCTCTGATAAGAGTTGCCGCAGTAAGTATAAGATTGGAGCAGACCAGTGAGAAAATTGGTTTTCCAAGTATTCAGTAACTTAACCCTCCCTCATTTCCTTGTCTGTTTCTTAAATCTTTATCCTACATCAATCTTTCTTTTAAACTTCACGAATTAGATATTGTTGAAGGGCCGAGATGAGAACCTCATTGAGACAGCAGAAGTAGTCACTCCCCGAAGACGGTAATGACACTAGTGGGGGGGGGGGGGATTTCGTCTCGTTTTTCACAAGTTAGTGCGACTTCTTCCCCCAATCTAGAGGCTGTTAAATTTTATTTTAGTCAACACAGAAAAGTGCTGTTTTGCATTAGCGCACCTGCTGTACATGTTCACTTGTTATCGTTCGGCAAGACCCTAATCCCTCATTCCAAGACACAGTTATTTCTTAAACACTCCACTCTCACGCATATTGCTTTGCTACTTAATTTATTGAAGTCGTTCAGTAAATGTGCAATTTGAAAGTTGAAATAAAAGTGGGAGATAACCTGAACCAATGAAAGAATAACGGTATAGTAAGATACGAGTCTACATTGATGTTTTTATCTAAATAGAAATCATTGCACAGTGTCTTAAGATTTTACTTTTAAAGATCAACTTTGTAGAGTAAAACCCGATCTATTCTAGGAGCAAAAATAGATTAGATTGACACAAAACATGTTTTGATGATGCATAACAAGTTCGTGATCGTATAAGTAAGTGATTGTATCACGGCTGATTTTGTAATCGTATTTCAAACTTCCTATAGTTATCGACAGGTTCATTGCAAGAATAATAGTTCTACCTTCAGGTACCTATTCGGGCTGAAGTTTGTTATAACGCCGAAACTTTACCACCAGATATGCGTACTTTATGACGAAGGTCTACTTAAACCAATATTAATTGTAATATTTGCAGCTTGCTCTGCCACTTTTTTCCTCTCAAGTATTGGACAAAATGCTTTTTTATGACTTTTTGTAAAACCGCAGTAATTTGGTTGGGGTCGTCAAACTAGCTTTTGCTATATACGTGACTATAGTTTCTTAAATTGGTTCGAACAGCCTTCAAACTGAAGTTGATTTTCACTGAGAAATTACGACTTTCTTATTTTAAAAGATAAATGATATAATCGATAAAATAGAAAATAAAAAGCCGTCTGTCCTCGTGGAGAAATTGCAGTGTTGTTTTTAACGCTTTTCCCAAAAGTCTTCATAGCAGTATCATATCATTTGAGGAATAATATTTGGAAAAAAGGCAGTTACAAGATGGAGGTGCGTTCTCGAACCAGCAAGCAACGTCCCTCCTTCTTATTCTGCCATTACATTTACGTCATGCGTTCTTCAGGAACTTGTCCGATTTTTTCCCCGATGTTTTTCTTTTCTTTCAAAACGTCTATATTGTTTGAATATTGTTTGAATCAACTAATGGATTATCAGAAACAATGTGTGATATGCACGTTAGACAACCGGCTATAAGAACATACCACCATTAAACTTCAAAAGAAAAAAAAACAAAATTATTGAAAGACGAAAGAATACATCAAGATAAAAGGAACGACTTCGCTACTAATCTATATTAACTTAACCGGACACAAATGTCTAGCAATATTCCACGATTTCCTCCCAGTAGCATCCCTCGTGGCAACATTACTCATGGATATTGTCGGTATAGTTACGCTTGCCATCTGTAAGAAAAAGAAGACAACACTTAAATTCAATCGTAGATTATCAGGAACAATTTGTCTACATGTACACTGGACTCCGAACCAAACTTGTGACTTATGTACTCTGACTCGTAATGGACTCGACTTACAACACTGGTTTCGAAAGAAAGGTCTAGACAATATTTATGTACCCTTTCTTCTAGGCATAATTGACAACCTACCTGATGTGTGTTCATTTCCTTAGTGGTGGCCGCAGTGGCAGTTGTGGTCGTTTCCCCACCATCCCCGGGAAACGCGGCTCTTCCTTTGTACGAAACACATTGGGAGGTCTCAGTTAAAAGCAGTCACGGACATGTGGGGCCAATCTAGGCCTTCGAGAGGCAATTCAGAGGGAATGCCTTTTGGGCGACAATCCACAAGTCCTACGGATGACAACCACCCAAGACGAGTTTCCTTGAGATTTACTTCGCAACTTGGCGAAATCCAGCAACATAAGTTCAGTGGTTTCCCATGGTGTTCAGTGTTTCTCAGGAACAGTGTGCAACATTCGGTTAGTCTATTTCAACCAGACCTTTTGAACGATCCAAAAATTTCCGTGGATTTCAGGCCGAAGTGCCCCTTTAAGTTAGCCAGTGAGCTATGTAATTTTCTTAATGGGGAAGTGTTAGCGGAAATATATGCGCTGAGCATAATCGTGGTAAGCAGAGAAAATAGTTGTTTTTTAATAAGCAATATCAGGTAACCAACCAATATATACTGCTAATAATGGTGACTGGTTGACAGCTATTTTCTGCTTAGTAAGTAAATTTGGTAAGCACAATTTTCTGCTCATCAAATCATAAACGTTTTGATTACAAAATAATGATGAAATTAGCTTACTTGATCTTCATTGAAGCTGGCATGGGCTCAGCGTCATCTGAATGTCAGAATGCAAAAACCAAGAAACAAACGGTCACAAATAAAAAAAAAAAGGATATAATATATTACACTATAATTATGCACTATGTGACCTGTGTCGTCATATACTAACGGTCAACCCAAACATTAATGATCATCTTTTGTATGCTATGTTGCTCTTGTTATTATTGACCATTTAGGTACCAAGGCCATTCTCAACACTTTCGCTTCGTAGCCACAATAAACGATTAAGAGGTAGGCTGGGCCTATAAAGGGTGACCCTAAATAAATGCAACCCTGAAACAGTTGCTTTCCCCCCCCCCCAAAAAAAAAACCCCGTGATCGGTGAACTTGTACGTTTTGGATATCATTTTTTTTTTTACAACATTAGTTTCGAAAGATGGATCTAGACATGTTATGCACTTTTTTCTTCTTTGCCTATCATTAAGACAAATACCTGAGTTGTCTTCATCTCGCTCGACGTGATGGTGGCAGACGCAACTGTGTCCGCCCCAGAATCGTGTGGAGACGCCGTTCTTCCTCCTATACGAAACACATTCGGAGGTCTCAGTTAATAGCAGTTACGGACATGTGGGACTAATCTATAGGCCTACTAGACACAAATTGTTTTGGTCGGCGGGAAGATCTTAAGTCAATCCCTGAGATGTTGGAGTTTGGGCGACAATCCACAAGTCCTACGGATGACAACCATCCAAGACTCATTCCCTCGAAAGTTACTTCGCAACTTGGCGCAATTAATCCAGCACCATATAAGTTCAGTGGCGTCCCCGGAGCGTTCGGTGCGAAAATGGATGCATCCGCAATCAGTAAGTTGTGTTGAAGTACGAGAACAATACATGTGTTGGTTCATTAAAATGAACGCAGCGTACAGGGTGAGTCAAAAACAGCGAAACCCAAATGTCGGGACTATTGTTTTAGTTAAGTTCTGCATGTAGCACTTTGAAAATCTAGGTATGAAAGCTCAATTCATAACCTTTCTTTTAGTATAAGAATCATTCAAATCACTTATGTACTTTTCAAGTTACGGGGTTTTAAACACAACCACCGTTTTAAAGTTCTGTCCACGGACATTCACGCACATCCCTGTGAGATTTGTTTTCGTTTTGCTGAAAGAACACTTACCTTTTTGTGATCTGAGGACAGAACTTTAAAACGGTGGTTATGTTTAAAATTCCGTAACTACAAAAGTACAGAAGTGGTTTGAATGATTCTTGTACTAAAAGAAAGCTTATGAATTGGGCTTTCATATCCTAGATTTTGAAAGGCTACATGCAGAACTTCACTAAAGCAATGGTTATGACATTTGGGTTTCACTTTTTTGGCTCACCCTGTAGTTATAATGTACGTGCTGATCGAAAAGTCTGCCAACCGTGAAAATTACTCAAATATAATTGCTGGTTTTTTTTCTCAATCGCTCTATATTTTTCTAGCAATATAAATTAATTCACATTGAACGAAAGATTCGAACATTCCCAAAATCAGCCCGTGTTCAGTTACAGAATAATGATTACTCATTCAAACCGTTCTAGTATTATTATTAGCAGAAAAAACCCGAAAACAAAACAGCCGTTTCCGCAAGACGAAAATTGTGTGGACTAAAGGCAACCCAGAAGATTTCAGGCCGTAATACTCCCTTTAAAACTATGTAATTTATGCTTAGTGGGCAAGTGATATCAGAACTATGTGCTGAGCATAATCGTGGTCAGCAGAGAAAATACGTGCTCAGCAATATCAGGTAACCAACCAAAATGCCATGGGATTTATACTGCAGTGACTGGTTGCCAGCTATTTTCTGCTTAGTAGGAAAATTTGCTAAGCGTTATTCTCCTCTCAGCAGGTTTTGATTAAAAGAAAAAAAATTGATGAAATTAGCTTACATGTTTTCCAACACTCCATCTAGCTCATTGCTGTCAATCGCTTGCATTAAGGCCTCCAATGCCTTGGTGTCATCTGAATGTCAGAATGCAAACATCGGAAAAAATGAATGGTCACAAATAAGAAAGGATGTTACACTCTATGGACCATGTGACCTATGACGTCATGCTAACGGAACCCAACGTTTAATCATCATTTGCATGTTTATTTTGCTTAAATTAACCCTTTAATAACCAGGCCATTCTCAACATTTTCACTTCGTGACCACGGCAAGTTTGACAAGCTTTATCGTATAGTGCCCTTACATACATGGACTGCATCATGTCAGTATTACTATAAGGGTCATTAAACGAATTTGAAAATGACAGATATATGCAAGTGTTCTTTCCTCTAAGCTGTAGGAAATTAGGGAATACTTGATACTGTTTTTATTTGGCTTTGACAATTTTATGGTGTTTACATTTTTGTTTGTGTTGTTTTCTTTTCCCAATAATGATTTCTTAGCTGTTGTTTACTTCATTGTTTTTGATATCAACGTTTGAGCAATCTTAAAGCTAGACGTTTGAGCAACTTTGGCGCGACGATGTTCAAAGGGATATACGGTTGTGTCACCACTTTTTCATATTGAAGTACAGAAGAGAACAGTTTGCTGAAAGCAGCACGTGATCTCAACATCCAATTTGTAGCATCACGTGACCACAACGTCCATTTAGTAAACAAATGTAACATGGTCTGCACATACACAAGATGATTAGATGCGAATATTTTCAGTAAAAAGACCTGCAGCCAGTTTCACTCAACGCAACTTACGCCTTGTACACTCAAGGAAAAAAGAAACGCACCACTGACTTTTTTAAAGTTTTGAACATGCTTTCCAAGAATCCAGAAATTAGTATCAGGAGGCGCGCAACATAAACAAAATGACAAAGAAATATGGGAAGAAAAAGAGCCTTTTTAAATATTAGCGTGATAGTATTTTTCTCTCGCGCAGTGCTACAGGCGCATAATGTTGCATTAGAATATAAATGAAAGTCTGTTTCATATTTTTTTTCAAACAGTATTTTCCCCCCAAAAAACCTCTTTTTAACGAACTTTGAATTTGTATGTTTTGTATTAACCACAGAAACTATACTTAATTTATTTATTTATTTTAAATATTTAGACATAAACATATAAAAACAATAATGGTTGCACAGGGGCTAGCTGTCTAGGAAATATACCAACGTTAAAAACTGTCATCCAATGATGTGTATAACCAGACCCCTGACAACAATAAATAAAAGTAAATATAACAAACATTAAAATAGAAAAGAACTCAAATACAAAACCACATACACGAGAATAACAAGAAAACATGTACATCAAAAAAACATGATATTAAAAAGTCAAGAAAAAAATGAAAAAAGTTAAAAATGAACCAGCTAACTTTAAGCACAAAAAAGAAGTTATTAACACAATTTTAAAGGATACCAAAAATATATAACAAGTGAGAAAAAAATTAAGACACAGGGCATCACGACGGAACAAAACGAACGAGGGATATGTAAATGGCAACACAAGACACAAGACAAGACATAAATGAGACAAAAGAAAGGGTGTGACAAGACGAGTAAAACGATAGGATCAAACAATACAAAACAAAACAAAACAAAACAAAACCAAATAAAACCAAATTACACGAGACAAAAAGGGACAAAAGAAAAAACAAGACCAGACAAAACGACACAATTGAAAACGATATTCATATTAGGGTGTCTGCATCTATCCGTTTTGAGCGAGAGCCAAGTTATTGTCTGGCAGCCAATAATTCGAATTTTGTGAAGAAACAACTAAGGCCCAACAAAAAGTCTCCGGTTTCTGATCTGGAGCTTGCCCAAAAGTGGTGCGGCGACGCGGGTTTTTTTTTTTACCTGCAAATGATGCCCAAATGATGACTGCAAATGGTGCCCAACTAAATTAAGTGCAAAATGTATAGGAGCCCAGAGAGGCCTCATAAAAATTATACTCGATCGTAACCCCATCTTAAAAAAACACGTTAAAACTGTGCAGCAGCAGGATTCCAGTCAAACCAGTGAGTTTGGCGGTTTTGAGACACCATCTTACGTTGAAAAAAAATCTTTTTAATTTTGGCGACGCGCATGGCTACGGCGACGCGCGCGCAGACCAGAAACCGGAATCTTTTTTTGGCCTAAACGTCGGTGGATATTTTCGTTCGATGTCTCATTCAAAAGTGAACAACTTTTATATTGCCAGGAAAATAGCAATTGAAAAAGAAATCTATTTGTCGAGCTGAAACTAGAACGTTTCGCGAAGAACGCATGTTTAAAAGAACACAACCATTTTTGGGGGGTTATTATGACCACTGAGTCAGAACTAACGTAAAAGTTCATGTTTCTTCGCGAGCTTGCTCCTTCCAAGAGATTCTGTGGTACGCTAACAGTCTGAACGAATATGTATAAGAATGAAATAGTGAATCTCCGTTCACATATAATAAATCATCAGACAAGGTTCGAACTCCGAACGGTGATCAAAATAGTTCACATTATAAGTTTACCAAAAATGGTACACGAGAGAACCATTCCCGCAGTCTTGTGCACAAGGCACCCATAACCACATTTGAAGATACTTCCCATCCTAAAATTATGGGAAAACATTAAATCATCTCCTTAAAGCTCAGTATTTACCTAATAAAATAGTTTACTACAAAGTGTCTCCTAAACTATACCATTCAATATAACTCTAATAACTGAATTGTCATTGATACGTGTTATAGAGTGTGACTACAATCATTTAGTTGAAAAATAAGTTTTCTTCCTTTTCGAATTGGCTTCGAATAACACCATGGACATCGCCTGGGTGCCTTTTGATTATCAAGAAACAACCCTCTACATACCAATCCGTTTTTATTATTTAAATTTTTTCTGAGTGCGTGTCGTGTCAGCGTCAAAGAATAAAAATACTCACCTTCGATAGCTGCAGCAGCACAAGCCCCAATCAGAAGAAGCAGGATGAAGCACTTCATGGTGATATTGGCAGAGAGAAGCTCAACTATTAACCTTCTTGGTAGAAACTATACCACGCACACAAGGGCCGATAGTAGCAACGTCACGCCAGCTCCGGTTTGGCACACCAGGGAAATCGGCGTGCTTATATGCTTTTTCTAGCCCATGCTGCCCGTGGGTGGGCGATGTGAAGGACTGTTATACATCACGCGACGACAAATATTAGTAAGACTCAGCTAGTTTGTCAACTTTTGAGATGTTGTTGAGGAGGCCTACACCCGCATTTTTGATAATTATTTTACAAAACGGGAAAATTATTTCGCCGTTTTCATACTACATGTAGTAGTTAAGATCAGGTAATTAATCGTGGTTGAATGATTACAATCCTGTAACAAACGTAATTTCACAATTTAGAATTTAATTGGCGCATAAACACTTAAACATGAATTAGGCGCCATATTCTAAGCCAAGAACTAAATTAAAATCCGTTGATGCTTTTAGTTTTTACTGCTGCTTGTTTTTTCTACCACTTGTGAGCTGACTTTCGTGAGAGTAATTTCCGCCCTGTACTTTGAGATAATGGATTTTATTTTAGGAATACAACAAAATATATGCTAAATTTGGATGACGTCAGCCTGGACAATGCTGGAATCGCTTTCGATCGACGTTTTTCCTGCTCCTTGGATTTTTTCCAATGAGGCCAATTCTGCAGCGTATCCAGCGTTTGACTATACCTCTAGGGCGACATTCAACTATTTGTCTTAGAATTGAAGACACTTACAAAGTTTCCCTTTGCAGCTGAAGTCTATAAAAGGCCGATAGTTAGCTCTAGTTCGCAACCATACGGCTACATCACTACGACGGTCACTAAAGCACGTTTTGTAGCCCAATTGGGCGTAATATCCCTTTTAAAAGTTAAGATTAAGGCCTTCTTGCGGAGCCAAATCCTTCATTGGTAGGCCCAGATTAGTCCCACCTGTCCATGCTATTAACTGAGACCTCCACATGTGTCCAATTTGACTTGAAAACAAGTCGGTAATTGGTTGCGGGTTTAGTTCGCCCGCACGCAACGCATACCGCATACAGCATTTTAGCATGTAGCGTGCGGTCATGTCACTAACATGCGGGGACGGTCGGTGCAATACGGTGAGATACCAATTACCTAGACATGTCGAGGCCAGCGCCAGCAAACGATAATAATTATACGATATACAACGCTGTGCTAGTAAATGTCGGGGCGACAGACAAAAAAATGACTGCATAGTGACTTGTCCTCAAGTCTATTGCCCAATGAACTACCCAATGTACTATTAAACGACTGACGTGAACTTTAATTGATCACTGCACGCGAACGACCTTCGCAAACTGACATGAAGTGCCAAATGAGGTTTTCCCCTACCGTTTATATTCAGACATCATTTTCGATTTGTTGAAGTGGTCCTTTTTATTGTTTTGCTGGTATAATTTGTGTCGAGAACACGCCCCTGGCGACTGCCTGACGGGCGCTGATAATTGCATGTGATATTCAAGAGAAACCTAACAACAAAAACATTAGTCTGATTACCAGACCAAAAGATTTTGACTACTTTGGCAAATCTTGTCCATGTAGTCAGAATCTTTAGCAATTGCAATTCATGTATGAGCTCCGTGCGCTACCAAAAGAGGGCACCCTTTTACCTAACAACGACGCCCCATGGGCAGCACATTTCACTGGTTGACGCGCAGTGGCCGCGCTTCGCGGCAAATGAATTGCAGTCAGGTAAGATGGCGTCAGTCGGTCACCCCCAACTGTACTTTCTTTGCCGGTGAGGGGGGTACTTGTGAACGGAGCGGACAGATACCAGGCAAAATATCGTGCGATTGTATTAGTTAACACCAGCATAGCTGATTACTGCGTAGTATGTGCACTCTTTACGGCATTCTTTTTTTCCGCAGGTTCATTTTGGATCCCCAGAACTGGGGAATCAGTAATTGATCACATGCATGACTGTAATTATCTGTAGATAGTCTCGAACCTCCGTGAGCATGGAAACAGAAAAGGCTTTAAAAAAGAAACTTGCAACAAAGTGACCATAGCTATTAGTTTATTCCGGTGTGTGAACATTGCACTGGAGCCAGTGGCGTGCATCTGGGGTTTAGCGTGGTGGTGGCGGGGCGCACTGGATGGCGGAATGCAGCACTGAAAGTGCTCTTACATGGAACAAGAAATAAAGGGAAACCTAAAGATGTGATGACAATGTGCTGATTATTGGGGTCATGGTGCAGTGGTGATGAAATATTAAACAGTGAAAGGAAGAGGCGATGAAGGGTGGGACAGGGTGTAGTTGGTTTGGAAAGGAAATTTAAGGACAAATGTAGAACCAGATATGGAGGATACAGGGTGAAAAGAAAGACAGGCCACTCCAAAATACCAGCACATTCTATCCAATTACAATCGGACGGCACTAGAAACATTTCCTGGTGTAATTTGTGTCCACATATGAAAATATATTTTAGTGTTAGAAAAAAAGTCTGATTATTCAGTTATTCATTTACTTTGTGAGTTTGATGGATCGAGCTGTTTAAACATTTCTGTCCACTTTCGGGTTATTTGATCCACGTCAGAATAAACAAGCAAGACATGAATTTGGTAAACCCCGGAAATAAAGAAAAATAATTACCATTGTTATGTTTCATCTCTGAAACAATTTCTAATTTCAACAAAAGTAAACATTTGGACTAACATCAGGTAACTCCTTTTTCCGCCCTGAGGTAGAATTGCAGGTAGTGCCCATCACATCCACAAACATGTCCCAGCAAATCACGCGTTTTTTTGGTCGCAAAGTTTCCCTTTGCAGCTGAAGTCTATAAAAGGCCGATAGTTAGCTCTAGTTCGCAACCATACGGCTACATCACTACGACGGTCACTAAAGCACGTTTTGTAGCCCAATTGGGCGTAATATCCCTTTTAAAAGTTAAGATTAAGGCCTTCTTGCGGAGCCAAATCCTTCATTGGTAGGCCCAGATTAGTCCCACCTGTCCATGCTATTAACTGAGACCTCCACATGTGTCCAATTTGACTTGAAAACAAGTCGGTAATTGGTTGCGGGTTTAGTTCGCCCGCACGCAACGCATACCGCATACAGCATTTTAGCATGTAGCGTGCGGTCATGTCACTAACATGCGGGGACGGTCGGTGCAATACGGTGAGATACCAATTACCTAGACATGTCGAGGCCAGCGCCAGCAAACGATAATAATTATACGATATACAACGCTGTGCTAGTAAATGTCGGGGCGACAGACAAAAAAATGACTGCATAGTGACTTGTCCTCAAGTCTATTGCCCAATGAACTACCCAATGTACTATTAAACGACTGACGTGAACTTTAATTGATCACTGCACGCGAACGACCTTCGCAAACTGACATGAAGTGCCAAATGAGGTTTTCCCCTACCGTTTATATTCAGACATCATTTTCGATTTGTTGAAGTGGTCCTTTTTATTGTTTTGCTGGTATAATTTGTGTCGAGAACACGCCCCTGGCGACTGCCTGACGGGCGCTGATAATTGCATGTGATATTCAAGAGAAACCTAACAACAAAAACATTAGTCTGATTACCAGACCAAAAGATTTTGACTACTTTGGCAAATCTTGTCCATGTAGTCAGAATCTTTAGCAATTGCAATTCATGTATGAGCTCCGTGCGCTACCAAAAGAGGGCACCCTTTTACCTAACAACGACGCCCCATGGGCAGCACATTTCACTGGTTGACGCGCAGTGGCCGCGCTTCGCGGCAAATGAATTGCAGTCAGGTAAGATGGCGTCAGTCGGTCACCCCCAACTGTACTTTCTTTGCCGGTGAGGGGGGTACTTGTGAACGGAGCGGACAGATACCAGGCAAAATATCGTGCGATTGTATTAGTTAACACCAGCATAGCTGATTACTGCGTAGTATGTGCACTCTTTACGGCATTCTTTTTTTCCGCAGGTTCATTTTGGATCCCCAGAACTGGGGAATCAGTAATTGATCACATGCATGACTGTAATTATCTGTAGATAGTCTCGAACCTCCGTGAGCATGGAAACAGAAAAGGCTTTAAAAAAGAAACTTGCAACAAAGTGACCATAGCTATTAGTTTATTCCGGTGTGTGAACATTGCACTGGAGCCAGTGGCGTGCATCTGGGGTTTAGCGTGGTGGTGGCGGGGCGCACTGGATGGCGGAATGCAGCACTGAAAGTGCTCTTACATGGAACAAGAAATAAAGGGAAACCTAAAGATGTGATGACAATGTGCTGATTATTGGGGTCATGGTGCAGTGGTGATGAAATATTAAACAGTGAAAGGAAGAGGCGATGAAGGGTGGGACAGGGTGTAGTTGGTTTGGAAAGGAAATTTAAGGACAAATGTAGAACCAGATATGGAGGATACAGGGTGAAAAGAAAGACAGGCCACTCCAAAATACCAGCACATTCTATCCAATTACAATCGGACGGCACTAGAAACATTTCCTGGTGTAATTTGTGTCCACATATGAAAATATATTTTAGTGTTAGAAAAAAAGTCTGATTATTCAGTTATTCATTTACTTTGTGAGTTTGATGGATCGAGCTGTTTAAACATTTCTGTCCACTTTCGGGTTATTTGATCCACGTCAGAATAAACAAGCAAGACATGAATTTGGTAAACCCCGGAAATAAAGAAAAATAATTACCATTGTTATGTTTCATCTCTGAAACAATTTCTAATTTCAACAAAAGTAAACATTTGGACTAACATCAGGTAACTCCTTTTTCCGCCCTGAGGTAGAATTGCAGGTAGTGCCCATCACATCCACAAACATGTCCCAGCAAATCACGCGTTTTTTTGGTCGCAAAGTTTCCCTTTGCAGCTGAAGTCTATAAAAGGCCGATAGTTAGCTCTAGTTCGCAACCATACGGCTACATCACTACGACGGTCACTAAAGCACGTTTTGTAGCCCAATTGGCCGTAATATCCCTTTTAAAAGTTAAGATTAAGGCCTTCTTGCGGAGCCAAATCCTTCATTGGTAGGCCCAGATTAGTCCCACCTGTCCATGCTATTAACTGAGACCTCCACATGTGTTTCGTACACAGGAAGAACCGCATCCAATGGGGCTTTCCGCACGTCCACGTACACCCGCCCCACATCGCCTGGGGTTTACCCCACGTCCACTTACACCTGCCTCACAAACGAGATGAAAGCAACGTGAAATCAGGTTATTTGTTTTAATGATAGACCATGTTTATGTCTAGACCCTTATTTCGAAACCAGTGTTGTTTCTAGTCAAGTCCATTACGAGTCAGAGTACATGTACATGAGTAAATCCATATCCCTAAACACTGCCCTCTAGTGGTGACTGGTGAAAATGGATGCATACAATCTCTGTTCTCTGGTGTGAAGCTTCCCATTATTCCAAATCCCTGAACACTGCCCTCTATTGGTGATAATTGGATGTATACAATCTCTGTTCTCGGGTGTGAAGCTATTTCCCATTAGTTTGCGCTAGCCTACCGAGTGGTTCTTGGGCTCAAAGTCACCCTCCCCTTGTGCCCCGCCCACACCCAATTAGGAAAGGTGAACATGAGATTTGCATATTTAAAAAAGTCATTGAGTGCCACCCCTCTCCATGAATTAAGGACCTCTAAGTTCCCCTCCCCTTCGAATTGGACCCCCCGTTACAGCCACTGGGGCTGGATGAAAGCACTGTGCGAAATGTTAGCACCGAAGCGCACAGACTATAATGCTCTAGAGATGTCCCGTTCTGATTAGAGTTGCCATAAAGTGAGCGTTACATTGGATAATGGGCCAGACCAGTGGGACAATTGGTTTTCCAAGTATTCAGTAACAGAATCCTCCCTCATTTTCCTTGTCCGTTTCTTAAATCTTAATTCGACTTCAATATTTCTTTTAAACTTCTCGAATTAGATAGTTTGGAAGGCCGAGATGACAAGCGCAGTCAGGCGGTAATGACACTGATTTAGTTAGTGCTACTTCTTCACCAAATCTAGAGGCTGTTAAATTTCATTCTAGTCAAACCAGAAAAGTGTTGTTTTCATTCTATATTACTATATTAACACACCTGCTGTACATGTTCACTTGTCATCGTTCGGCAAGACCCTAATCCCTCATTCCAAGACACTGTTATTTCTGAAACACTCCACTCTCACAAAGATTGCTTTGCTACTTAATTTAATGAAGTCGTTCAGTAAATGTGTAATTTGAAAAGTTGAAATAAAAGTTAGAGATAACCTGAAGCAATGAAAGAATTACGGTAGTAAGATACGAGTCTACATTGATGTATCTGTCTGTAAATAGAAATCGTTGCACAGTGTCTTAAGATTTTACTTTTAAAGATCAACTTTGTAGAGTAAAACCCGATTTATTCTAGGTCTTTAAAGCAAAAATAGATTACATTGAAAGTTTTGTTGAAGTATAACAAGTTCGTGATCGTATAAGTAAGCGACTGTATCACAGCTGATTTTGTAAAAGTTTCTTGCTAAAAGTGACTAATCGACAGATTTATTACAAAAGGTCTACCTGCCGGTAACTATTCGGACCGAAGTTTGTTATAACGCCGAAACTTTACCAACCGATATGGGTACTTTATGACGAAGGTCTACTTAAGCCAAAATTAATTGTAATATTTGCAGCTAGGGCTCTGCCATTTTCTTCCTTTCGTGTATTGGACAAAATGCTTATGAATAACTTTATGTAAAACCGCAGTTGCAGCGGGTCGTCGAACTAGCTTTTGCTACTAAAGTTTCTTAAAATGGTTCGTACAGTCTTCAAACTGAAGTTGATTTCACAGAGTAATTACGACTCTCTTATATTAAAATATATACGTGAACAAATTAATCAAGAAGAAAAAAATAAAAGCCGTCTGTCCTCGTGAAAAAAATTGCAGTGTGGTTTTTAACGCTTTTCCCAAAAGTCTTCATATCAGTTTTATATTACTTGAGGAATATTATTTGAAAAAAGGCAGTTACAAAATGGAGGTGCGTGCTCGAACCAGCAAGCAACGTCCCTCCTTGTTATTCTGCAATTACGTTTACGTTATGCGTTACTCAGGAACTTGTCTGGGTTTTTTGCTGTTGTTTTTTCCCTTCAAAATCTACCAACGTGGTAAGTTATTGTTTGAATATGTTTGAATCAAATATTGAGTATCAGAAACAATGTGTCATATGCACGTTGGACAACAGGCTTCAAAGAAATAACAAACAAAAACACCACCTTTTAACCTCAGGAGAAAACAATAAGCAAAATTGCTGAAAGACGAAAAAATATATCATATCAAGATAAAAGGAACGACTTCGCTACTAATTCTACGTTAACTTAGCCGGGCACCATGCCCGTTCAGGCCGTGTATCTTGCCGTGTTCTCTAGCAGTACTCCAAGATTTCCTCCCAGAAGCATCCCTCGTGGCAACATTCCTCATGGATGATGTTGGCCTTACGCTTGCTAGGACTTGCCAGGAAGGTATTAGCGTCATCCTCGGTCAGAAACGCATCTGTAAAGCAAAAAGACACCACAATATTTGTTTCAGTCGTTGATTATTAGGAACAATAATGATTGAGCTACATGACTTGCGTACTTGTGACCATGGAGGAAGGAATATATTGCATATTCCTTCCTCCATGTTGTGACTAGACTCATGACCGAACTTGTGATTTACTCCTGTACTCTGACTCGTAATGGACTCGACTAGAAACAACACTGGTTTCGAAAGAGGGAGCTAGACATGTTATGTGTTTTTTTACCTGAATTGTCTTCATCCTCTCGTTTGTGGTGGTGGTGTCTTCCAGGGGGGTGACAGACGTAGTGCTTCCTGGCGGCAAGTGTACTTGAACTGCATACCCACATTTGTGGGCCAGTCCAGGCCCTTTATAAAACAAAACAAAAACATTCGGAGGTCTCAGTTTAATAGCAGTTATGGACATATGTGGGACTAATCTATATAAGCCTATACTGAAGGCATTTGGCTATTTGTTTTGTCAGCGGGAAGGCCTTTTACAAAAACAAATTCATGAAAGATTGGTGGGGGGGGGGCGACAATCAACAAGTCTTGACCACCACCCAAGCCTCATTTCCTCGAGAGTTACACAACGCAGCTTGGCGAAGTCCAGCGATTAAAGGCAATATACAACATTTGCAAACATCGAAAAATACAACTACCAAGTTTTTACGAAATACCTTACTAGGATGTTGGTAAATGACAGTCAAAAGCATCCTATAAAATTATGGCACCTGGTGTGAAGTCATTTTCAAGAAAATTGTATTTTTGTATACATTTCCAACGGTAGTCGGCCGACCACCGTTGGAAAAACCTAACTATTTTTCAACTACTGCTCCAAATTTAATTTTTTTTCAGTCCAAATTTTGTTTGCTATTGGTTACATGTTCATGAACGGGTGCATGCCAGCTAGACTGGTTCCCTTACCTTACAATTTTCTGACAACTATAAATTGATCAATTTTATCTTTAGTGGAGTCAGGGAACCAGACTACTTAAACATTTTTTGTTTTTCTTGGTTTTCAAGCATTTTCGAAACACAAAACTTCAATCAATGTCAGTTAAACAATATTTAATCTATTATACTAACCCCTCAAATAGTTCAATTCTGAAAATTACAGCAAAAGCCAATGATGTACATTCCCTTTAAGTTAAGTTCAATGGTGTTCCTAAATCGCTCGGCGTGAAAATGGATATATCCGCAATATGACCAATACCTGCGTTGGTTCATTAAATGAAGGCAGTGCCATGCTAGTAATACTGTAGATCGAAAAGTCTGCCAAACTTGAATTTAATCAAACATAATTTCTTTTTTCAATGGCTCCATTTTTCTCTAGCAATACAAAAGTAATTCACTTTTAAACGAGAGATTCGGACGCCTTTAAATCGGCCCGTGTTCTCTTATGGAATAATAATTGATTTACAAACCCATTCTTGAAATTATTATTTTCGGCTCGGGACAAAACAAAAGTCCGTTTCCGCCAGACGGAAATTGTGTGGACTAAGGCAGAAAAGAATCCTCTTTCGCGGGTTTGCGGGCGCCGTGTTTATCAACTAATTTTTCTTTATAATAAGACATACGAAATGACAATTCATTCGGATAAAAAAAACCCGCATATTTCTCTTAAATTCTTAAGTTAGCTAGCGAGCTATTTGATTTATGCTTAATGGGCAAGTGATAGCGGAAACTATCGTGATTAGCAGCGCCAGGATGTTTTTCCAGAAGCAAATGTCATGGAGCTACTGAGCATGAAATAGTGGTAAGCAGAGAAAATACGTGCTTATAGCATTATCAGGTAACCAACCAAAATGGCATGGGATTTATACTGCTTGTGACTGGTTCTCATCTATTTTCTGCTTAGTAAGTAAATCTGCTAAGCATTGGGTTCCGCTCAGCAGATCATAAAAGTTTTGATTTTTTTTTAAAGGAAATGGAAATTTGCTTACACAGAGAATCCGCTCTTGGTCTCCATCTCTCCGTCCTCATTGCTGTCAATCTCTGAGTCTGCCAATGGCTTGGGGACATCTGAATAGATATGTCAGAATGCAAACATCCACAAATAAATGGTCACAAATAAATAGGGTGTTACACATGCAGTATCCGGTTCGTAAGTGCCTGCGTCATACACGCGCACGCACCACTGATAACTTGCGCCCATTGGCTAAACACGCCACGCCACTTCCAATGGTTCAAAATGATTTTCAATGCTACTCCGTGTGTGGTAGGCGTGGTTTAAGTTAAAATTACGTCACACCGGCCAACCGATCCCGTTAGCTCGGTGGTCGAGTGGTAAGACATCTGCACTAGAAAGCAGGAGGTCGTGGGTTCGAGTCCCACCCGAGTGATTTTTTCCAACTTTCACTCGGGAGGTAACACAGTGTTTAAACGTTGGTGAAGGGCAAAACCTAATTTGATTTATATCACCCCGGCGCAAAAAAATTCCATCTTATAATGCGTCACACTTACGAACCGGATATGGACCATGTGACCTGTGACGTCATAGCAACGGGCAACCCCAACATTTAAGCATCTTTGGCATGTTACGTTGCCCATATTACTGTTTATGTCACCACTTTTACACACTTCCAGAGGTACGCATGCGCAGTGCATGCAGAACAGAACAGTTTGCTGAAAGCCAACAACATCCAATTTGTAAACAAAATGTAACTTATACGATTTGAGGCTTTGCAGTGTAATTACGAACTCTGAGGAGTAACCAATGTAACCGCCATGTGTATATAGGATTTACGTAAAATGTAACATGGTCTGTACACAAGATGATTAGATAAAAACATTTTCAGAAAAAGGGCCTGCAGTCAGTTTCACTCAACGTAGCCTACGCCATGTGTATGTAGGATTTACGTAACAAGTCTTGCTGCACAACTTCCCATTTTTTGGTATATCCAGAAATTATTATTGTCAGGAAGCGCGCGCTTTAATTAAAAAAACAACGGTGACAGAAAAACAAATCAAAACAAAATGAACAAAGAAAGAACACAAAAAAAATAAACCTATTCATCACTAGCGTGTGAGTCGTTTTGTGTGTGTTAATTTGTGTTAAGTTGATATAATAAGTGTTAATTTGATATAGGTGCAATTATTGAATAACAGTGGTGATAATAATGTTGTATACATAACAAATTTACCAAAAATGGTATTGGGGAGACATTCCCATAGACTTGTGCACAGCGAAAACCAACAAAACAAAAACTGCTCTTACTCCACTTGAAAATGTTCCCCCTCCCCAGACTTTTTAATTACACTATTCTCGCCAGTATTTTGAGACGACAGAATTCGTTTTAGAAATGGTTGTTTAGGCATTAGGGAGATACTTAAATGTCTCCCTAATGACCAGTGTCTCCCTATGGGCATTTCTTTTCATATCTTTGGTTCTCCTTTCCGGACGACCGACCCGTTTTGAGCTCGCGACCCTAGAAAATAACAATTACTACCGCCGACCCTGCATGTCTGAAACCCCATTAACAAAAAAAATAACAAAAAAAAAAATATCATAAATGACTGTAAAATTCAGGCAATCAGGCTGTGTTATTTGAAAAGCTATTGAAAATGAATACTTTATTTTGACGCTAAGTACGTGGTATAGCAACCAGCAGAATCCCTGAAGATGAGAGGGTGTTGCCTCTCATCATAGGTGTCTATACAGGGTGAGAAAAAAAAACAAAATATCGGGACCATTGTTTTAGTGAAGTTCTGCATGTAGCACTTTCAAAATCTAGGATTTAAAAGCCCAATTCATAAGCTTTCTTTTAGTTTAAGAATCATTCAAATCACTTATGTTCTTTTAAAGTTACGGAGTTTTAAACACAACCACTGTTTTAAAGTTCTGTCCACGGATCACAAAAAAGGCGTGCGTTCTTTCATCAAAACGAAAACAATTCACACACATCCCTGTGTGATTTGTTTTCGTTTTGCCGAAAGAACACTGAACTTTTTTGTGATCCGTGGACAGAACCATAAAACTGTGGTTGTGTTTAAAATTCCGTAAATTAAAAAGTACATAAGTGATTTGAATGATTCTTTTACTAAAAGAAAGCTTATGAATTGAGCTTTTATATTCTGGATTTTGAAAGTGCTACATGCTGGACGTTACTAAAAAAAAAAAAAGTCCCGACATTTTGGTTTCGTTTTTTGACTCACCCTGTATAGTATACTTTTACTGGGCATGGCTGCCACTATAGCTAAACGTCAGTGAACTCGGAGCTGCTTGGTGCATATATTATAATGTCAGACAATATTACGTCTTGCCAAATAGGGCTTTATTATTTTATTCAGTGATATCAACTCATGAAAACTACAGTAAACAAAACTAGACTATAGATTGGGGCGGAGTAACGTTTTCGGCAGTTGCTAATTATGTTACCATTCAGCATTCCAGGCTCAAGAACCATTGAGTTTCAAACGTCAGTGAACTCGGAGCTGCTTGGTGCATATATTATAATGTCAGACAATATTACGTCTTGCCAAATAGGGCTTTATTATTTTATTCAGTGATATCAACTCATGAAAACTACAGTAAACAAAACTAGACTATAGATTGGGGCGGAGTAACGTTTTCGGCAGTTGCTAATTATGTTACCATTCAGCATTCCAGGCTCAAGAACCATTGAGTTTCAAGAACATAGGTCTGGGAGCTAGATAAGCCATTGTAAACAAAAACAAAAAAAATCCCAGATGTCCGCGCCCAACTATACGCACTTGCTGTCATTTCATTCAATCATCTTTATAGGTGGCACTGAACTTTTGTTGCTGCAGATTTTGTTTTTTGACCGACTGACAGACCGGCCGACCCTACTTAAGGGGCAAAAAAATATACAACCATAAAAGGAAGCCTAAATGTACAGTAATTTACTACAAAGTATCTCCCTCGGGTACCATCTAATTGTGTAACTCTAATAACTTAATTGTTACTGATAGGCCTATACGATATAATAATCTGTTTTAGGATAGTGACTACACTCGTTTAGTCAAATAAAAGGGTTTTCTTCCTTTGCGAATTATTGGCTAAGAATAAGACCATTGACATCGCCCGGGCGCATTCTTATCACAATCGTATATCAATCATTATTTTGTTTACCTTATCTATCATCATTGTGTCAGTCAAAACAAAAATAGAGACCCAGGATAAATATACCCACCTGCAATAACTGCTGCAGCACAGGCCCCAATCAGAAGAAGCAGGATGATGCGATTCATGCTGATGAGAAGCTCAACTATTCACCTTCTTGGTAGAAACTATACCACGCAAACAAAGGCCGATAGTATAGCAACGTCACGCCAGCTCCGGTTTGGCACACCAGGGAAATCGGCGTGCTTATATGCTTTTTCTAGCCCATGCTGCCCGTGGGTCGGGCGATATGAAGGACTGTTATACATCACGCGACGTCAATCATTGGTATGAAAATTAGTTGGCCAACTTTTGAAACGTTTTTGAAGAGACCTAGTACACCCGCATTTTTTCTCCAAGTGTAATTACATAAACCCCGTTTTGATAATTATTTTACAAAATGGGAAAATTATATTAACTGTTTTCATACTGGTAGCTAAGATCGGATGATCAACCGTTGTTGAACGGTTGTATTTACAATCCAATGAAAAACACATGCCTCGCACAGTTTGGACACTATGTGGTGAAACACTTGAACACGAATTAATGTTCCAAAACGCGACTGAAATGAAAATCGGTCGATGGCACGTTTCGTATAAACTAGTTTATTGAAAACCAACAAGTTTTTACTACTTTGGTACTACTGCTTTTTTCTCTACCACTTGTGAGTTGACGTCTGTGGGATTAATTTCCGCCTTGTACTCAGAGATAATGGATTTTTTATGCTTGCAAAAAAAACACCTAGAATCGCATTCAGTCGACGTTTTTTCAAAGAGGCCAATCCAGCAGCTTATCCAGCGTATGGTTGCGAGACCGCCCTTTTGGAAAACATGCAACGATTAGAATTGAGGTCACTTACGATACAAAAAATGGTGCATGTAACCCCTCCATATTTGCTAATTTACAACTAAAATCTTCTACGGATGTTTACACCATCTTCAAAGTAATATATTTAGCTTGAGAATACGGTTTGTTTCATTGAGATTGCTTTTGTAAATCCAAAGATATGTTTGAATAACGGCAAAGCCAAGAAACCCATTTTGTGCCACTTTCTGTGAAGCAGTTAAAATCAGTATTATAGTCCTAATCTAAAACGAATTCACTTTACTGTTAGTCATTTTGACATTTTTAAGCAGAGTGTGCAGTAATTATTTATCTTTAATTGAACTCTATCATTGAAGTTGTAAAGAAGTGAACCTGTCTGTACTATTAAATTGTTTCAACATAAGAACAAAATATTGTCGTGTGAATGGAATATTTGTCTTACACCCATAGGGATCGATAATCTTATCAAAAGAGCCATACTGGCATTGCCTGATCTTTGAAGCACTCGCTTCCTAAAAGTGGCACAGAATGGTGGGGGTGTGGCTTTGCGGTTATTCAAACGTATCTCTGGATTTACAAAAGCAATAAACAAACGGTATCCTCAAGCTAAATCTTTAACCTTGAAGATCGTGAAAATATTAACAGTAAATTCCGGTTGTAAATTGGCGAAAATGGCGGGGTTTACATGCACCATTATTTTCAGGACACCCTGTAGTACCCCGTTGCTTTATGAATTGATTTATAAAGCCGGAACAACAAAGGTTGAAACAAAGCTGTTGGAACGGGTTGTTCTGTTGTCCTTTTACTCTTGTCGAATTAGACTTGAAATTAAGTCGGTAACTGGCCAGGTTCAGTTCGCCCGCCATGCACCGTCTATACCGCATACATGACATACCCGTCCTATGGTATACGTGTAGCGTGCGGTCAAGGCAATAGCATGCGGGGACGGTTCGCGTTCTCAACCCTAATTTGCGCGTAGGTCGATATGTAACATATCGAGGCCAGCAAACGATGATAATATACGGATAAACAGCGCCGTGAAAGAAACTATCGGGGGCACCGACGGAAAAAATGACTGTCTAGTGAATTGTCCTCAAGTCTATTGTCCAATGAACTACCTGATGTCAAATTAAACGGGCATGAAGTGCCAAATTAGGTTTTCCCCTACCGTTTACCTCCATTCAGACATCATTTTTTCGATTTGTTGAAGTGGTCCGTTTTATTATTTTGCTGGTATAATTTGTGTTGAGAAGGCGTCCCTTTTGACTGACTGACAGGCGCTGATAATTACATCTATAGTCGAAGAGAAACATAAAAAAGAGTATCAGTCTGATTACCAGACCAAAAGATTCTGACTACTTTGACAAATCTTGCCTTTATAGTTAGAATCTTTTTGTCTGGGAACCAGACTAATACAATTGCCTCGCACTTCACATAGGATACCAGCCAAACTATCGTGCAGTTTTATCATTTAACACTTATAAAGCTGATTACTGCGTAGCATGTGCTCTCTTTACGTTATTATAATTAATTGTTTTCAGCAGGTTCATTTGGATCCCCAGAACTAGGGAATCATCATTTGATCACATGCATGACTGTAATTATCTGTACTGTAGATAGTCTGGAACCTCCGTGAGCATGGAAACAGGAATGGCTTAGAAATACTTGGTGACCATTAATAGTCCGGTGTGTGAACATTGCATTGGAGCCAGTGGTGTATATCTGGGGTTTAACGTGGTGTGGGGGTGGAGGCGCACTGGGAGGGGGGTCAACATATTTACTTTTGTTGAAATTAAAAACGTTTCAGTCTTAGATAAAACATAACAATGGTAATTATTTGTCTTCATTTCTGGCGTTTATAAAATTCATGTTTTGCTTGTTTATTCTGACAAACATAACCTGAAATGGAAAAAAAAATATGTGCAAATAGCCTGATCCATCAAATCCATCAAACCCACAAAGTAAATTTACTTCTTATCTTAAATATCAGAATTTTTCCAAATAATTGTTTTCATATGTGGACACACTACACCAAGAAATGGTTCAAATTTTAGTTGAATGATCTGGTATTTTGGAGTAGCCCTGTCTTTCTTTTTACCTGTATCCTCCATTGCTGGATCTGCATTTGTACTTATAAGCTTAAGTTGTTAAGCTAAGCTGTAAGTTTCCTTGTCAACCCAACCATATCTGTTCCTTCCCTTCCTCGCCTCTTTCTTTTACTTTTCAATATTTCATCACCACTGCACCATGACCCCAATAATCAGCCCATTGTCATCACATCTTTAGGTTTCCCCTGACCCCTTTTTTTATCAAACTAATTGTCTTATACTCTCACATGTTTTGTTCCATGTAAGAGCACTTTAAGTGCTGTATTTCGCAACCCAAATGTTTACCTATAAGCACCCCCCCCCCCCCGCGGAGTCTATAGACCAATCCGGGCACGCTATCAATTCTATCACGAAGGCCCCCTTCAATGGCGAAAGCATTGTTTAGATAATTCGTCACGGTGCAGTAACTTTGTATAACATCGTGCGGTATGCTTGTTTTTTTTTGTTGAATGGGTCCTCGCGAGTGCACTATGTGATTACGACCATGCGTCTATTGGCTTCAACCACAAAATGATTAACTTCAAAAAGCAATCCATATCCCTGAACACTGCCCTCTAGTGCTGATAATGGATGTACAATCTCTGTTCTCGGGTGTGAAGCTTCCCATTATTCCATATCCCTGAACACTGCCCTCTAGTGCTGATAATGGATGTACAATCTCTGTTCTCGGGTGTGAAGCTTCCCATTATTCCATATCCCTGAACACTGCCCTCTAGTGCTGATAATGGATGTACAATCTCTGTTCTCGGGTGTGAAGTTTCCCATTATTTTGTGCTACCGAGTGTTTTCTGGGCTCAACGGTACGCCATTGCCCTCTTCCTCTTGTGCCCCTCCCCAAATATTAAGATGGGTGAAAAATGCCTGGACTCGCGCACACCGCAAAATGATTGACTTCAAAAAGCGATTCATATCCCTGAACACTGCCCTCGAGTGGTGATAATGGATGTACAATCTCTGTTCTCCAGGCTTCCCATTATTTTGAGCCGAGTGGTTCTTGGGCTCAACGGTAAGCCAGAGCCCCCTCCCCTGGTGCCCCGCCCCCACCCAAAAGGTTAGAAAAGGTGACAATGAGCTTTTCTTTGTTAAAAAGTCGATCACTGCCACCCCTCTCCATGAAATAAGGACCGCTATGTTCCCCTCCCCTTCGAATTGGAACCCCCCCCCCCCCCCCGTTATGCCACTTGGGCTGGATGAAAGCACTGTGCAAAATGATAGCACCGCAGCGCGCAGACTATAATGCTTTAAAGATGTCCCGTTCTGATTAGAGTTGCCGTAAAGTGAGTGTTACACTGGACAATGGGGCAGACCAGTGGGCAAATTTTTTTAAGTTATCAATTTAACTTTTGAAGTAATAATAGAGCCCTCACGCATTTCCTTGTCTGTATCTGAAATCTTTAAACCCCATATCAATCTTTCTTTTAAACTTCACGAATTAGATATTTTGGAAGGCCGAGATGGGAAGCGTATTGAGACGACAGTCACTACCCAAAGACGTTTATGGCACTCATGGGGGGGGGGGGGTGATGTGGGTCTTGTTTTTCACAAGTAAACGCTACTTCTTCACCCAATCTAGAGGCTGTTGAATTTCATTCTAGTCAACACGGATGCGATGCGAGGGTGCAGCTTAGCCTACACCAACTCGGGACTTGGTCGCCGCCCTCCACTCTTCCCTATCCAGCATTAGGGTCCTCAGCTCCCCCGTGTCACTGAGACCAACATCCCGTCGCAGCGTGTCGATGTACGTGGCTCGTCTCCGCCCCCCCCCCCCCCCCCCCTCCTGGCAACACGGAAAAGTGCTGTTTTTCATTCTAGCGCACCCGCTGTACATGTTCATTTGTTATCGTTCGGCAAGACCCTAATCCCTCATTCCAAGACACAGTTATATTACTTAAAAACTCCACTCTCACGCAGATTGCTTTGCTACTTCATTTAATGAAGCCTTCCGGAAATGTGAAATTTGAAAAGTTGAAAAAAAGTTAGAGATAACCTGAACCAATGAAAGAATCATAAGGTAGTAAGATACGAGTCTACATTGATGTATCTGTCTGTAAATAGAAATCGTTGCAAAGTGTCTTAATATTTTACTTTTAAAGATCCACTTTGTAGAGTAAAACCCGATCTATTCTGGGACCTATTTGAAGCAAAAATGATGATAGCTTGACACAAAAAGTTTTGCCTAAGTACAATAAGTCCGTGATCGTATAAGTAAGCGAATGTATATCACCTGATTTTGTTCCGTATCTTATTTATATGCGTACGTGACTATAGTGTCTTAAATTGGTTCGAACAGTCTTTAAATTTAAGTTGATTTCACATAGTAATTATGACTTTCTTGTGAAAGATATACGAGAAAACAAAACAACAAAACAAGAAAAGAACTTAAAAAGCCGTCTGTCCTCGTTGAGAAATTGCCGTTTTCTTTTTCGCGCTTTTCCCAAAAGTCCTTATAGCAGTTTTGTATTATTTGAGGAACATTATTTGTAAAAGGCAGTTACAAAATGGAGGTACGTACTCGAACCAGCAAGCAACGTCCCTCCTTCTTATTCTGCCATTACGTTTACCTCATGCGTTACTCAGGAACTTGTCTGTTTTCCGGTTGTTTTTTTTTCTTTCAAACTCCACCATCTTGGTCAGTATTGTTTGAAGATAGTTTGAATCAAATATTGATTGAGTATCAGAAACAATGTGTGATTTACACGTAAGACAACCGGCTCCAAAACTAAAATGACTGAAAGACGAAAGAATTAATCAAATCACAATAAAAGGAACGACTTCACTACTAATTCTACGTTAACTAAGCCGGGCACAATGCCCGTCCAGGCCATGTATCTTGCCGTGCTGTCTTGCCATATTCCACGATTTGCCCCAGTAACAGGCTCATGGTCTAATTACGCCTGCCATCTGTAAAAAAAAAATACAATCGTTGTTTCAATCGTAGATTATCATTTGTGTACATGTACTTTGTGAATGGACTCGGAGCCAAACTTGTGCTTTACTCATACTCTGACTCGTAATGGTTTCAAAGAAGGATCTAGACATAATGTTTTTTCTTCCAGGTCTATATCATTAACAAAATATACCTGATTGGTTGTCATCTCGTTTGAGCTAGTGGCAGTGGCAGTGATGGTGTTGGTGGTGGTGTCCCCACCATCCCCAAGCGATGTGGCTGCTCTTCCTCCTATACGAAACACATTCGGAGGTCTCAGTTAATAACAATCATGGACATGTGGGACTAATCTAGGCCTACTAGAGGCATTGTTTTGGTCAACAGGAAGGCCTTCAAATAAAATCCCTGAGATATTGGAGAAAGGGCGACAATCGACAAGTGCTACGGATGAAAACCACCCAAGACTAATTATGTCGAAAGTTACTTCGCAACGTGGCGCAATCCAGCAAATTAAGTTCAGTGGCGTCCCCAAATCGTTTGGTGCGAAAATGGATACATCTGCAATCAGTAACTTGTATTGAAGTACGTGAACAATGCCTGCGTTGGCTCATTAAACGAAGGCAGTGTTCTGCTTGCAAGATCGAAAAGTCTGCCAACAGTGAAATTAGCTTACACTATAATTAGCTTACAAAATAATGATGAAATTAGCTTACATGGGCAAGAGTCCGTCCCTGTTCCTCACTGAGGCGGGCATTGGCTCGATGTCATCTGAATGTCAGAAGGCAAACATCGAACAAAATAAGGGGTCACAAATACAAAATGATATTAAATTGTGTGGACCATTGTGACCCGTGACGTCATAATCTGCCAAAATGTTTGCTTCCTTACGGTTGTCTAGGCCTACACAGGGTGACCCCCAAGCAACCCTGAAACAGTTACCTTTTTTCTTCAAATTCATGATCTGTGCATTTTAAGTTTTTGAATATCAGATTAAAGCTGAGAGCTTTTCTTTACAACACTGGTTTTGCAAGAAGGATGTAGACATGTTATGTACTTCTTCTTCTTCTAGGCCTATATCACCAACAAAATACCTGATTGGTTTTCCTCTCGTTTGTAGCAGTGACAGTGGGTGTGGGACAGTGGACGCCTTTGTACGAAAACACATTTGGAAGTCTCAGTTAATAGCAGTTATGGACATGTGGTACTAGAGCCTTATTCACGAATCGGCCATATTGGATTGAGAGTGAGGTAAAATCTTGATTTTTGGAACTTGTGTAGAGAAATGAAAGCAAGTATAATTAATTTCAGTCTGCTTCAATAAATAAATTAAAATTTGTAATTAAACTTTCTCTAATATTTAAAGCCAGATTTTAAAAAAAAATGACAGTGAAATAAGGCTGCATTGTGCCACATAAATAGTCTGGCGCCATCCCATTCAATAGTTAAGAATTACTATGATATATGTTCAGGGAACTCAACAAAAATGGCCAACTATCGTGAATAAAGTCGTTTTGTTTAGTCAGCGGGAAGGCCTTAAAGCCTTAAAACAATCCCTGAGATATTGGAGAAGGTTCGACAATCTACAAGTCATATACGGATGACAACCACCCAAGAATCATTTACTCGAGAGTAAGGCTTCGCAACTTGGCGAAATCCAGCACCTTAAGTTCAGTGGCGTCTCCAAATCATTCGGTGCGAAAATGGACACATCCGCAATCAATGCAACGTGTGCTCAAGTAATACCTGTGTTGGTTCAATAAATGATGGCAGTGTTCTGCTAGTAATACTGTACATGCAGATCGGAAAGTCTGCCTACAGTGAAATAACTCAAACGTAATTTCTTTTTCTCAATGGCTCTGTTTTTGTTCTAGTATCACAACAGTAGGCCCCAATTCACGTTGGAACGAAATAGTCAAACCCCCGGCCCAAAATCGGCCAGTGTTCTGTTGTGGAACAATAATGACTTAATAAACCGTTCTAGTATTATTAAAGACAAAAAACACGACAGCCGTTTCCGCAAGACGGAAATTGTGCGGACTATCAGGCATCCAACGGGTTTGCAGACGCCCAGTTTACAACCAATTTTTCGTTAAAATAAAACCGTTCGGATCGAAAATTTATTCGGATTCAAAAAATCGCATATTTCCCCCATTCACCAAAGTAAGCAAAATGTTTACTTCTTAAAGGGATTTACATCGTGGAATGCGCCCAATTGGGCTACAAAACATTACAAAGAGCAAACAAAATGTCAACACATCACTCATCCTTTAAAAATCTGACGTTTTGTGTTATTCTTGGAGAACCATTTGAAAACTATAATTTCGGGTGTCAAAATGTTGACTCCCAAACATCGAGCTGTTTGGTGCTATAGTCATGATTCTTGCCCCACATGTTCCGGCATTTTTGTCTTTTTGCCGTGTGTATGTGTCACACACTTGTGGTAAGCAGAGATAATACATGTTTAGCAATATCAGGTAACCAACCAAAATGCCATGGATTTATATTGCTTGTGCATGACTGGTCACCGCTCAGCAGATCATGAAGGTTTTGATTAAAACTAAAAATAATGATGAAATTAGCTTACATGTTCTCCAACACTCCATCTAGCTCATTGCTGTCAATCGCTTGCATTAAGGCCTCCAATGCCTTGGTGTCATCTGAATGTCAGAATGCAAACATCGAACAAAGTAAACGGTCACAAATAAAAAAGGATATTACACTATATGGACCATGTGACCTGTGACGTCATACTGGCGCCGCCCAAACATGTGCCGTGGTGTTTGTAAGCATTAGGACACAATACGCTACATGCATTTCATTCACAAATAGGTAATGCCATTGGAATGGACATAAAAGGAGTTAGAAGGTTAAGATCTTTGTGTTTGAAAGCTGACTAGCATCATCCCCTCCATAAACAGTCAGGAGATAGAAATAAGTGCGAGTGCACAATAAGCTCTGGCCGTCTTCCATGAACGTCTTGCATGATCCATCAAACTGATGTCTGCCTGAGCTTAAAAATACGACACCTAAAAAAGCTACGCCGATGGTATATACGGAACACCATACTTTTGTTTCATTTTTTTTTCTTACTATAAACAGTTCTCTTAAAAATGATTTTTCCTCTTAACGAACCTCCAGTTTGTATGTGTTGTTTTAACTTTAAATTATTTCATAGTTTGGGTGTCTGCAACCCCCCGTTTTGAGCACGAAATGAGCCCGCCCTCATGCGAGTGAATAACTTACATATTGCTATAGGAAAGTAGCAATTGAAAGAGAAATCTGTCTTTTTGTTATTATGAGCAATGAGTCAGAACTAACGTAAAAGTTTATGTTTCTTCGTAAGCTTGCTCCTTGCAAGAAATTGTGTGGTATGCTAACAGTCTGAACGGATATGTATAAGAATTAAATAGTGAACCTCCGTTCATATAATAGTCTAGGGCTCTAGGCGATATTTAAAAAAAAATTACATGAAAAATATCGCCTATATATTATTATTGCGTTGTCCATGCACCCATGAGAGGGGAGCGTTTGGACAAGGTCCGAACTCGTAACAGTGATCACAATAGTACACATGATAAATGAACTTTAAAAAAAATGGTACGCGAGAGAACCGTTCCCGAAGAACTGTGCACAAGGCACACATAACCACACTTGAAAATACTACACATCCTAAAATTATGGGGAGACACTAAACTAGTGTCTACCTAATACAATAATTTACTAGAAAGTATATCCCTAACTTCCATTCAATATAACTCTGATAACTGAATGGCATTGATCTGTGTTTAAGTAGAGTGGCTACAATCATTTAGTTAAAAAAGTTTTTTTTCCTTTTCGAATTGGCTATATACGAATAGCACCATGGACATCGCCTGTGTGCCTTCTGGTGATCAAGAAACAACCCTATATGGGTCATTCTATAAATTTGGGGTCCAAAGTGTGACATTTTTCCCGTCCCTGTTACCTTGGTACTTTGTAATTTGCCATTCAAGCATCATTAAGAATGACTTCAAATGATGTTTTATTTGTTGGGTAGGTAGTTTGCTATTCATAATCACTCTTGGAGGATGACTGCATTAAGGAGTGCATCAGAATTATACAATCATAGATGTCAGATGTAACAGGGACGGGAAAAAAAGTGGACCTCAAATTTATAGAATGACCCATATACCAGTCAATATTATTGGTCAGCGTCAAAGAATAAAGTACCCACCTTCGATAGCTGCTGCAGCACAAGCCCCAATCAGAAGTAGCAGGATGAAGCACTTCATGGTGATACTGGAATAGAGAAGCTCAACTGAACCTTCTTGGTAGAAACTATACCACGCAAACAAGGGCCGATAGTAGCAACGTCACGCCAGCTCCGGTTTGGCACACCAGGGAAATCGGCGTGCTTATATGCTTTTTCTAGCCCGTGCTGCCCGTGGGTGGGCGATGTGAAGGACTGTACATCATGCGACGACAATCATTAGTAAGACCCAGTTTGCCAACTTTTTGAACAGTTGTTGAGGAGACCAACCCCCGCATTATTTTCTCCAAGTGGAATTACAACTCCCCCCTGTTTTGACAATTATTTTACTAACTACGTGACAGGAATAGGCGCATAAACACTTGAACATGAATTAGGCGCAATATTCTAAATCGTAAACTAAATTAAAATACGTCGGGGTTTTGTTTTTTTTGTATTTGTTTACTATACTGGGTTGTTTCTCTACCACTTGTGAGCTGACTTCCGTGGGAGTAATTTGCGCCTTGTACTTTTAGATAATGGATTTTTTTATATGCATAAAAATATGTTAAATTTGGAAGACGTCAGCTTGGACAAATGCTTTGGACGTTGTATCCTGCTGCTCCTTATTTTTGTTCAAGGAGACCATCCTGCAGCGTATCCAGCGTGTGGTTGCGAGAGCGCCCTCCACGGCGACATTCAACCATTTGTATAAGCGGACAATTATAAACAAAACTGGTGCTAGTATTCCCCTTTGCTTGTAAATTAATTTGTATAAGTCAGAACAGCAAGTATCTAACCACGCCCCACCCGTCTGACCATGTTAACTATTTACAAATCCAAGTTTATTTGTGAACCTCCTTTAATAATGCCATCCCCACTACATCTTGATTCATTACTTCAAGTGTCGTTGCCATGAGAAATAGTGGAGCAGCCATGCACTGAGCAAACTACACAGAAACTACACAGAAACTACACAGAAAAGAACATTAAGTTGTTCTGTACCATGGCACCATGGTTGTACTTGTATTCTTGTCAAATTAGAATTGGTATCAAGCCGGGCTTACGGTTCGCCCACCCACACGTAACGCCTACAGCATTTACCGTCCCAGTGTACTATACGTGCGGTCATGTCACTGTAACCACGACGTGGGGATGGATAGTGCAACAATAAGGTGAGATACCAATTACTAGACATGTCGAGGCCAGCAAACGACAATAAATACGATATGTAACGCCGTGCTAGTAAATATCGGGGCACCGACGGAAAAACACGACTGTCTAGTGACTTGTCCTCAAGTCTATTCCACTGAACCATTAAACAGGCGGCGTGAACTTTAATTGATGACGTCACGTGAACGATCTTTGCAGACTGGCATGGAGTGCCAAATGAGGTTTTCCCTACCGTTGACATTCCATTGTGCATGTTCGATTTGTTGAAGTGGTTCTTTTTTTATTATTTTGCTGGTATAATTTGTGTCGAGAACACGCCCCTGGCGACTGACTGACTGGCGCTGATAATTGTATGTAGGTCTAATCATATGGTCTAATTGAAGAGAAACATAACCAAAATGGATTAGTCTGATTGTTGGTCTACAAATAGGCCTGATTACTTGAACCAATAATTGGGTCACCGGAGAACGAAAATGATGTTTAAAATTGTTGATTGGCTCTACTTTTCAAGATATACTGGGCCAGTATCTACCATGACATGAAAAGACCCTGCAGGGTTTACAATTTATGATTAAAACTCTACGACCTACACAATATACATGTGAAAAACGTATATTATCTTGGAAACAGTATAGCCAATCAGCTGTTTTAATTTTCATATTTAGCACGTTTTATTTCTGAAGCCGTGGACAACTTCTAAAAAATTGCAGACCAGTGAAATTACCAGACCGAAATATTCTGACTTATTTTTTTTTGGACAAATCTTGTTTATAGGCGTACAGTCAGAACTTTAAGTCTGGGAACCAGACCAAAAATTGCTTAGCGATTCATGTAGAATACCAGCCAAAATTTAATATCGTGCGTTTTATCATTTAACACTTTTAATATAGCTGATTGCTGTGTAGCATGCGCACTCTTTACGTTATTATAATTATTACTTTTTTGCAGCTTTATTGAATCCATAGAACTGGAGAATCAATTGATCACATGCATGGCTGTAAATATTCTAAATGTAGAGAATCTGGCACCTTCATGGGCATGAAAAAAGGAAAGGTTTTCAGAAATATATGTACTTGCAAAAATTAACCAACGCTATTACTGCATATAACAAAGTTGTAACTACAGTATATAGTCCGGTGTGTGAACATTGCACTGGATGGAGCCGGCAATGGCATATCTGGGGATTAACCATTATAGCTGCAGCTCTATGGGATTAACTTTTTAACTGACGGGGGTCGGGGGAAGGGAGGGGGGCAACTGGGCTCATTTTGGAGGCGGGAGTAAACTCAATTGGATGTTGAAAGTAACACAGCACATGTTTTGGGCGCAAAGGGGACACATGCCTCAAGTGGGGGGGGGGGGCGTTCCCCGGCCCGCTCACCCCCTATATTTACGCCTGTCATTGAAGCTCTTTTACGTGCAAAGAGAGAATTAAAATCACTCGCTTCTTTTTCACTTTTAGTACTACTCTACAGTTTCATTTTATTAAAATATGAGTCGAGGAACTGAGCTCTTAAATTTTTCACAAAGACAAATAAGAGAGAGTACCGAGGTTCCATTCAACGAACTTGCCAAATGATGCTTCTCCCCCCCCCCCCCGCCCCTCCCCCTCTCTCTATCTATGTCTTTCAACTCAATCTCGTCACCACACTAATATTGTTCACATGTATTTCAAATCAAACACAATTCACTGAAGTTGCTTTGCAAAGTTCAGTATAAGCCAATTTATTCTTCAGCACATCCGAAAAGAGCTACCCTCAAATTTGAATTGAACCTAGCTTAGAATTTACAAGACCAAGTCAAATATAAAACGACTCCAAGTTTAATCGATGATTATCGGTAACTCAGAGATATTTGAAAACTTTAGGGTAAGTTTGTCAATCTGTTTTCACTTTCCACGGCCACTTGAGACAATTCTTGGGATTGAGCATAGTTAGTTAGGGTATAGGAGGTGACCACTGATCTCTATATAAAGACTGGATAGCGGATATGCATACAACATTCACACAGTAGACTTTGCATATTGACCAATTCGCCCCGGTCTCACAAAGATGGCCGCGTATAACACGAACGTTCTACGCGTAAATACGCGCGCGTTGTATCAACAGTTGACGCGCATTTTGGTCACGTACACATATTATGATGTTCTAAAAGGGACACATTTCCGTAGTGATTATAATTTCAAAAACGCCGAAAAAGTGATTTGCGGCATTATAAAACTAAGCACGACGTTAGAAAAATTCCAGTTATAAAACCTTGGTCAGTTGGTCAGTGGTGGTGGCCAAAATATAAGTCAACTGAACCGCGACGTTACAAAAGAAATCATGCTGTCTATAAAGACGGCAACTTGTCCTTTGTAGATCACCAGCCGGTCTCACCAATATGGCGTCAAATTCGTACATTGTGCGGCTCTTTATTAGCTATCCAGTCTTTATATGGAGATCAGTGGAGGTGACTCCACGAGACCTGTCAGATATGTGATGAATCCTCAGCTCTTTCTCCAACATCACTAGTCTTATTTCATTTGTGTCCGGAAGGCCAGTGTCTGGTCTTAGGGGTTTGACATGACTGTTTCGCGATTTTGGAAAATGATTTGTTGATATAATAACCTTTTTTGCGCAGACAGGGTGGTTTGATATCTTAATGATGAATCTACGAAATAATGAGTCTATGAATTAAGAGAAAATGATTACAAACGGTTGAATTGATTTTCCTTTTATCTATAAGAAACAGATTAAAAACAAGAAGAAAAAAATGACGCGATCGGAAGATAAATAAGCCGGTCTTGCTCGTGGTTTGTCTGTCTAGCAGTGTTCAAGAATCTCCTCCCACCAGCATCCCTCGTGGCAACATTCCTCGTGAAGTCCACGCTTGCCGACGTCATCGCTGTCGCTGGTCAAGAAAGTGTTGGCTTCTCCAGCAGAAAGGAACTCTGTGTAAAAAAAAAAGACAAAGACTAAAGCAACTTTCGCCTTTTCTTATCTGTTTATTACTGTTGTCCAAGTTACATTTTGTTCCCGGACGGAAAAATTAAGGAACTTGTTGAAAGAAATGGAGAAAGAAGTAGTTAATTGATAATCCTCGCAAAGAATAAATCAAAGTGGAATGTACTAAAACTGGACAAACCATGACTTTTTACCTTCTTTCAACGGGGCAATACCTATGTTCCCCAATACCTATATGTTCCCGAATACCTATGTTCCCACAACCCTAACCCTACGCCTATCCCTAACCCTAACCATAAGAATTATAGGGAACATAGGTATTGGGGAACATCGGGTATACCCCCTTTCAACGACACTTTGCATAAATGTCGATAGTTGTATTAATCTCTGCAGGTTTTGTTGTCACGTCATTCAAAAATGAAAAGGACGACTTGGAAAACTTTTCGTTTTCTATACATGTACTGGTCTATCGTCAAACTTTAGAAACTGATTTGCGGACTCCTAATTGTCAGAGGTGAACCTCAGCCTTTACAGACTGCAGTGAGTTAACCCTGGAGAATTTTAGTAATGAAAATGACATAATGATTTACCATCGTTGTCTCGCTTGTGATGAATCAGACCAGACGGATGACAGACGAAACGCGACCAACTGTGGATGGTACTCCCGCAGACACGGAATCTCGGACCGCTCCATGCTCTGGGGATTGGGACAAACCAGATTCAACCATAATTTTGAGATAAACAAACAAACGGACAACAAAAAACGACAAGACAAGGCATGCATGGTCCCGGAGCGATCGACTGCACGGTTATCTTCAACAGCCTTCTTCAACATCTCTTCGGGGAGTCGGGGAGTCGGTCGAGGAGCCAGTCCGTCAGTCCGTCAGTCAGTCAGACAAAAAAAAAATATGAAGTGGACTCCTAACTTTCATTCACTCGACGAATTTGGCAATTTTAAGCCATCACTTTCCGGACCGATCGAACAATAAAATAAAGACCAAACTGTGACTCACATTTTGATCTGATAGTTCATCTCATTCTCAAACTCGTCATCTTTGACATCAGAGTTTACGTTGGGCTTCGGAGGGTCAGCCAATGGTCGATCTGAATGGGGGGGGGGGGGGGTGGGAATCGGTAATGCTGAATGGTGTTTGATTTTATTTTGAATAACACGGATTCGTGAAAGGAAAATTGACCTAAGCTGATATACTATAGGGGTTTGGTAAATTCGCCCACACATGCACTCTTTAATTTCGAAACGATGACGCAATAAATTATCCTGGGCAGCACTGCGTCGCAGAATTCAGTGAATCTTGTACAAACTTGAGCTAATCTTACAAAACGTAGTAAGCTCACCTTACAAAATTTGGCATACGTAAATTTAATCCCGAAAATACTGTTGTTCAAATCGAACATTTATTGGCCTTTTCTTGCACACGCGGTTTACGCCCATTGCTTTAGGCCTAAGCCTTCCGTAAACTATGTTGAATTGACGCAAAATGGGTTTTAGGAAACAATTTCTTAACGGTAATACATCATGAAGATAATATTTTCAAGACGAAGAGCTTCTTTTTTTAACACATATTGTTTTTTTTGCAGTGGGATAAATTATTGCGGAACATAATTTCGGTGGGGATGTGGCCTATTTGTTAGGGTTCGTGACTCATAATCAGAGGGTCAGGGGTTCGGATCCAGCTGTTCGTCATTATGTTGTGTCCCTGGGCAAGCTACTTCACCCCCACTTGCCTCTCTCCACCCAGGATAATAAATGGGTACTGGCATTAGTAACCTGCGATGGACTGGCTTCCCATCCGGGGGGAATAGAAATATTCTCAGTACTGTTGTGTAATGCCAAGGAAACCGTATATAAACGCCGGCCTGGTGGTCTGGTGACAGACTTTACTACTACATGAACTTTACTGACAGTACCATTGGCGCCCCTCCTAAAATATATTGGGGGAGGCAGGGCCCGGGGGACATCCCTAGGATGGCCGCCCACAATGATAAATCAGTGTTTGAAAAACAACAATAGAGTTAGGCATTCTGAGTAAATAATGAAAGGTTTGCGGAATCACCATGTGCGAATTATTTCTCAACTAAGAGAATGGTTCTGAAAAGATGTATAAACTCTCTTAGTTGAGAAATAATTCGCACATGGTGTTTCCGCAAACCTTGCATTATTTAGTATCTCCACCATGCAAAGCCTCAAATCTTACTCATTCTAGCTTAAGAATCAATATTAGGTTTTTGCCTTTCACTGACGTGTATAAACACTGTATACTCAGTGTGTTACGTCCCTAGTGAAAGTTGGAAAAAAAATCACTCGAGTGGGACTCGAACCCACGACCTCCTGCTAACCTAAGAATACAATTCACTAAGAAACCTTTCAACCTCACAAGAACAACATGGACCAAATTCTGTGAGAAAAAAACCCATAATGCTGAACAAACCTGCCCAATAAATAGACTATATATATAGACCTGACCAATTCAGTGAAACAAATGTTTACAGTGCTTGCTAGAAAACTACCCGCATTTAAAATTTCAAGCGAAAAAAAAAGAAGAAAAAGAATATACTGACCGATGTTGACTAAACTTATGAATGTTTACCTCCGTTATAATTAAATAAAATCATTTTTAAGACATCTGTTTTTGTTCCATTTCCGGTATTGACTTCAAATATTTGTGTTTGTGAAATGTGTTTGTGAAACAGTTATAAAACAAACTTGAACTGCTCAAAGAAAATACCATTTGCCACACCACCTTAACCAAACATAATTTACTACAAATCAATGTTTGCTTATTATTGTTTTTCATATGTGGAAACACCCTGAATGTTTCAGTCTTAATCAAATTGATGATAGTGTGCTGGTATGACTAAAGAAAAACGACTTCGGATCTTGAATAAATTGGTGAAAGTTTATGCCATAACTACGTTTTATCCGTTTTATGCGGGTATCATTTTGCTTCTTGCCATTGAGGGCGCTGTTTCTGTAGCGAGAACGCACGCGCGCCATTATCCAATCAGCAATCTGTGTTCTTAAAAGTTGGATTTTTTTGGGTGTGTTTTGGGGCTTTTGGTGAGTAATTGGCGATTTCCCTTTTAAAAAATTAGAATGCAGTTTACACGAAATGAAAAAGTTTTATCAGCAACGGTGGAAGGAGGCCTGTGCTAGTACTCAGTAGGAAGATGATATAGCCGCAACCCACAACTTTAACTGCAACTAATTCGTGACATTTTTTCCCATTCAAATCAATGTAACCAAGCGAGGCTGGAAGGAAAAATAGTCTGGTTTTTTTTTTTTTTTTTGCACAAAAAATGGTCATTTCGTAGGGTAGGCTAGTGTTAGTGTTATTTATAGCGCAAACCTCTTTTGGCCTTAGGCCTACTTCATGAACATCCATGGGAATCAAAATGAGCTCTAAAAATTTAAAATTCACACCTTTAATTATTTTATTCCTTTAAAATTTGAAAGAATGTTGCAACCTGATGCCCTTTTTTTCTTCATATCATAATCATGCATATCAACTCAATGGGTCAGTCATTGCAAAATATTGAAACATGTTGAAAAGAGACATGAATCTGGGACTGAAAAAATTTCCAATTAATTGTGTTTGGAAATACTTTAAATTAAAAATGTTATTGACTCTCCATAGACCATACACTTTGTACACAATCGCTGAAGTGGTGTTGGGATAGGCCTAATACATTCTTTCCAAAACTCTTTTTTAAGTGTTGTATATTTTATATTGTGTAGGCCCCTAAATTAAAATCATGCTTTATGTAAGCACACTTAGACTTGCTTTGTACAAAGCTGAATCCATGCAGAGAGGGTAGGCCTAATTTGGTCATGTTGGTAATTCATATTTTTCCTGCTACGTGTATACACTTGGAAAGTTATTGAGTTGAAGGTTTTTTTTACTATTCCAGTTTTTGAACTTCAGTTGCTGCCCATCTTGGAACCATGCCACTAAGCACCAAGACCAAAGTGCTCCTCCTGGCCAGCATTTCAGCCATGGCTGGGCTCATATTAGCCACCAGTTACTTCAAGCGACGAAGGCGTGGCCAGCGACAACGGATACGAGAACCAAAAGCAGTAGCTTCGAGTAACCACCATGTCACAATCAGTACAAATGGACGTAAGTGAAACAAAGCAAATTCCTGTGGCTTAGGACTTCTGGTTTAAACCTTCACCCACAAATTTAGGCTTTTTGGCCGTTGAATTTGATTGAGACTGAGAATCTGTGTCCTGTATTGCCTTGACAACCAAATTGAAATGTTTCCACACACATTCTGATCTTTAAGTCCAGGTAAATAACAAAGGCAGTGGCTATTGTAACGGCAATCGACCGTCTGGTTCCCTGAACTAACAATATTCAACATCAGGATCTTTGACTCCTGGAACCAGAATATCGACCAAATGATTCTCAGACTTTATTTCCCTTTTACAAAAAAAATCCTTCAAAGCCACAGATTACGAAGAAGAAAATGAAATCAACGTCAATAAAAAGTAGTATTTGATTAAAAACATAAAAGTAAATGAAACTAATAAAAGAAGCAAAAAAAAAAGAAGGAAAAAGAAAACAATTTTGGCAATGGTGGTTGAGCATTTAACCAATCGAGCTACTTAGGCGCTCTGGTTAGAAGGGCAGTTATAAATGTTATATAGATTCGCAATGGTGTTTTTGCAGTGCCGTAACGATAGCAGTTACAAATCGCGTTACTTGTATTAACGATAGCCACTACTAATAAAAGACCTGCGATATTTCGGAAACTTGAAATAGAACATGTTTCATCCAGAAAAACAATGCTCATCCATTTATTTTTCATAATCTCAGCATTGGCGCAGACAAGTCGAAGGGCGCTCATCACGGCGCAGTCAGAATCACCCAAAGGTTTCGCCCGGTTATCCCGTCTGTCTCGTTCCACGTCTCGACGATCCATCATCTCCGCTATAGCTTCAAGGACCTCCCACTCCAGCATCAACGACAGCCTCTGTGGGTCGGTCAATTCACTGCTGAGCGACACTGCGTCCATCAAGAGCGGAGAGAGAACGCCGACAAATGTACCGTTGTCTGCACAGAGGTTGTTCCAGCTGGGTAAGGGGTCTCTTTTTTTCCTGCTAATTTCTACATGTACAGACCATGTGACATTTGTTTACAACTTGGATTTGTGGTCGCGTGATGCCAACTTTCAGCAAATGGTTCTCTGCACTGGAAGAGCAGGGTGCCCCCCCCCCCCAAAAAATGAACACCCAAGCAACCCTCTTTTTCACAGCTTCCAAAATAACACATGACAAATCTTGATACCTATTTGACAAGTTTATTTCAGAGGCTTTTCAACACAGGAAAAAATCCTTCTAATGGGCCTTATGCACGAGTCGGCCATATTGAATAGAAAGTGGGGTAAAATATGAATTTTTGGAACTTGCGAAGAGAAATAAAAGCAAGTAAATTACTAATTAATTCCAGTCTGCTTCAATGAATAATCTAAAATATGTAATTAAACATTCCCTGATGTTAAAAGCCAGATTTAAAAAATGACATTAAAATAGGGCTGCATTATGCCTGCATAAATAGTCTGGCGCCATCCCATTCAACTGTTAAAAATTATTGAAATACACTCAGGGAACTCGACCAAAATGGCCAACTTGTGCGTAAGGCCAATTGGAAAAACAACCGAGTTTTGGCCAATTTAAGAAAAAAAGTGTCGCTGTTTATTTTGTCGTTAATGTCACAAATTAGGAATGTGATGGTATTTTATTTTATGTTATAATCTTTATTTATTTGTTTCATTTATTAAAAACTGTTTGCATCAATGGTTGTGGGACACGTGTCTTGACTCAAGCCCACGTTATTGCAGACTCAGACTTGGATTCAGATTTCAAGACTCCGTCTGGAACTTTCAGATTGGAAGGACTCAGATCTTGGATTCAGTGGACTCGATGGCAACACTGATGCATGTAGCCTTATGAAATCAAATTTTGTTTTTTTGGAAATCAACTCTTTGATTATTATATTTGTGTAGGAATGGAGGCTTTTGACAATGCCGTGTCTTACTGGGAGGAGGCTGTGGATATTCGATTCGTTCAAGACATCGAAGAAGAAGACAGTAGAGATGAAAACAGCAGGGTAAGGAGAGAATATAAGTATTCTCCTTTAAAAAAATTAATACTTACATTCGTGTGTTCTTCCAGTTGGACTTTTTCAAAGTTACAAATCTTGCCTAGATAGAGTTGAGATTTTGTAATGAAACTGGCATTATCACAGCTGAATTCGCTTGAACTTTTGAGCATTGCCTATGAGTCTCATACTTTTACGCTTACTCCAGTCCTATCCTCTCTTTTCATGTTCACCAGAAGTTAGTCAACTACAAGCAAAGGGCGATTGTGCTTGCACTGATAAATGCTGGCCAAACTATTTCAGCTTTGATGCCAAGATAGTGTGAAGTAATATGATCGTGGCAACACACTTCCCAATAAGCCTTTTTGCAATTCCAATTGCGCATGTGCGAGATTTGCTTGGCGACCAGTTGCGAGAGATAAACAAAGCAGATGAATGCGCCCAAGTCTATGGGGGACGTGGTAACCAAATCCGCATTTTGTAATTTTTCATCTAGAAAGAAGTTGGAAACTTTTGTTCTCTAGAGATACACAGTTCGCATGCAAAATCATAGCGGGGTACCAAGGAAATCAAACAAAATATTTGGATTTTTTTTTAACGGCACCATGGTTGAAGATGTTTTGCATGCTCCAACTTTTGTGCGAACAAAACTTTCCATCTTCTGTTTTACAAGATGAAAAATTGCAAAATGCGAAATCCGTTACCACTCCCCCATAGACTTATGTGCATTCATCTGCTTTGTTTATCTCTTGAAACTGGTCGTCAAGCGGATCTCACGCAGGCACAGTTGGAATTGCGAAAAGGCTTATTCTGTCTGAGGTGTTTTATTTTTTTTTTCAGGAAACCAACAGTGCCCAATTTCTTGGAGTTGTTAGCAGAAAATAACGCTAAGCCAAAAAAAAGGGCCGGGAACCAGTGACAAGCAGCAGACATTAAATGACATTTTCACTGGTAACCCGTTTTTGCTAAGCAACTATTTTCGGTACTTAGCAAATTTCTTTGCTTAGAATTTCCATGAAATTTGACCCAGTTTTTTTTCCTTCTTTTTTTTAGGAGAGCAGCAAATCCGAGTTGACCCGTTCCTTGGAGAGGCTCCTATCCAGCGCGTATCATCTCCAGGAGGAATGCGAGGATGTGGCCCTGAGCGTGCCCAATCTGGCCTTCACCCCGTCCGAGATGAGAGACATCGCAGAGGAGATTACGACAATGAGGAGACAGAGAGAAGCAGACGAGGAGTCTTCCTCATCAACGGATTCATTCGTCTCGGCAACAGAGGTAATCTGGATAAGTTAAAGTGAAGGGATCTGAAACAAAGAGTTGTAGTCGGTTCAGTCACTTGTCCATCATCAGTCAAATCACAGTCTGTCGCAAGCCAATCACAGGTCAGTTGAAAGTCACATCACAATTCAGTCAAAAGTTAATCGTATTAAAAGTCCATCACAAAGTATTCATAAGACAAATCACAGTCTAACACGAGTCAAATCATAAGCCAATCACAAGTCGGTTAAAATTAAAATCACAAGTCAGCCTGAGTCACAAGTCATTTACGAGCCTATCACAAAGTATTCATAAGACAAATCACAGTCCGACACAAGTAAAATCATAAGCCAATCACAAGTCAGTTGAAAGTCAAATCACAAGTCAGTCACAAGTTAATCATAAGTCCATCACAAAATAATCATAAGACAACTCACAGTCCAACACAAGTCACATCATAAGCCAATCACAAGTCGGTTGAGAGTCAAATCACAAGTCGGTTGAGAGTCAAATCACAAGTCAGTCACAAGTTAATCGTAAGTCCATCACAAAATAATCATAAGACAAATCACAGTCCAACACAAGTCACATCATAAGCCAGTCACAAGTCGGTTGAAAGTCAAATCACAAGTCAGTCACAAGCCCATCACAAAGTTATCATAAGACAAATCACAGTCCGACACAAGTAAATCATAAGCCAATCACAGGTTGGTTGAAATTCAAATCACAAGTCAGTCACAAACCCATTACAAAGTATTCATAAGACAAATCACAGTCCAACACAGGTCAAATCATAAGCCAGTCACAAGGCAAATTATTAGTAACAGGGGATGGACGGTGATAAAAGAATGCTTATATCACAGTCCATTTGAATAGATTAGAATGTCTCTTGACTTGAGACTCAGTGACTTGTGATTCACGTGTGTTTACTTTTGAGGACTTTGCTACAACTCTAAAATGTGGTCCCTTCCACCCAATTCATGTAATTTGTGACACATGTCTTGATCTCTGTTATTTTGCTGTTGAATTTCCACAGGAAGAAGAATTAGACCAGCAGAGTACTTCGTCAGACTTAGCATCGACTAGCAGCAAATCCAGACTCAGGAGCAATGAGATGTATGAGAATGCTCTATTAGCAGTCAGAGAAGGAGCAGTAGAGTGTCGAAGGATAAGGTATGGACTCCTAGCTATTTGCCAATTTTGATTGGTCAGTTTTATTGTATATTTTTTTTTCTCAGTACTACAAGACTATTAAATATAGGCATGCAGCTGCCATATACTACACAAGAATACAATCTTCAGTGAATATTTTGAACAACTTACAACATTGTGACATGAAACAAATGAGAACAGGCTTCATTTCGATTCCTTTTTCTTTTTTAACTTTGCGTTGGATTACCATTTTGATTGATTTGTTTACTAGTAACAAAATCTACCAAGCCCTGATATTACATTTAGGGAGTTGGGTTGGTGCAGTGGTTACTTTTATCGCTTTCCACCTCTATGGCCCGGGTTCGATTCTTGCCCTGGTCAAAATGTGGATTGGGTTTTCAGTCCCCACCTGATTCCGTGGGGTTTCCCCCAGAATATTCTTCTGGGGTTTTCCTCCCACTTCTAAAACTGTCATTGCTTCTCATTGGCTCCTCTCCACAGGTTTCTTCAGGCTTGCGAGCTACAGTGCCTAGGACGCTTTTGAGGAATCCTTGGTTTCATTACCTGAAAGATATAAATATATGCTGTCCCATTGCGAATGCTTCCCATAACTAAATTCATAAGTTTAGTCACCTGTCATTTTGGTCCTCCTGCTTTCCTCATCAGGACTAAGATGCTGCGTTGCCGTAGTGATGAAGACTTCCTAGCCAAGCTGCACTGTGTACGCGTTGCCATGGCAGTACTCCTAGAGGACCAGAGCGTCTTTGATTGGTTCGTCATGATGGGCAAACAGTTGATAGCCGATCTTCTGCTCAAGGCAAATTACGTGAGTTGAGCTTCTCTTTCCGTCTTGAAACCTCAAGTGCAAAGATTATTTTGACCTTATTTTCTTGGCTTTGGGTTATGTAACGCCTTTAGGTTTTTAAAAAATTTTACCAATTGTGAGCTTAACCATGCATTGAGGGAATCATTGTTGTAATTAAGTCAATCACAAGTCCATCACAAGTCCGTCACAAGTCTTCATAAGTCCATACTTCATAAGTCCATCAACGTCTCAAAAGTCGCCCAGCGCAGGACTTACATCCCTGTTATGTATTGGGAAAATCCTCTATTCTTTCCAGAAAGTCTATACATTGTTTGTTCTTTAGTGTTTCAGTTGAACGTTTTTTGCTGATTGCTAATTTTGTTTGGACAAATGTGTGGCAGGATTCAGAAGTATTCGGTGAAGCGTTTGATGAGATGATGACCTATGTCCGAGATCCGCAGAACCACAAGGAAATCGAGAAGGAGTTAAGAGCAAGAAAGGTACCAAACAATCTTGGAACTTTCATTGTTTCAAGGGCGGATCGGGGGGGGGGGGGGGCACAGGGGCCATGCCCCCCCCCCCCAAAAAAAAACGAACCACCATCTTTTCCTCAAGCAAATTTGGTTAAAGAGGGCAGAAATTGCCTCAGATCGCACCACAGAGCATCTAGAATCCAGACAATTTTCGGGGCCTTTAAGCGGGCCCAGAACCCCTCGCCGTAATTTTTTGGACCCATGTTTTGGGGGACCAAAATTTGTTTTGCCCCCAAAAAAATTGTGTTCTGGATCCACCCTTGCATTGTTTGCTAGCAGTTTTTGAAATTGTCAAGTTTTCATATAGGAATTGTACTTTATTTAAAAAAAAAATTCCAAATGAACCACAAAGGGAAACTGACTAGGTGAATTATAACAATTTTTTTTAAAGTTGAGCAAGGAAATTTTTTTTTTTTTCATTGCAGGTCCGTTTCTTGTCCTTCTATGACATTGTCTTAGATTTCCTCCTCTTGGATGCATTTGATGATCTTGAGGATCCTCCGATGTCCATCACGTGCGTCACCCAGAACAGGTGGCTGTCAAACAGAGTCAAGGAATCGGTGAGACTGATAAACGTAGACCCCTCGTAACGTGAACTAGATGTCTGAAACAAAAGCCAAACTTGCAAACTATTGAAAAACCAGAAGTTGAGACCAGGATAGATTTTATACACTGCGAATCTTGAATAATTTTGCACCTCTCTTTCTTTGGTACAAAATTCAGTAAACTCTCGTCAATCTCAAATTCGGATAACTCGAAACGCTGATTATCTCGAAGAGATACTCCATTCCCCGTCACGAGAATAGAATATTATGTGCATGAATGCCCCCGTTTCTCGATATACCCGTACCGGTACCTCCGTTTATCTCAAACTTTTGTTCAGCCAGTCCATAGAAAACGCTGCCAAATCAGTCACAATGAAGCGTAAAAAACATCGCGAAACTTGTTTTCATTAGTCATTACTGCTCAGCGTACTTCGTCTTGTCACGTGCAGAGGCAGCGTGCACGCTGTATTGTGATCGGACTCCAGCCCATAACCCCAACAAATCCTGGATTTCGATGTAACCTGATTACTACCGCTGGCCCAAATGTTCACACGTCGGCAGTCCAATCGCTGTGACTGTACCGTGCTGCACATCGGAAAACCTGAGCATGGTGCATCGATATCGATATTAGCAAAGGACACGAAATAAAGATTTGCTCAATGCAGTTACACAGTTTGTGGTTTATTGTCATGTTTTAGGTAAGAACAATATGAAATGTGAGTAAAATGATGCTTTGTGACTAAAAAAATAAACAATTAGAATGAAAAACAAAAAGGAGGATATTATGTCAAAAAATTGTCCATTTCATAGTGAGTTACGGTGAAAGCCATTCATGTACATACATGTAGCCTACACCCTACATGACATGACTCTAGAAAAATCAGGAACTTTGCTTCACTCCAGCTCCGGATACCTCAAAGTTGTCATCTATTCCCTTGAGATCTGATTTAACAAGAGTTTACTGTATCTGATATTTACACAATAATTCGTATAATTTCAGATCCCATCAAATGAACATCTAATGCGTGAGTTCCAGACTTTTCCTTGCAAACAGAGTGATTTCACACACTTGGCCTAGTGACTTCAAGCAAGCAATTAATGAATTGTGTTTGTATCCATTGTTTCTATTGTTTGCAGGCAATATCCACAGCTGTCTGGTCCGTCTTAGCAGCAAAGCGAAGAATGCTCCATGTATGTTTCAATCTGGGTCAAAATAATTTGGTTTTGTATCAAAAAATGATGGACAGTAGCTAATTAGTTAACAGAAAAGTTCTCATATGTCACCCAAAAGTTGTTGACTTTGGGACAATTAATGGTCTTGAATATTATATAGACGGAAAATGTAGCAAAGTTGGGTTGACTAGGATAACTTGGAAGTTGTTGAATATTGAAATAAAATTTGAAGGGCTCATGCAATGTAATGGTTTAATGCAGTCCTTGAAAAGCACCTTTGTGTCCCATTAAACCTTGTATTCAATTTTCGTTTTGCCATTTTCAAGGATATTTTGGTAACTTGTTAGTTTTTATGCTGATGCAAATTTCTATATTCATGAGCAAAAGTGTGATATTTTATTTTGCTGTCGAGAATTTTCTTTTTTTTGGTGATTGGTTGTGTCAGTACATTTGGCAGTAAGCCAATGAGCAAACTTTTCTCACAAATGTGTGGGATTCATAACTTGAACAAATTTGTGCGGATTCATAACTTGAACATAAAAACCCAAAAAGTGAACAGTGTCTTCCTGAAATGACATCACAGCAACAGCACCCTCGGTTGTCCGGAAAAGCATGGAAAATTTTAATGTTTAAAGACGTGCACTTTTCAATAAAATTAACCAAAAAGGGATGTCTAATAGTTTTCATACATTTAATTTAAGAGGAGTAGACAGTGGCACAAAATGTGTTCCTAAGAAACATTCATCTTGGGGACCCTTTAAACTGTTAAGCCTCCTATCATGTAATCTTCATTAAAACTGTATTTTTAAAGAGTAAACATTGCCCTGTTTTCTCGTTGGTTTTAGAATCCCAAGGGTTTCCTGTCCAAGGTGTATCAGATCTCCTACCACGTGACTCCAGCGCTGGCATGGGGATTCCTGGGGTCGGATCATCACCTTAAACATCTCATGGAGTTCTTTAAGGTAAGGCTTAATTTGTATCCACCTTAATGGAGGGTCTCAAAATTCCCTTTGCATGACAATTGCCTTACAATATGTGCTCAGAATCTAGGCTGTCCATTTTTGAATAGTTTAGTATTCGATTATTTGAAACTGTGTTCGACAGAATATTCAAAAGTCGGCGGTCAAGTTTACACATGCAGCTGCTACTGCACGTCGCACCTGTCAAAAGTTGCACGCAAAGCACGCCGGTTAAAAGTTGCGTGCGGCGATGGGGCACATCATTTTGTAAGCGTCAAAGGTTTAACCTGTTAAAAGGATTGGAACAATGAACTGTCATCGACAAAAGAAGTTACTGTCGACAAAAAGTGGCAACTGACATTAATGCGCAGCAACGATTATACAAGAACATTATAGTCATGTGCGTACATGTGTAGTTTTTTATACAGCAAAAAGCTATTTGAATGTTTGGTTGATTATCAAATATTTGAATATTTGGTATATTCTGCCCTAGCAGAATTCAGATTGTTAGTCAACATTTTTAATTAAACTGCTTCCCTTCCACAGACATGTGTTTCAGACCAACAACCCTCCCGGAATGAACGGTTGAGCACTGTTGTTTGGTAAATGCTGAAGGAGGAATCTCCTTAACTCTTTCAAAAGTGCCGACAGAAATAACCTGACAGGAAAAAGTGTCAACGTTAATAGAGGACCATGATACATTTTAACATTTTTGTGTGACCTCTTTCTTGCATTAAGCATTCAGTTATTTTTCATTTTTCTTTTCCGTTTTTTTGTTTTTTGTTTTAAGGATCAAGTGCTGGGGTTTGCCCGCGACATGTTCTCCATACGCAAGTGTCGATACGGCACCGTGGCCGAACTGGCCGACGACATTCTGTCCCTAGCAAAACACTACAGCACAGTGGCATCGCAGAAACTCAGCACGTGACCAACTGCTCTTCAAATTTTGAGGAATGGTACGTAAATACTAAGCATAATGATCATGGTGACATTGAGCACGAGAAATGCTCAGACAAAACAGACCCAGCACCATATCCGATGTCCGACTGTAATGCATCCGTCGAGTCTGTATTAAAAAATAAATCATGTGTTGAAATTAATAATTAGACAGCCTTTGAACCATCCTAGTCCTCTGCTAGGGTTCGACTTTAGCAGTAGCCCGCTAGCCAAATACTAGTCAAAACAGCGGCAGGCTAGTTAAACTATTCCTTAAGTAGCCAGGCTGTTAAGTCAAAAATGATTGGGCTACGGCAGAGATGAAAGGACAGAAAGAAATTAATCATTAAATTCAGAAAGCAAACCTGTATCAATTTGTGTCTTATTTTATTAATTGTCTCGGGTTAAATTATTAGATTACAAGATTGTCTCAGGATACACGTTTTACATGTATGCACATTGTTTATGAGACACTCTATAAAAGAAAAACATTCGGGCTAGTGAAAATGTCTGCAGGCTAGTTAAGAGTCTGTTTCAGTAGCCCGGCCTCTGCACTTCACAAGCCTTCAAGTGTTTCGCAAAACCACTTTCCCCCATAGAGTTAGCACCCACACTTTCAAATTCATTTGATGCAATCTTCTGTGGAGTATGGATAACACTTCAAATCCCTGCACAATTTGTCTGTGCAGTTAAGCTCAGGGCAAGCAGGCAGATTTGGTCACGCTTCATCTCTCCACAGTGCTGTTTTTTTTGTGTGTTCAGTGACTCTCAGTGTGACACAGTTGCTTTAACACGTCATATCCCTTCACTTGAAACGGACCTGAAGGATTTTAAAGGGTTTGACATTTTGCTCTGAATATTGACTTCACACTAGGAGGGTTAAAGTGCTTTTGACATCTAATTTTGTTCTCTTTTCTGCCAATTTGGTTGATAATTATGTTGTGTTTGAATCCTCATCAGATCCACTATGCAACAAAGATTGTTGAGAACCGCAGCTGTCAACATACGACTACAGAGCTCTATCTTCTACCCTCTTCTGTTTTAGCTGGTTTTACCCTGAAGTCCTCCCAAGTGCGCCCAAGACCTCATTTCTTTCTAGTGGATAATGTCTTTCCAAAGTTCATCCAGTACCAGTTTCACTAGAATCCTCCTCTTGCATGCCAGCTGATAAACCTCCCGACTACAGCTTTTAAACTTTCCTTATTTGATTCTGATTTGGAGTATCAATTTTATGATGTGAATAATTCTGAAATAGTGAAATTAAAAAACTGCCATACAGAAAAAAAAGATTACCTATAATCACCTGAAAGTTTGTTTTACATTTGTAATGGTTGTAGTTAAAAATGCCAATCTGTTTAGGGAATAAATTAAAATGTATTCATGACATTTTGGAAGATAGCATTTTTAAACCAAACTGTAATGTTGCATAGACGGTTGCGTGATTGTGTTTTGTCTTAATTTTGTCTTAATTTTGAAATTGCTATTTCAGAACTTTCATGTTAAGGATGTTTTATCAATGTTTTTGTGCAATGTTCATGATTTTATACTTTTGAGTCGGGGTATGTCCAAGGACCTGACCCCAACTTGCTAAGTTGTTGCCATTGCTTAATACAGTTGTGAAATGCTTCCCCTCACAAAAATATGAACTTTCATTATTAAATGGTTAATTTTGTTTTACCATTTCCACATATATGAATGTATAGTCTTGTATCAGAAGTAATAATGGATTTTACAAAGAAACTTGAGATGCATTTGGACTGAATAATAAATATGTGTTGCTACAGGCAATCACAAACACTTGAAGATGTTTGAATGGGATTTTTGTTTGTTGGTCTTAAGTTCTTGTTTGTCCCCAGTGCTGAACATTTTGCAGTTGGGTATTATTATTAGTATTGTTAAAGCTATAGTCCATCATTTGCAGCCATCCGAAAAGTAACTGGCGTAATTATTGTTGAAAAACATACTTAGTTGAAAGATAGTAAGGGAACTAAACTCCCTGTGAAATTATTCTTTCTGGGAAGCTGTAATTTTGAAGTAATCAACGAAAGAAGGCATTTCCAACGGTGATTCTTAAGAAGCACCGTAGGAAAATTTAAACTAGTAGTTCGTTTTGTTATTCAGCACAGCGCGCGCAAGTATTGGAACGACGCACACGCGCGCGCGGTTGTTATAATTCGTTGGATCAGTGCGCGACGTCGCATATAGCTGCAATTCAAACATGATTCAGTAACTTTTGATTTGAAATTGAGATCTTAGAATGCTGTTTTTTCTCGGAATGTACAGCTGAAGCTTTATAGCTGAAACTTTATCAGGTTAGTTGCTTAGTATCCTTTATTAGAGTTTGAACTCTTTTGTTGCTTCAAACGAACAAAATGCACAAATTACAAATGATGGACTATAGCTTTAAAGATGCAAAGATGTTTGGTAGATAAATAAAAGATTAGTCATCCCCAAATACCCCCTTTTGCCTTTTTATTTGGTTTAAAATATTTCACTAAATTTGCTTACAATGAGAACAAAATCCAAATACATGTAATTAACATTATTCAATCCATGAGCAATGCACAGGTGTTTGATCCAACCTGTCCTTTGCGGCTTTGACCATGTGACCTGCCACCCTAATATCAACTTTGAGACAGCGCCACCAACGTTCAAAAGTAGAAATATGGGGCCTCACTCTCAAAAGGCGAGTTTATAAAATCGGAGGTTAATGGCTTTTGTGTCTCATTAAGACTTGTACTGTTGAATCCAATAACAAAATTGCGATACAAGTTCCTGCATTTGGATCCAGAAAGTGGGGGGGAGTTGGTAAAAAAAAAAGGGTTGATTGGTAAAAAAAAGGGTTGATTATTACTTCAGACTAAAACATCCATTCAACAATATTCTAAAAGTATGTGTGATGACCAGCAGCCATACACATTTATTGTCCAGTTCAATGAAGTCATTTAAGATAACATAATAAGGCATCATTAGGATACATTCCTACAGTTTCAAATTGTACAAATATATTTAGTAGGTGTACATTTAATGAAACAAGCATAAATGTAAGACATTTGGACCAAAATGATGTACTTCTTAGTGCATAGATAGATAGTATAATCTAAGAAGTCTATTTTTGGTTGTTTTGATTGATCCACGGTTTGTAAGGCCTTTAAATTTGGCAGTACAATTACTTACCAACTAGGATAACTAGTTTTACTATAGTTACTTGTCTGAATTAAGTTATGTCAACTATTTACTTCTTTAAAGCAATGGCTTTGGTTTATAATATGCTTCAAAACATGCATTGAAATGTACATGCATTTAAAGCTAAACAATTTGACAGTCGCAGAACGATTCAAATCAATTTTAGTTTTTAATATTATCAAATTAACAATTTTCTAAACAAAGGAATACAGCAGTGAAATCCTTTTTTTTGGTCAGCTTATGAAAGACTTATCATAGAACTACCATTAACGATCTGATATTTGATGAAGTAACAACAGTTTTTCAATGTAAAAAAAAAGTTCTGAGCTAGGAATCTTTCTAAAAAGACTGGGAAAAAAAATAAATATTAAAAGCTATAAATATTAGTAAAAACTGAAAGCAAAGAGCAGCTGCTTTCCACATTTGACAAAAAGACTCAGCTAAGGCCAAAAAAAAAAAGGCTCCGGTTTCTGGTATGCACGCGCGTCGCTGTAGCCATGCGCGTCGGCAAAATTAAAAAGGTTTTTTCAATGTAAGATGATGTCTCAAAATCGTCAAACTCACTGGTTTGACTGGAATCCTGCTGCTGCACAATATTAACGTGTTTTTAGATGGGGTTACGATCGAGTATAAGCTTAATGTGGTCTCTCTGGGCTCCCATACATTTTGAACTAAATTTAGTCGGAAGAAAAAAACAAGTAAGAAAAAAACAAGTAAAAAAAAAAAACAGCCGCATCGCCGCACCACTTTTGGGGCAAGCTCCATACCAGAAACCGAAGACTTTTTGGGGGCCTAAGATGTAAGCTCACAATGGTCGATATGATCAGGCTATTTACTTATATACTTTCAAACAGTTGAATGCCAGATAAATGCTAACACTGCAATTGAAAACTATTGGAAATAACACAAACAACTTTATACATTAAGTGAAACACTGTTTGATCACATATTTCTTACAACTAGGGTACATTTTAAGATTTCAACTAAAAGCTGGTTTTCAAGTTTCTAGTTGGAAATACAAGATATAAAATAATATTTACAGATAACCACTTTTGATGTCATGTACATTTTACACTCCTCTACAGTAACACACTTTGTTATACTCTGCAGGATTAACAAAAACTGAAGCACAACAATTTGGGCAAGAATATCCACAGGTGAGTGGTGTCTTTGATCCATACAAACATGCATGACTTGTGTAAGATTTTCTTCAGTACATCCAAGCCATCCAGGAGAGAATTTTTGATGCACTAGGTTCGTAAAATCCTCTATTTTCAACTATTCAAAACCTTCAGGAAATACTATCTCTACACTGAATATTTGCTAGAATAAAAAATTGTCACAGACATTACAAATGAAGTCTAACAAATTTGAAATATTTGCTACGGTACTTATAAACAGAATAAATACGAGTCAAAGTTTTATATACAGCATATCAAAAACCCAAAAGCAGCAAAGTAGTCATAAAAAAGGTAAAGAAACTGCATGTTGCTTTAGATTTGATACGTTCCAATTTATAAATGGCACTGACAGGGTTAAAAAAAAATATGAAATGAGCTGATTGCAGTAAAAAAAACAATATGAGAGTAAACTAAAGGAATGGTGCTGTGCCATCATCTAACCATCTAAGGCGCATCGCCATAGCCATGAGCATCGGCAAAATAAAAAAATAAAAATTCAATGTAAAATGATGGCTCAAAACCGCCAAACTCACTAGTTTGACTGGAATCCTGCTGCTGCACAATTTTAACATGTTTTTAGATGTGGTTACGATCGAGTATAAGCTTTATGTGGCCTCTCTGGACTCCCATATATTTTGCACTTAACTTAGTCTGGCACCATTTGCAGTCATCAGCCGACAGTCGAAGGAAAAAAAAGTAGGGGAAAAAAAAAAAAACGCTTCGCCGCACCACTTTTGGGGCAAGCTCCATACCAGACACTGAAGATTTTTTTTTTTGGCCTGAAAAATCTGGTTTAAGTTTTCTGTTTATTACAAAGTTGCTTTTTCTTCCTAAATTTTACACTTTATTTTTGAAGTTTTCTCCATGATTAGATAAACGTAGTGTTATTTGGCATCTCCTTCTTCTTGTTGTTCTGGTGTGTCTTTCCCCGTGCTTCAAACAGTTGGCGAATGAGTGCCGCTTTGTCCTTCTCAAGCTGCGTGATCAGTTCGCTCTTCTCCGACACCTCCTGTGAGTCCAAAATACATAAATTACATAATTAATTAAATAAATTATTACCTCCGCCAAGGAGGTTAAACCGAATTTCATGGGATTTGGTTAGTTTGTTGGTCGGTTTGTCTGTTAACAAAATAACTCAAAAAGTTATGGATGGATTTTCATGAAAACTTTTATACGGGTGGTCCTTGGTACAAGTTAAATTGATTAGATTTTGGAAGTGATCCTGATCTGGGTCTGGATCGAGCATTTAAAGGGTTTTTCACCGAGTATTTCTTTTGGGTGTACTGCCAATATGGCGGGGTTTGTTTAGCCTCGTTGGAGGTTTGCGCTCTCTGAGTGCTTTCTAGTTAAATAAATGATAGTCTTTGTATTTTTATATTTGTCCAGTACTTTGAAAAGCCAATTTGACATGGAGGGAGGTTTTAAATATTACGTAAAAAAAAACTTGCATCTATCAAAACAACTGTTAATAGAATTAATTTGAACAGAGGTTACAACACTGCATTTGGGCAATTCCACGGTTATTCACGTTACATTTTCGTAACGTGAGTAACCAATTTTGTGCGTCTTGTTTATCATACATAACACATTTTTCTGGATGTCATCTTTGGTGCTTAGGTAGGTCTAGGTCTACTCTATCTACCATGGGGATAACAGTTATTAAACCTTTTCAGTAAGGTAATTACAGCCCAACGAAACTCAAAAGTACATAAAAAATGTAACGTGAGTAACCGTGGAATTGCCCATATTGAGCTCAAATGTGAAGCTTTTTCTGCACTGGTTAGAAACCTATGTCCTGTGAACTTAGTGAATGACTTCTGAGGCGGCAAATAGTTTGAGGTAAAGAACAGAGGCTTCACAAAAATCTCACTTCAATCAGTCAATATTTGTCTTGTTGGAGAAGACAGATAGCGTTTGTAAATATTGAATACTGAGAGATAGGTAGGAGTGGAGATTTTTTTTTTTTTTGTGAAAGTCTGCACTTGTTTAGAATTATTTCAAAGTTGCTGGGTTGATTGATAAAGATCATTTCTTAATCTAGGCCAATAATAAATGTGTGGAGAACGACAGTTGTGATTTATAATGAAAAGATTCACCCCGACGTAAATTTATCTTATGAATAGTTAAATTGCGGTACCCGCTGCTACATGTACATCAGATTCGAACCAGCCAACTGATCCTGCAAGCTCGATGGTCGAGTGGTAAGACGTCTGCAGGAGGTCGTGGGTTCGAGTCTCACCCGAGTGATTTTTTCCAACTTTCACTCAGGAGGTAACACACTGCGTATACAGTGTTTATACGTCGGTGAAGGGCACAACCTAATATTGAAAAGGATTCTTCTTTTACCTTGGTTAGTAACTTGTTTTGTTCCCGTAGCTGAGCTATAAGATTGCTGTTCATGCTGCTACTGCTTGAGGTGCTGCTCATACGCTGCTTCGGAGGAGCTTGTGAGGGTTGGAAACTGGCCAAGGCTAGATTCATGTGATCTGGGAAATCCTGTGTGGAATAGTAATAACAAACAAATAAATAACACTCAGAAAATGAGAATTTGTTGGCACTAATTGCTTAGGGACTAAGTAATGTAAAGGGTGGATTTGGTGCAAAATTATATTCCAAATAATGTCATCAAATATTACATAATTTGAGTCACAATGTTAAAGAGTAGGGGTTTGCCCCGGTGTTTCTGGCAGTGGCTGCTTAATGTGCCTTGTAAACCATCTCATATTTCTCATGTACTTCATTTACCTGTCTCTAATAATAGACATAATTTTCAGCGCCTTGAGTACCTAATTGTTGGTAGATACGTGCGCTATATAAGACTTTGGTACTATTATTATTATGTTTCTAGTGATACTTGTAAATTCATGATCTCTGACGCTGGAATGTTTTGGTTTCATTGTCAATAGTGTACCAAACAACCATGCTCTCTTTCTATTAAACAAGTTGCCATGGAGTACCTACTGTTAAAGTTAAGATCTTTATTGCTTTTGTTTTATCTTCATGAGAAGATTACACTAGCTCAACCAACAAAAGGCAAGATCATATCTATGTCTAATTTAGGATTAGTCACGAAAGATCACACCTGGGCAAAAAAGTACCAAGTTAACAGAAAACAATGCGAGTGCACAGTAAGCTCTGGCCATCTTGCACGAAACTCTTGCATGGAATCGATCAAAACGATCCCTGCCAGAGCTTAAAAATGTGACGCCCAAAATGTGACGCCGATGGCACATATGGAACACTGTACTTTAGATTAATACCTAGATTTATAGCGATCTGTGATAAATACCACGTTGACTATAACATTACTGAACATATTTTGCCTCCATTTACAAACTTTTCATAAACATCTTTCTGAATTGATACAAACACTTTTTGATAAGTATTTAATATATTTTGTTTGCTTTTTTTTTAATTAAAATTTGGTAGTTATATTTTATGGGAAACTTAGGGGGCTTTTTTTGGTCAATTTTCCGGGGACAGACCGACCGACCACCAAGTGACATGTAGAAGGTCCTGCCAGGGCTTAAAAAGCAAATAAAAAGTTGATAATCTTGTTGGTTCGACCAAGTCCACAAGAGATACAAATGATTTCATTTTTTTTGTATAGCGGTCATTTTTTACGTAGCAATCAGTACAGTGCTCAGTTTGTGTTACTTTGATAGTTTAAGATTAAACTTGGTCCTCAGCAATACTTTCCAAGCAACGGTCAAGATTTTTTCCAAAGTTGGGCGCCACTGATATCTAGCAAAATAACTCAACATCTCTTGTGAAGAGGGTCGATGACATCAGGGTCACTTTTATATGGAGCAACCTTTTTGTCAACAATTCTACAAACAACTACAAATAATTTGTGAAACTGTGGCAATATCTGAATCTCTCGCCTAGTGCAATTGTCTCGAAGTTCATCCACTACAACTACGTGGGAACAAGCTGGCAAATAGACGTAGCCGTAGCTCTGGAAGCCCAGTTTTGACACAGCCTAACTGATTCTGAAATTCCCTCACAAAATGATAACGGGTGTCATGGATAAGACTAAAAGAAAAATTAACAATCCTATTCTGCGATTGATGTATAACTCCCTACAAATATTTTACGAGAAGCCTGCTGAACCTTAGAAATACTATCCAACAAACCAGTAACATATCTAACAATATCTAACTAAATCCAATTTATTAAGGACAACTACATGTACGTGGGAACAAGCTGACAACAGTGTTCAACAGCGAGAAGAAAAAACTGTTGATTTCTGAGATCAAAAAGATTCAGCCAAAGTCTCCATTGTTGGATTTTGATGGCTTCAGGATAGTTACCTACCTTTTCAGGGTTTTCCATGAGGTGCGTGAGTTGCCTGTTTATCTCTAGAATCCTTGACATGCGGTAGGCTAGTCTGTCCTGCTGACCAGAAACAGGCGAGTCCTAGAAATGAGCAGAAATATGGACAAGTTGAACATAAAACCAACAAGGTAGATCTCTGAGTTTCTGTTCAATTCCTGTTCATTTCTATCAAATATAACCATTAGCACATGCACTATATTGTATTTATTCAGTGAAAAATCAATAAAAACATAAAGTCCTTGGGCAGCCTTAAGGTGTGTAATAGGCAGGGCGGTTTTGGGCGCTGCAGTGACTAATGAATTAATTTAAACACACACAAAAGTTTATTTTCAATACCCATGAGTTTAAATAAATATGGACTGGTGCTTAAGGGGGAAATATTGAAGTCTTCATTCAATGGTTATGGATGTATTGGTGAGGTTGAATTAGGAGCCGGTCTCCTTCGAAGTGTATATTGCAGTGGCGTAGCCACGGGGGGGCGTGGGGGGCGACAGCCCCCCCCCCCATGAAACCTTGTCGTCCCCCCCCCCCAGTCGCCCCCCCACTGAGATTTTGAGTTTCTAAAAAAATTATCATTGATCTACATGACACCCCCCCCCCCCCCATGAAATGTTCCAGCCCCCCCCCCCCCCCCCCCCCCGAAAAAAAATTCCTGGCTACGCCACTGGTATATTGTATCAAGTTTGCTGGCTTTAAACAAAGTTTCAACAGTCTGGTGCCATTATCTATACGGATGTAAGTCAGCAGTATTCAGGAAACTAGACCAAGATGGCCCATACCTCTCCATGAGTAAACTGCGAATTCCCCGAGTACCCCGGCTGTCTCTGCCTGACGTAGGCCAGTTGTCTCTGGTACCAGTCTCGGGATCGTTCAGCCACCTCCATGCCTTGTAGTAGCACATCTCGTTCCTGCTCGAGCTGTTTCATTCGTTTCAACTGCAATTGGAAAACCATCTGGAGTGAGAGACTACACTTCATGACTGCAATATTTGTCACAAAGCAATCAAGCTTGTTCAGAGAAATGGTTGAGTAGTAAAGTTTGAAGCAAATTAGCAATTAAGTGACATCAGGAAATGTGACATTTGAAATATCAATTTTACTCAGGCACTCAAGTGTTGGAAGATTAGAATGAACCCACTGCAATTCACAACAAAAAGGGGGAAAAACATTAAATGAAGAAACAGAACTGACAATTTTGTCAATTATTCATGTTTTCATTAATTTAACAACTTATTTTTTAGACAAGAAAAAATGAAGACAGAGAAGAAAGTCAGCCAATAATTAGAATGAGAAGACAAACAAAAATGATATAATCTGAAAGAAAACGATGGATCACTGACTGTTGATTTCTAAAAATGTGATTTCCAAATTCAAAGTTGTTTCTCGTGTCATGAAGTTTGCAAGTCAGCTGCCAACTCTTTAAGTTACAGACAAAAAGCAAATACGGTTTTGATAAAGCCATGTCGGAGCCCACTCCACCCCATGCTGTTTCTTTAATGAATCTTTGTTTGGACTTCAATCATTAATCTGAAAATGTTATGATACAACCTACCCCCTCCCACTTACTGACCTTAAAACAATCCTTCCATGTTGTTTGCATTATCCACTACTGCGCTTAAATGTGTGCTATTAAAAGCTACCTTGAAGTATTAACAAATTTTACTACATATATGTTTGTTGTTGTTTTTTTGCTTTTTTGACAAAGGTCATCAGAAAAACTGTTAAAGCTATGGTTTAGAATGACAGAATTATAACAACATCAGTGGCAGAAATGACTTAATTGTTTGCTAGACGTTATTCTTCCATCAATCTTTTTACATATGGAAGTATTCATCATATTTTGTATAGTGAATGTGAACACAAGAAAACAATAGAAGCATCAGAAGTCTGATAAACTACAATGTTTTGGTTTTATGTACTCATGTGCTCATTCCTCCATGAATGCTTACAATTATCTACATCATGTATTCATCTAATGTCTGTTTCTTCACTCACACACTTTTTATTACTCTCTGATGCAAAGTGCAATCATCGTTCATCTCTTATTAAGTAGTCAGTCATCCGTGCGCATATAATCTCCATCTCCTGTACTGATGTAAGCTCATTATACACTTCATATCCAAATTACTTTGGGCAATCCGACGGCAATCCGACGGCAATTACGGATATTACACATGTACAGGTGCTTTTCTCTAGTCGGACTCATCACGCTTTCGTGGTTTTTCTCCTCAGTTTTTGTCAGCCAACAAATGCATCATTTTTGGGGGCATAATTTTCCAAGAGAATAAACTGAAGAAATTTTCACAAACACCAAACAATGGGAAGAAACAAAACTCTCATTACCAAAATTACACCCACAAAATAGAACAGAAAAGATCCACACAAAAAGGCATGCAAATGGTACAGGTCATTCCAGTCGCAAATATAGCTTCCAAAGGGAACAATTTCTTTACAGTTTTTGAGCCTATAATTCAAAAAGAAATTACATGTACAATTTCAAATTTTTGAAAATGATGCATTTATGCCCCAGTATGCAAGTATCAGCGCAACAGAATAAAGCTATAAGGCCGAATAAAAAAAACATGTTTCTCGTCCGGGTTTTCGAAAAAAAGGAGGAAGCGGGGCTTTTTATTTTTTATTTGTTTCAAGATGGCCGCCATTGAAAAATTTCCTGCAATTGTTGGCGTTTCCACTGTTCAAAGACACTTTTAAAATGAAAGATAAGTTGGACAAGAGAACTGAACATATTTACAGTGTCATTTAGACTTGTATTGGTCTACAGATTATTTTCCGATAAATCTGTGGACTTTTTCGGTGTTTTTTCACTGCATTTTTCAAAAATAAAAAATAGTAAAAAATCCAGGCGGCCTTCAAAAAGGAAGCGGGCGGGGACGAGAAACATGGTTTTTGTTTTACTTCGCCTAACGGAATATAAAGCCCTTTGTGCTTTCTGAAAACCACCAACATGTGCACTAGCATGAGCAATTCTGGTCTACATTGCTGCTAATTTAAAACATGTATACCGCTGTACCATCACACTAACAGGTGTACAATGTGCACAAACAGAAACACTAATGCTTCCTCATATTGCTGATCTAGGGGCTTGGCCTGGTTGGCTGGCTAGTGGCTACTAAGTGGTAAGCAACACACAACGCAGCAGTCGTAGCCTTTGGCAGACCATCGTGACTTATTAGCCTGCATAACAAAGCTGCGAAGCCACAGAGCGACAGGAGCAGAGACCAGTACAGCGTGCACGAATGACGAAGTGCACCACTCGTTACTTACATTGTTTATAGTCTCCCCTCAAATCGCTTCGCGTTTTTGCCGCTCTGTCTTATGCCGGCTATAAGCCACGATAGCCTTGGCAACAGGCTACACACAACGGCAACTGTTCCACATAAAAGCTTCCTCACTGCTAGCTACCTGCTAAGCGACTCTGCACAGTTTAACATGAAAGTTGCTTACCGTTAAGCAGCCAATGGCCTGAATTGTGAGTTGGTGTTTTCTCTATCAGTGAGAACAAAGTTGCAATGGGAACAACAATTAAATAGCAAAAGAAGGAAAAGGACACTTCTAAGAATTCAATCCACAAAAGGTTTTCTAATTCTACACTACACTATTTAGTATGAAACTACAAACACATGGTCACTTCAACAAAAACACCTCAATTATATGCCACATCATTTGATGAATTGGAAAGATATCTTAAAACCCATAGAATTTCAAATTTACCAAAATAATTCTGGATTTCTTGACAAGTACATTGTAATTTATATAGATTTCTTATCTGCACCGGTCTGTTTCTGATTTTAACCAGTTCGCGCCGGGATTATTTTGACATTGACCAGACCCAGGCGCGGTTGGCACACCCTGATATTTCTGGCCTCGCTCGCTGCGAGCAGGTCACTGCGAGCGAGTCGCTGACAGATATTTCCGGCCTCACTCGCTGCGTGTTTATCCATCATTCGTTCCGAATACCGCAAAACCTTTTGAGTGATGTATGCACGTCATCCAACATGAACTGGTTAATAATAGCCTAATTATAAAATTGAACAAGACAAACTGACTGGAGCAGGTCCTTAGTTTGTAAATCTTTTTGTTAAACGGCCCTAGTCAAAAACAAAAGTTTCTGATCTGCACAATATCTTTCCAAATCTTCAAATGACAATGGCCTATTTATGAGAGGGCAATTGGAACATACTTGTTTAATGTGAAGGACAACATTTTCCATTCCAGAGGGGTGAATAAAAAAACAACAAAAAGATGACAAAGATCATTTAACTTTAAATTCCATTTGTGTTACAAAATAAAATGTGCTTTAGTGCTATAATCAAAGCAGGAATGTACAAAGATGATGTCATATTCAAATTCATATTCAATCGACCATGCCTTCTCAATTCCGATCAAGTTGGGTCCCTTGTACAGAGATGAAACTGGCCTTAGCAAAAAAAAAATCTGAAATTGGACCTTGGATCCCAGCTGCCACAGCATCGCACAGTGCAGTGCAGCGCATCGATGACATAGGTCATTATTTAACCTTTTCTCCAGTCAGAAAAGGATCTGATCAGCATTGGGCTAGGTGTTTTACACTTGTGCAAATTTTTACGCGCCTTTTTCATTGCCTTTTCTTGGAAATTATAATGAAAATAAATTTTTGTGGGATCACTAAAAAATCTGAAATTTCATTGGAAAAGTTTTCAAAAAATCTGATTTCAGATTAAAATCTGAAAAGTTTCATCTCTGCTTGTAGTTACTAGTTTATACCAAAGCGAGGAAAACCCACAATTTTCTGAGCATTTCTATACTTCAGGGATGAGATTGTCAATTTAAAAAAGAAGGAAAATTGGATGAAAGTTCTGAAAGATGCATTGCTTTCTTTACAGTTTACTGATAATGTCTTTCTCTCAGATTCAAAAAGTCTGAATTCAGATTAATGTCTGAAAAATCTCATGTCTGTATACTTTGCTTCCTGCTCATTTTGAGTCGTGATTTCCCAGTCTTTCCATAAATACATGAATGACTAACCTCGAAACCATCCAATTCCAATCTTGCTCAAGAATTTAGAAGGCTGTGGGTCTTTATATGGTCATGGGAGAATTCATGTGCACATTCCTTCAACCCAGAGCCACAAAAGTTCAAGAACTGGGAACAAGCAAGTCAACAACACTTGAGCTAATAAGACTAGAGAGGAGCCCAGCATTCAACAATACCAGATTCCAATACCACATTTTGAAGTGTTACTACAATTTTCTGAAACCTCTCTAAAAAGAGAGAATTTCAAGATTAACTGTAGAACTTGCAATGTCAACAGTTTAAGGTGTCAGATTTCTGCCTCGTAAAAATTCCTCGGTCAACTTGTGTTTCCCTCAAACGCTGGATGTAAAAAGGTTGGTTTCGACCACAAAAATGCGGCTTTTTGTCCGACCCCCATTAAACTTTGCACTTTTGAGCCAAATAACATCAACACAATCTTGGTGCAAACTTGTAGATTAAACCACTTATTTGTGTTGGTCCATTTTTGAAGCAGGACAAATGTTGTCACGTGTCAACATACCTGTGTATTTTAAGTCAATTTTTAAATCTTTATTTTAGTTTTTAAAAATCTGCAATTCCAGCATGTTTGCGTCATACATGTACGCCTACCGTTACTTTAGTACATGGTCAAACTACAAAACGGAAACATGTAGCTCCGTAAGTAAGTACTAAATTAAGTTCAACAAAACATTCCAATTGACTACACACAAGAAAGATGGTTCCAGGTATTTATAAACATCACTCATAAATATCCAAATTCCAATTCATAATTCTAAGCTGTTGGTCATTCCATCTGTCACCTAGCCCAGTTTTCCCCTCCATTTCCCAATTTATAACCCGGTGTCAAATCTCACATGCACATGTCCCTCAGACATCACCCAAAGGGGGACACAAAGGGGACACAAAGGGACCAAAAGGGCCCCAAAGAACCCCCACAGTGGCACCATTGTCTGACCTCATTAAAGATTAATAGGAAACAATACCCGACATTATTGATTTCCCTTTTGTCTCGTTGGCACTTTGTTGGCCGGGAATTGAGTAACCTGAACTGCCCATAGCGCCAGTCGGCGCTCGCCAGCAGAGACTAACCATGCCTTGGCTATAAATTTCAACATAAAGATCTCAGTTGACTTGACACAACTGCTGCATTAAGGACTGAATTTACAGTAAATCCGGTCTTCAAGGAAACTGGAAAAACATAAGGAACTAGGCTTGCGTGTCATCGGTGGAAATGTTTAGGCCATAAAAAAGCAGTAAATTTATGATAAACACCTTCAGTTCACTCTGAACAGGCTAACGAAGGAAAGACTTTGATGGATTAGAAAGATACATCTGGTTCGCCAACGGAACTTGTAAAATAAAAAATAAATACTTTTTTTTTCTATGTTAACCTGATTCTCATAACTCAAACACCTCAGTTTAAAAGATAGGGTCGGGATATTGTTTTGGAAAGGAGACTTAATGGAAATGTTAATGTGCAAGGTTAAGTTTCAAGACTTTCTCTCTATTATTAGTGGCAGTGCAGATGCTTGAGTTTGCTTAAATGCTTGAATGACTCAATATGGGATTATGGTAACCACACTTTTTCCTTTATGAATGTAAAATCCCAAAGTTGGAACAACAGCTAAAGTTTGGATGTAATGCACACAACATTTCAAAATAAAGCGCAAAATAAATGTTTGAAATCAATCAGGGCACCAAGGGAGAACAGTTCTTTGAAAACTGATGGGGCTACCCTGGTTAAATAAAACGAAATGAATAGAAATAGATGATCTTTTCACATCCTACAAACTAAAAATTTCATTCTCAGTACACGTCCTGACATGTACAAGCATGTCACAATTACATGTCACGGGTCATGTTTTCTTTGATAGTGGGACACACTCTACTGCTGCTTCTTTTAATTTCTTGCTTCCTGTGTTCCTAGTGTCCTTGTAAGAAGTCTATTGTCATAGGACAGACAAATCAATGGGACTGGGAGAATAGCCAATCAATTGAACTATTGTAGCAGGTAGTTAGGTCATAATCCCATAGAGCAGACAAAAAGATTACAGTCTCGCTGGAATGCCATGGGAATTGGTCATGGAATTTTATCACACGATTTCTTTTAAGCAAAAAATGTAAACTGTTTTCCGTGTAAATTTTGTTACACAAATACCTACATGTATCCAAAGGTCTTGTTTACAAAAGAACGAGGCTAGTTAATTGCTCTCTTGTAGAGGGCAACTTATTTGTTTTGACTCATTTGTTGTTGGTTTGTTTAATGGGAAAGATATGGAATGAGAAAAATCGCATCAAGTGTTACTCAAAATGGAATTCAAAATAAAATACTGGTACCCTGTTCAATCACAACACTCAACAGAAACTTCGAGTCAAAAGTAAAAAATACCGATAGGTTTCAGGGCTGTACAAATGCACACTGCAACGGATCTTACAGTAAATTCCCAACACAATTTACTTTGTTATAAATCTGGGACGGCTTGTTTGTGTGAGAATAACATCCACTGCATTGATGGTACACAGAACCACAGGTTCAAATACATGTAGCATGACCGAGTTTCTGAATGCCAAAACTATTTACCAAGGTTGGGTTTCTTTGTAGAAAATTAATTGACTATATAGGTATAACTCTTTTGAAGAGTCAACAGCGGTTGCTCTTGTGAACTCCAGTGCGACTTCTCTCCTACAAAAATGGGCAAAGACCTGGCAATACAAAGACTTTTTCAATATGACTGATGTCTTGCCATAAAACATGAGTACCAACAACCCAACAGACCCGAGGCCAAAAAAAAATAGTTCTGCTTCCGATTACATGGCATTTGAAAATAGGGTAGGTAGGTAGGGAAATAATTTTTTTTTTGCAAATTTTTTTGTGTATGATCGTATGGAGGCGTCTGCAGGTACATGTAGTCAGGGGTCAAAGGTAGAAATTGATGGTTTTGGGTGTTTTTTCCTCATTTTTCCAATAAAAAAATTAGGGTAGGGGCTGTCAGAATAGGGTAGGTAGGGAAACCGGAAGCAGAACTATTATTTTTTTTGGCCTGAACAAAATTTACACTGAGAAAAAAACATGAGATTTCTGTATTTCATTTTTAGATCTAATCGGAAATTGCCACAAATAAGACTGGTTCAGTATAATGTTGCCACACTGGTTGCTAGTGACTGCCTACGAGCGTTCTACAGGCACCCTGCTAAATCTAGCAGAGTTCAACAGGTGCATTTACGAAGCTAACTGATGATTGCAAACATGGACTCTCTAATCCTTGCACTATTCTGCCAACAATCCAATGAATTAAAGGAGTTCTTTGTGCCCAGATTTCCCCTACTTTTTTTTGGGGGGGGGGGGGGGGGAGGTGGGCGGGTATCCCGGGTAAAGTACATTCACGGTTGAAAAAAATCTGGATCTTGAAGGACTGGGATGAGATCAAATTTGTCGATCCAGCTAAAATTCAAATTTTATTCAGAAACAGAAGTACTGTGTAACTGTTTTGATTTTATTTTTGGGTTCTTCTTTTCAATTAAAACTTTATCAGCTTTGAATCTACACACAAAGGATCATAGCCTTATTAAAACTCTAGGTAAGATCCCTTGGAATATGTCGCCAGTATGGAAGGAACACCGACATGGTCTATTAATTAATAATGGACTAAAAATTCCATTAGCATGCCAAAAGAAATTCCTTCTATTACAACAAGCGCAATGAACCTATTTCAGGCATGCAACTAGGAAGTCACACAAAAAAGAGGATAATCAAATCTTTCCAAGACTTTGTACAGTGTTTTTTCATTTGTAATGGCACAGATGGGAAGTACAAAAAGAGGAAATCAGCTGATCCGAGGAAAAGTTGCATGCCTGCTATTTTGGTAGAAGTTGCAAAAATAGTTTACAAATGCAAACACGTACGTGTAGGGTCTAGTTTAACACAGCAGCATGCATACTTTCAACATAAACCAAAACACAGCGCTGTCTGAGGCATGACGCAAACAGGTACAAAAATCAACCAGCTATTGTCCCTACTGTTGTAAATAATGTAAACATTCCAGTAGTTTTGAACAATGGGCAGTGATCTTTTCAGATGCCTGACTACATGTACATCCTGCGTACAATCTTGACAAGTATTCGCTAGTACATGTATTCTATAACTTTATTACAAGAAACATGTTTGAAATTTACGGGGAAAAAAAGGAGTGGTTATATCTGTATGTTTGAAGAACAAAATAATACCAGGACACCTTGACAACTGTAGATACATGTTCGCTTTTATAAAATAAAATAAAAACACACAATGAATGATCTAAGGTTCATGTTTCAAGGAATGTGCTTTTAGGTTCAGTTTTAAAATCATTTTGGTGAAACTTTTCCCCCAAATCTCTTAAAACTTACCAAATTATAGTCAATGCCATTGGAGACTGTATGGCGTCTGGGATCAGCACGTCTGGACCTCTCTTTAGCTTCGGACTTCTGCTTGGGGGAATGGTTTGGTGAATGCCGCTCGGAACTGACGTGACCGTTAACCGGTTTTGTTTCAACTGAATAAGAAAATATGAGAAGAAATTGATTTCAAAACTTAAATATTTATGAAATATTAATTATAAATATTTATATTACGAGTTAAACCCTAAAACTACAGGCTCTGTGTGTTTAAAATAACTTCAATTGTTTAGGACTCAAAAGATATTTCTGCTTCCGGTTACCCTATCTACCCTATTTTGACAACCCCTACCCTAATTTTTATTTGGCAAAATCAGGGAAAAAACCTGAAAACCATCAATTACTACCTTTTGCCCTTGACTACACGCAGACACCTCTATATCTATCGTACACAAAAAATCCCCCCCCCCCCAAAAAAAACCTACCTACCTAGTACCTACCCTATTTTCAAATGCAATCGGAAGCAGAAGTATTTTTTTGGAGGGCCTTATCCATTTACGATTTTACATTTTAGAATGTTCATCAGGGGGATTCTAGAAATTCAAGCAAAATCTTCAAAAAGGGAGCAATTTTTCAGAAGCCAAGTGTGTTATCAAAATAAATGTACGAGTAAATATTGTACACATAATGTCACATACGACTACTGAGGTAAATGAACTTCACTTCACAATGGATTTAAGTTGAACTTTGTAACTAAATAAAAGGAGCAACATTTCAAACATTGTTATAATGGCTACGTTATCAACGTAAAAGCCAATTTCAAAACCGAGAACCAACAATTTCGAAATTACATTTCTATTCAAATAGTCTGTTTCCATGACCCAAATACTATCAACAAAACACATCCAGGCAGTGGTAGACACAGCAACAACCCTTAGACCTTAGGGACTAAGGTAATTCCCGCTAAACAAGGTGTGAAAAGGCACCATTTCTAATCAGTGAGGCGTGACATCACTAACCCAACCAGGACAATCAAGTTCATAAACACAACGCCAAGTTCATTTCTGGTTTGTGCTCGGCGTTGGTCTCTCGAGCGTCAGTTGATAAATTCTACGGTTCTATTTTTGTCGTGAGAAGAGAAGTTCCTAGCTCTGAGTGAATATCTGAAATTCAATACCAACTGTGAACAAATCAACTCGAAGAAATCACTTAAAATTAAATTGTGTCAAAGGGACATGAATCACAGAATGAAAAATCGCACATTAAATTGCGTTTGATATCTCAATTTTTCACCAATCATGGGTTAACAAAAAGTGCAAATTAACTTCTCACTTCAACTGTATTTTCCCTGCTAATCAATCATGACATTATTTCAACTGCAGATGAAATTACAGCTGTACAGTTACAGAAAACATACAATCAATATCAGTAAAACCGTTTCTCCATGTTACAATTTATAATTGCATGAATTAGTGTTAAAGTTGTTAAACTAATTCCACCAATGACCATAAACAACAAAATGTGTTTACCAGGCGAACGTGGGTGGTCATACACCGGGCCATTGACTGCTCTCTCCGGCTTTGGGCCCACCCTCCCCGGTCCTTGCGGCCCCGGCCTCGGTGCCTGAGCGGGCTGATACCGCACATAATCCCCTTCACTTCGCCTCGACGCACGGTGGTTCGATTCCTTCTGAATCCTCGGATGGGATGGGTCATTGGCATTTATATCCCCCGGTGCAGATCTCCTTTTAAGTTTCAAGTCCTCCCTGACGCGGTATTTCCCACTGTGATTGTGAACCTTGTCCTCGCTTGAGCGTGCTTTCTGTACGGCGTATTCCCAGTCCGTGACCGGGTCCGTGTTGTTGGAGAGTGACCGTGGTCGCGCGTTCGGCGCCCGGGGTAGCTGCGGCGCGCTTCGGGTCCGCACGGCCATCGGACGGACCACATTATTCGGTCTCACTGTCGCTGTGTTGGGCTGCTTATCTTCTCTGCCCACCCTTCCAACTCCACGTTCAAAATTCAGAGACATTTTGAGCCCTCCACAGAACCTCTCAAAGCTCAGTTTCCCGTTCTTTGGAGCTGCTTTACGCAGACCGTTCAACACGCCGAACGGCAGGCCGGTCGTCCCCCCTTCCGCGGCCCAGCGTTTCTCGATCTCCGCAATGTGCACCAAACCGTCGACATCTTCGTCCAAAATGTCGAACAAAACTTTCATCGATGCCACAAAAGCTTTAGGAAATCCTTCCACAGTAACCTCTGGTGGCTTAGAGGTTTGTGTCGCAGCAACAGAAGAAGCCATGTCTTATCCTGTTACATTATCAAATTCCGGTATGAAATTCCAGTCCATTTCTTGCTGCGATCCCTTGTCAAAATGGGATTTTGTTCATCCCGCCCGCTCTCTCGCACATGTGATGTGTTCCGCACGAACAAGTGCATGCAAAGCACCTGTCACCAGTATCGTACGGTTTCTAATTCTCCCCCAAATTGTTGTTCATCAAATGATTTCCTCCCACCAATGACAGTACCGAATGAAACAAATCAGACAGATTATGAACAAATTTTCAACTCTGTATCAAAAAATAGACTTCCTGATCGACAATTTAATCACGAAACAAAGTAATTGGTAGTTAGACGGTTTCTAGTCCCCCACTAAACTTCAGCGGGCCGACAAGTGGGGGCGTTTGTTTGGCTGAACATTTGTAATGGTTTTATCGCCAGACTCAACACTATCTCCTTGCAAACACAATAGACCCACCGGCGGTGGTCGATTTTTAGGCTAAGCGGTCTGAAAGGTTTGCAAATAAACCGATAACCGCCGAGACCACGCCGATTGATGTTGGCAAACACCCCGGCAAGTTTAGATCCTTCGATGTAAACACATCGCACCGGAACAAAGGAATAATTTACAAATGACTCAGTGTCGTAATCACTCGCATGCACACTAAAGTTCTACTAAATTAACAGAAAGTGCACCTTGTAGTAAAGTTCTTTGGAGAATATACATGTAAATTATAACTTAACTTTTCCCCTTCTCAATAACCCTTCCCCAACAGTGTGCGATTTTTCTAGGAAATATTCCCCAATTAATCAATCAAACCAAATTATTTCCAAATCAACGCCCCCCAACAAAGAAATGTGTCAATTCCCTGTTATATACTTTGAGAAAATTCTGTGAACATTTCAAAATGGAATCAAAAGTTTAAAGAAATATCGAAGAATACGATTGAACTTTTCAGAAAGAAATTGAACAATGAAACAAGAATAGCATCACTAAGACTCAAATTCTATTCATATGGTAAAATAATTTATTCTTAAACTGCAGAAGTCCAGAATTAAGCAGATTTAGTTTTTTTTTCTTTATTTTATAGCTGATTTCATCAATAATAAGCCCCCCCCCCCAAAAAAAAAGAGTACTAAATGAAAGTCTCCATAATACATTTTGATAAGCTATTTTCCATAAAATAACTGACCTATCCTTCATGTCCAAAACAACTGGTCGAGGATAACATTAAAACATGTCTAGTGAGAAAAACATCCCAAAATTGTACATTTTTCTGAATGTCCCCTCTCCAACCTCTTGTCAATTACGTCTCTTTCAAACCCAGCCTGTCATCGTAGAATGTTCCCCCAATCATTTTAATTGGAAAAAACTGCGCCCCCCCCCCCCCCCCCCCCCCCGGAAAAAATATAATGAAGCAAACTTAATATAAACTTAAAACAAACAAGAGTATAAGCAGAGGGGAAAAAGGGGAAAAAAGTTGGAAAAGTTTCATTTCTTTTGTAATGTAAGTTTTTTTCAAGTTTCAAAGTACAAACATCTCTTTTTCCATATAGCTCTCTCTCTTTCATAGGATGAAGTATGGATTTATTTTGGGTCTCATCATTTCTTGAATCTATCTAAGGCAGTCAGATGTCCCAGTGATTTCTTGGCATCTTTTTCCTTCTTTGCTTTCTTCTCTTCATCTTGCACCTTGTAACTTTCCTGTCGAAGCTTCTCCTATGAAAACAAGAAACAGAAATACAGAAATACATTTACTTCAAGTGTGGAAGTTAGTCACCTCAGAAATATAACTAGCCCGAACCTCTCAATCATATTCTGCCTCAATGTGCATAACCATTGGCATCCTCAGCCTCAGTTAGCCTCAACATCAACCTCACTCTAAGTGCTCACCACAAGCCTCAAGTCTTAGTCCCAAGCCTATCCTCACTTTCTACATCAGCTTCTCCATAAACCTCAGACTAAGCCACAGCCTCAGTCTTTCCCTGACATCCTCAGCTTCATCCCATTTCTCATAGCCACAACCTTTGCACCCTGAGGTTCAGTCTACTTTCCCACACCAACCTCAAAATCAACCTCCTTGTCCACCACATTCTGAACCTAACTTCCAGCCTCACAGTCAACAGAACCTCTCTGTAGCCTCAATCTTCCACCTCCCCAACTCCTCCATCTGTCCTTCAATGACATCCTTGGGTTTTCATCTGAGCCTCATGAACAACATCATGCTTCCTAAACCATTACCCAACTTTCCAACTTTCCAACCTCACAGTCAACCTCACTCCTCCACCACCCTCAACTTCAACTCACCCTCTTCTCTTCCTCCTTGTGACCCTGTTTCCTCTGCTCTTTCTTGGAGGCAGTGCTCCGCCCCTTCTTCTTAAAGCGAGGTTCAAATTTGGGCGGTGGCTTAATCCCCTTTAACAAAAACAAAGAAACATGAATAACAAACAAACATTAATGAACTCAATCAATCTTAATCTGTCATGTAACACTATAAAACAGTTTGGACCAAGGCTTAAATGATTTTTCGCAGGGGTCCTTGTAATAAGAAAGACGGTGCCATGTAAACTGGATTATGAAAATTATTCCATAAACCTTTTTAGCTCTTCTGTTTTATTCAGTCACTTTTTACTGTCCGTATTTCTTAACAAACCCAAGGAAATTGCTACTGGTGGTAATTTTTCTTCAAACTTTCCCCTCAACCATAGTCATCTTTTTTTTTTACACAATGATAGAGAAGGGGGTTGTTACCGTCCATAGTACTTTGACCTTTGGGGTATTCTTAAGCCAATATTTGGTGGACAGGTGATAAATGGGTAATAGATAAGTGTCAAGAATTGACTGGAATACAGAGTCCACTCTCTGAGGGGGAACAACTAACTCTGAGAGATAAAACACTTCAGAAGACAGGTCAAATCAGACAAGGTCAAAAATTAATACTGGAAACAACAGATGAAGTTCAACCCCACCGGCCCAAATATAACCTCAAAGAATTTGGGTTTACATTTTGATGAAAGGAAAAATTAATCTGGCAGATGATAAAACAGGAGGTCTTGTATTGTATTACTTAAAGGTCAACTTGGGTCAATGGCATTTTTTTGTAGATCACATAAATGGCATTTTTTTGTAGATCACATAAGACTTGGGGTTACAAGAAGGTTATTACACTTACTGTCGGTAAATTCATCTTGCAGTTACTCTGTTTCAGATTACATTTAAAAAAGAAAAAGATTTTCATGACAATATACTTACAAATAGTTCTCGTTTCTCTTTGTCTCGTTGGTCCATTGTTGCTGTGTCGATGTAACCAATTGCTTGGGGATCCAGAGTGATCAACTCCGGCTGAATCTGAGGGAAAAACATGCACAGAAATAAAAATGGTTTCATTTCATTGTTCTTTTTCTTCATTTTGTTATTTTTTTTCCAACAAGCCATTTGTTCACAGAACACTGGAAAAAATTTGTTAAGCAATTTTGTGTACTTACACAATGCAGGCTGAGTAAAAAAAACCCCGAAACCCAAATGTCGGAACCATTGTGTTAGTGAAGTTCTGCATGTAGCTCTTTCAAAATTTAGGATATTAAAGCCCAATTCATAAGCTTTCTTTTAGTATAAGAATCATTCAAATCACTCATGTACTTTTCAAGTTACAGAATTTTAAACACAACCACCGTTTTAAGTTCTGTCCACGGATCACAAAAAGGTAAGTGTTCTTTCAGCAAAAGGAAAACAAATCCACACAGGGATGTGTGTGAATTGTTTTTGTTTTGCTGAAAGAATGCACACCTTTTTTGTGCTCCGTGGACAGAACTTTAAAACAGTGGTTGCTTTTAAAATTCTGTAACTTGAAAAGTATGTGAATGATTTGAATGATTCTTGTACTAAAAGAAAGCTTATGAATTGGGCTTTCATAACCTAGATTTTGAAAGTGCTAAATGCAGAACTTCACTAAAACAACAGTCCCGATATTTGGGGTTTCAGGTTTTTTTTACTCGCCCTCTACCATTTTTGTCTACTTGGACATCATGTCAAATGTAAAGTAATAGTGGCTGGAATCTAAAATCTAGTATCCACTTCATTAAAAAAAAAATCTGGATTAAGTTTACAGGTTGGATGTCCTGTATCATTGCTTTCCATATCAATGATTTCAATGATTTCCATATTTTACCTTTTCTAGGAGAGCCTTGACTTCAAACTCTCTGCGCTGTGTTTTAGACCGGTACGGGTTGGCCTCCAAGGCATCAAAGTTGGGCTCACCAGCACCTGTGCAGACAGGGATCAAAATTTGGAACATAAGAAAACCAAGAAAGTCACTTTGGTACCTAAAATGTAATCCTTATTCTGTGCAAATAGTTGATGGTCCGTCGCACCAGAAAGTGATATATCATGGCTTGTTGCCGAATCACTCAGGGAAGTATTGTGTGAAGAAAGTCTGTGCAGTGATATGTAACTCTGAGGTGCAGGGAAACTATCACATCTAGCACGTTTTGGTGCACTCAAACAAATGGTTGACTTTAAAAAGGTCTTCATAGCATCAGAAGTCCCCTGGTCTGTTTCTTGTAGGTCTAATAGCACCCTGAAAAGCTCATGGGCATAGCGTATAGTTATTTCAATTATACAGACTCCAAACCTCCCGAAATAGGTGTTTCTTACCCGGTAAAAGTAAGCTTGCGTATCCTTTAGAATGCGTGACTCCTAGGACGTCTTCGTAAGGGCAGAAGCTGAGTCCGCTGATGGGGCAACCCAGGGTATGTCTCATGTAGGGCTTGTCTATGGTGGTTGTGCAGCAATCCTTGTAGACCTGAATTCATAAACGAAGACAAAACATCAAATCATATAAATGCAACTGAGGGTGTGCTTGAGCTGTGCATCGGAACCGGGTACCTGAGTACCCGACCGCTGATATCAGGAACCGGTTCCAGATTATGGGATCGGGTACCCGCAGCCAACTTTACAAATTACTCAGTAGTTTCTCAAACAATGAAAAAGAAAGGTTTGGAATGTCATTTGTGGGGAATTTTCAAAATGAAAACCAGGCTACATGGCAAAACAAAACAGCTTTCACGTTTACGATGCTCGCGGAAGTTGCACTTTGCACCAGGAAGCTATTAAGCTCACTGAACACACTTGTACCTTGCTGTATTGACGCACCGATGTGGAAGTATTATCGTGCGGACCTTTATGAACAATCTCAACAGCAACTTCCAAGATTGGAATTTTGGGGTTGGGTTTCTTTAACAGGTTCCCGGGTACCCATGTTTTTTTCAATCACATCTCTAAGCTTTGCATGACAGAGAGTGTGCACCATATGATGTCACCAACTCTAAAACTACAATGCTTCAGAGAAGAAATCGATTTTTCCGTCAGTATTATCTGAATGTCAGATGGAAGAATTTTTTTTTAATCTGGGCTTATCTTATGAATAATCTTCATTAATTGGCTTTGACATATGCAGTCTGTGAAAGAATGGCCTTTGTAAAAAAATATTAAATTTCGAGTAGGTCACAGTAACTTGCTTGATCAACTGGGAATAGGTTTGGAAACCACAAGACGTCCCAAATTTACCTCGACGACGTTGCAGAGGCTGGCAGCCAATAGGCCTCTCTGACTGAAACTGAGGTCTCCGGCCCCACGGGATACACGGTAGACTTGTAGCGGCTTGTAGGTCCGCACGTCAAATATCTTGAGCTGTCTGTCTGTACCGGCTGTGGCCATGTAGCTGAAAGAAAACGAGAAGGAAAATGTCAGATACAGAGCAACCTCTGGGTTATGATGTAAGAAATTACCCACAACACGAGTGTCATAGCTCATTGTCATTTTGATTGTCTCGGCGAGCCAGACTAGTGTTCTCTTTGTACCTATCAGACCGATTGCCTGACTGACTGCCACGTGTGACTTAGACTGGTGAGAGAACCGGGCAGTGCTATTGTATAGGATTACCCTGTAACGTCAATAAATGGGCAATATCCAGTGAATACTTCCATTCTGAATCATTTGAACAGAGTTTTGTAAGCGCTGGGGCCAGCTTTTCTAGACTTTGAACGTTTCTTCATAATATGGAATATGCGTCAGGGTGATGTAAATCAATATTAGGTTGTGCCCTTCACCGACGTATAAACACTGTCTACTCAGTGTGTTACCTTCCGAGTGCAAGTTGGAAAAATCACTCTTGTGGGACTCGAACCCACGACCTCCTGCTTTCTAGTGCAGATGTCTTACCACTCCACCACTGAGTGCGGGAAGAAAGGCACAATCTAATATTGATTTACATCACCCCGACGCAATTCCATCTTATGGATAGTTTAATTGCGGTACCCGCTGCTACATGTACATCAGATTCGAACCAGCCAACCAATCCTGCAAGCTCAGTGGTCGAGTGGTAAGACGTCTGCACTAAAAAGGAGGAGGTCCTGGGTTCGAGTCCCACAAGAGTGATTTTCCCAACTCTCACTCAGGAGGTAACACACTGAGTATACAGTGTTTATTCGTCGATGAAGGGCACAACCTAATATTGATTTCAAAGTTTTCTTATGCAACATTTTGTGCACTCACCAGTAAAATCAAAGCTCTTTCTTAGGTTGCGTCAAAATGGACTTACTTGTCTATGTCAAAATCCGAAGTTGAAGCCACGAAATAACCATTTCAGAAACAGCCACACTATGTTTACAGTGTCTGGGCAGTATTTATAGGTACTGTCCAGACGGGATACGCTTTCATCAATTCAGATTAGTTTTGGTTTATAACAAATTATTTTGAATCTAAGGAAATGCCGGCTGTAACTCACAGTCCTTTCGAGTCGATGGCAAGGGCTCGTACTGCAGCTTTGTGGCACAACATCTTGACCACAGGCTCTCGGACGGTCGGACTCCATAACGTGACTGTGCCTGAAAATGAAAACAAGAATTTAAAGAAATGTACGAAGTTACCTCACAGCAAATACACAAACCTTTATTATTCTACAATCAACATAAGGATTTCAATAAAAAACAAATCCCCCAGCTTTTCAAAGCTTACAGAAAGAGAAGACAACAAGTTTATTGTAGAACAAATACTGGTCATGTTCGTAACTAATTTGATATTGGACCATATTTTTCGATATGTTGACAGCTACCGGGGGTAATTCAATAATTTCTAACATTTTTAGTGTAGTTTTTGCTGAATTTGTAAATTTCTTGGAAAGAATACCATTAAAAACAACAAACCAGGCAGAATTTTCAAAACAACTCAACCCAAAAGAAACTCATGTTTTATAAATTCAAACATAATGATTTCCTTTCAAGTACAAATGATCAAAGGGGGGGGGTGTCTATTTCAACTGATTTTAGAGCTACTCACCGTCAGGATGACCTAGATGGACGATTGCGTTGTTGGGGTTGTGGGTCATTACGTCTAGCCGGCCACATTTTGTGGGAATCTCACTAACCATCTTACCCACTGAAGTGTCCAGGTACTGTAGGACGCCATGAGCATTCTGCAAAAAAAATAATAATAATAAATAATAAATAAATAAATAAACGTCTACATTTCAGGTTTTCAAATAAAACACAAAGGGTAACTGACAAGGGGCATTATAATCATTTTACGAAAGTTGAACGAAGAAATTGACTGGAGCGGGGTTTGAACCTGTGACCTCCGCCTTGCCGTTCTGGTGCTCTACCAACTGAGCTATCTAGCCCTTAGTTGGCGGATCCCAAATTTGTCAGAAGTCATAAAGTTCAGGTTTTTAGATTTTATAGAGTTAATTTCACATTTTCAAATTTTTTTTTGTGAGTTTCAGTGTTCAATGTTTGTAGGCTCTACGAATATTTAAAGTGAAATGTAAAACTTCACCTTTAATACGGGCAGATTTTTTAAGGAAATTTAAGAATTTTCAAACAAACATTTCAGCATGAAAGCTACTGGTGATGATGGTACAAAAATAGGATGTTGGGAGTATTTTCCCATTTATCCATCAACAGACAAATGCCAAAGTACAGAAATGTTTTCAGTTTTCAGTGAAGGAAAAGTTAACTCAACGGGGATTTGAACCCGGTACCGCCAAATGGCAGTTTCAATATTTGTCAGTGATGTCGAGCAATAGAACAGGTTTCATACCGCAGTAGCTAGAAGGAAATGATGGGGCAGGAACTCCATTCTGAGGACATTGTTCATGTTCTTGATGCAGTGGATTTCTACTCCGTGGTTGTCGTACATGTACAGCCATTTCTTCTGGGCAACAGCCAGCATCGTTTCTAAGTGAAGCCATCTGAAACAGAAGATGCGGAAAAGATTGAAAAAAAACTCAACAAGTGTGACTTATTTATAAGTCATCTGTACAGGGTGAGTAAAAAAACACCCAAATGTCAGGACCAGTGTTTTAGTGAAGTTCTGCATGTAGCACTTTCAAAATCTAGGATATGAAAGCCCAATTCATGAGCGTTCTTTCTGCAAAACGAAAACAAATCACATGGGGATGTGTGTGAATTGTTTTCGTTTTGCTGAAAGAACATGCACCTTTTTTGTGATCCGTGGACAGAACTTTAAAATGGTGGTTGTGTTTAAAATTCCGTAACTTGAAAAGTATGTGAATGATTTGAATGATTCTTGTACTAAAATAAAGCTTATGAATTGGGCTTTCATATTCTAGATATCCTGGAGTTTGAAAGCCATTTAAATAAACTGTGACAAAGACGTTCCTTTTCAAGTGTTCATCCCTTGTTACTTGCGATGCGATTTGTGACTGATTTGTGATTGGCTTGTGATTGAGTTGTGATTGGCTTGTGATAGGCTTATGATTGGCTTGTGACTGGCTTGTAATTGGCTTATGATTGAATTGTTACTGGCTTGTGATTAATGTATAAATTGACGTTTACTAACTTTTGATTGACATGTCATTGACTCATGATTGACTTAAAATCGACTTATGAGTTTGCTTTTGATTGACTTGTGATTGACTTGTGATAGGCTTATGATTGGCTTGTGACTGGCTTGTGATTGGCTCATGATTGAATTTTGATTGGCTTGTGATAAACATATAATTTAACGTTTACTGACTTTTGCTTGACATGTCATTGACTTATGATTAACTTATGATCGACTTATGAGTTTGCTTTTGATTGACTTGTGATTGACTTGTGATAGGCTTATGATTGGCTTGTGACTGGCTTGTGATTTGCTCATGATTGAATTGTGATTGGCTTATGATAAACATGTAATTTAACGTTTACTGACTTTTGATTGACATGTCATTGACTTATGATTAACTTATGATCGCTTTGCGATTGACTTTTGATCACAATTGTGTGAGCATGAGATATTTTACCTGACTTCTCGGATGGACTCCATGACGTTGATCTCAAACATGAGTTTTTTACTGACCCAGTCCATGGCCGCTAAGTGACCCAGACGCCCTGCCAGGAGGAGGTGCCGTCCGGTCCTGGTGTAGTTTAGACGGTAGGGTCCAAAACGGTCCATCTTCAGCTCAAAGGACTGAACGACAAACGTACAGAGAGACGCTAAATGTATTTCAACAATTACTCCTCAATCCTTAGAGTTGTTGGGAATAACGGCAGACAGTCATAACAGAATGTGCAGGGCCATAAAATGTGACTTACACTGTACTATATCAACAAATCCCAAGTTCATAGATTGCTTCTTGAGAAACAAAACTCGTAAATCCAGCTCACTTTCTTTTTTACTCATCCTGTGCAATGCTTGATACTTTTGATTGATAACCTTCTTTTGCTATTAAAAAGCAAATAATTTTGTTTCTGCTAAATGAATTACTTTGATTAGCCAAACCTGAAATTTGGCTCCAAGTCCAATTTGAGTATCAACCCTATAAAGTAAAAAAAAAAAAACCAGCTTGACGACAATGTCCAAAAGGTTAATCTAATCCATTAGCAACTGTACTACATTGTAGTACATTGCTTTTTATTCACTGATAAATCCATAGAACAATAGAGTAATTGGTTGGTTTTTGGCGCTACGGGGACTAAAAGGTAGGGCGGTTTTGGGCGGTATAGTGAATAATGGTTAAGACCATACATTCAGTTGCATCCCCCAGAAGTCCACCAGGACGGAGGACAGAGCATGCTGTAAGAAATGGCCAGTAAACTGGGCCCAATTTCTTGGCTCTGCTTACAGTTAGCGAAAACTCCCTGCTTACTATAGCAGGAAATTCCGTGCTTATGGTAAGCGCATTTCATGCCTTAGCGAGGAATTTTGGCTTCTGTGCATGCATGCATCCTGTAAGTAAGGATTCTGTGCTTACAGGGCTAGCTAGCACATAATTTTTCTGCTAGCGCGGTTAGCGCAAAATGGTGATCCTAAGCGCGGAACTCTGTGGTAAGCAGAGCCATGGAATTGGGCCCAGGTTCTTTTCAGAACCACACAAAAGGCATTTGAGTACATGGTAACACCACAAAACCCTATAGACGAATCCAGGCACATGATCATACATGTACATGTTGTACATGTACATGCATGAGGCCCCCTTCAATGGAGAAACCATTGTGCATGCTATTGTACAAAGCAACAGCCCTGTCACAGATTATCTGAACAATAGCTAGCACAATGCTTTCGCCATTGAAGGGGGCCTCCATGATAGAATTGCAAATTGCAATGCAAATCTTCCCACTTTCACTTCATTTTCACGTTGTTTAATAAATATGGAGCTACATTCACACGCAAACAATGTGATTGTTCTTGGTTTAGTTACTTTTGTAGCACTTGCGATGTCCACAGCTTCACTAATATCTTGTTGAGTGATCTGGTACGTCTCTTCCCCTTCATCTGCTTCAAGGAACCTGGATTTCGATAAAGTCATAGGAAATGACAAACATTTAATAATTGTTTACTGCTGTGATGCGAGATATGACGTTTTTAACACCCAAGGGGCGCCCCAAGGGGGGTTAAAAATGGCATATCCCACATCACACATCGGTCACATGATGATCAGTCACATGATGACAAAATTGCAGCTATTAAATTTGAATCATGTGACTTCCTTTATGAATCTGAGTGGTTAACATAATTATCACGTCCAGTGAAATTGGAGTGCTGCCTGCACACCTTTCCGGTGATATCGGATCCGGTGAAATCAGTTGCGAACAAATCAAACATGTTTGATTTCATCCGGTCGCCCGGTGTACGGTCAGATCGGTCCGAATTTCCAGCGCACACCTCTGTACGATGGCCCGCTGATCTGATAAACCAGTCAAATTGGAAAGGTGTGCACCGGACTTTAGTGAAACTTACTTGTGTGCCATTACCATTGTGCACCAACATTCAGGTGGTTCTATAGTATTTGTACACATTTCTGATGAAAACAAGTTGTTGAGTCACAATTTTTTGTGACTCGACTCGAGTCCCAAAGGGTAAATGACTCGACTCGACTCGAGTCACTGTGAGCAAGTGACTTGACGTCATGGTTCGACTCCCACCTCATGGTTCTAGAACGCACAATATACTATCCAGGAACCGGATTTTAAACACATTTTCCAATTCGTTGTTTCATCATTGGCTTTGGGAGATTTCTTATGAAGCTCTTGGTTCGAACGCCGGCTAAGTTTATGTCCTCCTTTTATAAATTTTGGTAGATACCGGTAGTGTTCAAATATTCGCGACTCGAATTGACTTGAGCAAAATATTTGACTCGACTCGACTCGGCTCTACCTTCCTTGACCTAATGACTCGACTAGAATCACAAAAATCAGTGACTTGTTACAACTGTGGGATAAACCAGTTACCCCAAAATCTGGCCATAAAAAATTGTGTATTGCTTACCCGCTGTCTTCTGGTAGGAGTAGCTCTGTCCTAGCGGCTTGTTTGGAGGCTAGTTCCAACCGCTCCTCATAACGTTTCAAACTCTTTCGCACTCTTAAATCTGGCATAGATTTAGCAGTCTGTTGATGAGAAATTGTGGAGGAATAGGGCTTTGAAAAATCACCCACATGTGGAAGAACTGCTCAAATCAAGAGTAAAATGCAGAGTACTAGAAGTTAACATTATAATTCGTATGACGATTGTCTTCAAAAGTGGGTCCACTTTCAAAATGGGAATCTGGTTCATTCTGTCAGTATTCCACCAATTTCTTTTTTTTTAAACCCTGGTTAATAATCCAACTGAATTGAAGTACATGTAGTTTGCCTGTTTGACGTTTTCTTCAAGACTGACAAAGAACATAAATACTTCTTATTTTGTTCTGGACAATGTTGTTATTTCCAGATCCTGTCCGGTATTTCAGCAAATTTCCCTCGAACAATGCAGCGGAACACAGTCTTGAAGAGAGGGTTTTTAAGCCCATAGATCATTGGGTTCAGACAACTGTTAATCAACAAGATAGTGAAAGAAACCGGAAAGATCTTTTTGACCATGGCCGTGTCTGCCAGTGTGTTCAACAAAAGTACACAGATGTTCACAGGCAAAATGCACACAACAAAGGCGCCCACCACAAACAAAAGATTCTTGGTCACTTCAACTTGGAGTTTGTTGCTTGGTTTGGGATGCTGCATTCTCCGGTTGCCATAGACTCGCATTTCAATGGGAGCTAAATGTTGAGATCTCTTTGCGTGGGTGCGGATGCGGTAAAAGATCATCACGCAACTCCAAGTTATGAGACAGAATTGAATGGGAACGAGACAAGCCATGTAAGCTATGGAGCAGCCTTTAGAACTGTTCTGTGTGTCCACAACGCAGGACAGATACACTTCATCAAGTCCGAGTTGTAGGCAACCAGTGAGGGCTGGGATGAGCACAGCACACGTGGATACCAGCCATGTCAGTGCAATGGCTACAGCAGTACGTCTCCGGCTAAACAACTTGCTGTATGTTGCCTTACTCACACTAACAATTGCATACCTGCTGATGGCAATGCAGGTAAGATTATTAAGGCTACATCCAAAGCAGAGTGTAAACAAGAAACCTGCAACGGTACAAAAGGGCATCAATGCAGGCATGTGCTCTGTACTGAGAAGTACGGCTGCATTTATCGGAATAACGTAAGCACAGGTCACAAAGTCAGCAATGCTCAAATTCAGCACAAACATGTAGGTTGCATTCCAGAGTTTCTTGGATAAAACCACTGCAGCGATAACCAGTGCATTGCCAAATAGTCCCAAAACTGAAACTACAAGAGCAACAGCAGCTATGATCTGCCGCTCTGCATAGCTAGAGTACACCTCATCATGTAAGGAACTTGTGCTGTTACTTAAGTCATCCATTCCAAAACACCGTAGTCAAGCTCAGAGCTCTGAAACAGTGATTACTGGGTGACAATTTTAAGATCAGACCTCTTCAATCATGTGAACTATTTGGTTCATCAGATGAGTGCCTGTTGCCATAGATACGCATCACTGAAGATCCTGTCTCATGATTTCACAAACCAATAGAGTTCAGAAACAGCCAACAGTCGAGTTTTCAGTTTGATTGTTCACTGAAACGCCACAAGATTTTGGCCCTTCAAAATCTGAGATGACAGAAGACCCATCTTAGTTCATACAATTAAGGAAAGGAGTTCATTCACTTGTTGATGTTCGCATGCATACACCAAATAACAGTAGGTCCACACAATGGTATCACGTACATCTTTTAACTGTGCCTCTTCTGATGGCAGACCAGACGAACACCCACGCAATATTAACAAAAACGAGTATTAGATCCAAATAAATGTGCACCATCTGACTTGTAGCATGTCATATGAAAATCCGACTCGTATGAAAATCGGACTCTTTTTCCCTTTTATTGGGTAAACCCTCTCATGTGACCGGTCCTTCTCCTAATTATCTATGCATGAGCATGCGCAATACCACCAATGAGTCCGTATTTCATAAAACCTAAATTCATGCTACACCGGTACCAATACATGAGCATTAATGAGTATTCAAATATTCACGGTATCTGCCGATTGTCTACAACATTGTTACATTTCACAAAATGCAGCATTTACTGGTGGCGTGTGATATGATGACGAACTGGAATTGGATGAGTGGAGCTGACGACAAACAGGCTTTTATGAAAACTGAAAATGATAAATTACACACTGAAGGGCCATTTGGCCAACATACTGGCACATGTAACAGATTAATTCTGCGAAACAAATTAATCAAACTCGAATTGCTCAATTCACGGCAAATGAATTGGGGCTACACAGAATCATTTTTCCCCCTTAATGACAAGTTTCCAAGAAAACCAATTTCTGTCTCTCATTAAAAATCAAGAGAACATTCCATTTTTGTTGAAAAGACCATTAAACATTACATGAGCATGATACACAAATTCCAAACAATGTTTTTCATAGCCAGCATGACTAATGGTTCAAATTACATCACTTTGAATTAAAGGGAAAATACAACATTTGCAAACTCAAAAAATAAAACTACCAAATCATTTTGAAATACCTTGCTGGACTGTTAGTGAATGACAGTGTAAAGCATCCTGTAAAATCATGGCACCTGGTATACTGTCATTTTCAAGAAAAGTGGTATTTTTGTATCAATTTCCAACGCTGGTCGGCCGACCAGCGTTGGAAAAAACTGGCTTTTTTCAAATACTGGCCCCAATTGACCATCGCACTTGTTTGCAATCGATTACACACCTATGAACGGGTACAAGCCAGCTAAACTGGTTCCCTGACCTTACAATTCCCCAATGTATGTAAACTGCTCTGTTTCTTCTGATATGGAGTCAGGGAACCAGACTACAGGAAAATGATTGTTTTTCTTGGTTTTTATAGCATTTTCGAACCCAAAACCTCAAAAAAGTCAGTGTAACTATATTTGCTATATATTTCCAACCCCCCAATTCCATCCATTTCTGAAAATTACAGCAAAAGCAAATGATGTATATTCCCTTTAACAGACTTCATGGCTGACATGGCGTGTGTTATATCAAACCAACAAAGGGCGTCACTGACTCGATCAACAACATGTAGATCAACTGTCTTTCACTTAACAATTACATTGTAATATCAAGCCAGACGCACAGTAGGCCGCCTACATGAGATCAACAGAGTAGAAGCTTTGCTGTCACAAATATCCCCCAAACCTGCAGCACTCTTGAGCTACTAGGTTGATTATCATACATGCTGCCAGTCTGCAAAGTGCAATAACACAGTCATGAATAACCTCTCCCAAAGGTTTCTGGCTACGCGCCAGTTGGCGGAATAGTTTCGAAAGGGGGGATGAGGGGGGGGGGGGGGCTAAAACTCAATCGGTGATAGGGGGCGCCCTTTCCTATGTTTTTCTCCTTTGTGTTACACCCTATCCTGAGACCCCCCAGTTACGCCGCCTATGCCATGACAACTGCAATGTACATGTATGTACTATGTACATGTAGGCCTTCCCGATGATTGAAAGCGATCATTCACTCCTGTTATTTCCAGAGACGATAGACTACAGAATTAATTTCTTTTAGAGCTTACCCTAGATATAGGCCAAAGAGTACACTAATTCGGGACCTGCCAAGAGTGGGGGGGGGGGGATGCCCCCCCCCACCCCCACCAAAGGAAAAAGGGGGGAGGGCCCAATGGTGAAGTGCGAGAGCAAACCAGCCATCGTTCATCCTCCTGCTCCTAGCGGGACTCGCGCGGTGCACATTGTAATAAATTTTTCTTAAATTGATAATGATCTTAGACTTAAGCGTCAGAATGAAACTGTCATTTCTTTCCAGTACAGGAAGTTTTTGCAAATCTTCATGGTCAACATTTTGCATAGACGGTATATAATTTCTATTGGACATACATCTTATAAACAAACACCAACATGTTCAAGTTTTCAGGAAGGAATTTAGCAGAAGTCTTCTTTTGCTGTTTACGACATTCCTGACATCCTCGAGGGTACAGGCTCAGATGGAAAACTTTCTTTTTCCCTCTGCCAACACGGAACATTCTGGGTCATCTTTTACTTTGTTACAGAAGTGGCATAGTTTTAATTTACCACCCTAAAGGTAGCCTTGGTCAAGGCGCTAGTTCTTATTCATCCCGGCCGTAGCGCGGTAAACGATATCCTCGCTAGCGCTATGCATGCGGTGCATTAAAAATACAGCGCGAACAGCATAAGCTTTTGCCTATGATTGAACCAAGGCGCTAGATTGGGTCCAACTGATTTGCATAAAAATAGTGGCCGGTGAGGTCGCTGTTCGCGCTGTATTTTTAATGCACTGCATGCATAGACATATGACTGCATGCATAGCGCTAGCGAAGATATCGTTTACCGCGTTACGGCTGGATGAATTTCCAAGAATAAATCATTTATATAATGCTAGTATCACTTGAGTAGCTACCAATAATTGTTTTCAGCCATTTTTTTTTTTTTTCTAAATTTGACATATCACTTTCAAAGTGCCAACCATTGGTTTGATAGCTGCAAAACAAACTTAGTGGTGATTTCAGAAAATTGAGAACACTTAACAAGTTAAGACAAATGACAAACTTAGGTAGCCGAAGTGTTGTTTAAAAACTCAATAAAAGGAGAGGCACTGAGCACTGATCTTGGCCCAGCGGTGGCGTATTGAAAACATCAAATACAATCAATTGTATGCAATGAATAAAGCTGACGCAACAGATAGTTTCCGGCCAATACTGATGTGAATCAGGTACTGACGTGTTTTTATTGCTTTGAAGTAAATCAGTTTACAGACATTGTTGAGTCTATGTACAATAAAACTGGGGGGCAGATCACATGAATGAAAGGTCATATTTTTTAAATGTTGGTTCCGCCTAAACGTTTGGGGAAATTTGTAAGTGGATTTTGAATTTGTTTTGTTTAAACATAAGGCATGCAACTGGGAATTTAGAAAAAAAAACGAGGAAATTCCAAAACACACAAGACTTTGTACAGTGTTTTTCAATTTGTAATGGCATTCATGAGAAGTAAAAAACGAGGAAATCAGCGGATCCAAGGAAAAGTTGCATGCCTGAAACATGTAAACGTCACATCCTTAGCTCTATCCTGGCGGCTTGTTTGGAGGCTTGTTCCAACTGCTCCTCATAACGTATCAAACTGTTTCGCACTCTTAAATCTGGCATAGATTTAGCAGTCTGTTGATGAGAAATTGTGGAGGAATAGGGCCTTGAAAAATAAAATCACCGAAATGGGGAAGTACTGCTCAAATCAAGCGTAAAATGCAGCAGAGAACTAGAAGTTGATGTTATAATTCATGTGACGATTGTCTTCAAAGGTGGATTCCCTTTCAAAATGGGAATCTTGTTCATTGTGTCAGTATTCCACCAAATTAAAAAAAAAACAAGTCAGGTGTGTTTACAAACACAAATGCCCCGCAACCGTGACTGTTCCCATGACATATAACACCACTCTTTTAACATCAACTTACATGTACCTTGGTCACATGGAACATTCATTGACAGCATTAGTGTCTTCTGTAGGTTTTATATGAATTAATCCCTAATCCCTATAATCTCAGAATAAATACAAGATTTCTATTGTTTTAGCCACTGTGAACTTGACCCTTGACCTTTTGGCCCCAAATTCAATAGGCTTCTTAGGATTACCAAGAACAATCCACAAACCAAATTTGAAGTTCATATGTTAAGTATTTCTCAAGTTATCGCGCTGACAAGATTTCTATTGTTTTAGCCACTGTGAACTTGACACTTGACCTTTTGACCCCAAATGCAATAGGCTTCTTAGGATTGCCAAGAACAATCCACAAACCAAATTTGAAGTTCACATGTAAAGTATTTCTCAAGTTATTGCGCTGACAAGATTTCTATTGTTTTAGCCACTGTGAACTTGACCTTTGGCCTTTTGGCCCCAAATGCAAAAGGCTTCTTAGGATTGCCAAAAACAATCCACAAACCAAATTTGAAGTTCACATGTAAAGTATTTCTCAAGTTATTGCGCTGACAGGATTTCTATTGTTTTAGCCACTGTGAACTTGACCTTTGGCCTTTTGGCCCCAAATGCGAAAGGCTTCTTAGGATTGCCAAAAACAATCCACAAACCAAATTTGAAGTTCACATGTAAAGTATTTCTCAAGTTATCGTGCTGACAAGATTTCTATTGTTTTAGCCACTGTGAACTTGACCTTTGGCCTTTTGGCCCCAAATGCGAAAGGCTTCTTAGGATTACCAAGAACAATCCACAAACCAAATTTGAAGTTCATATGTTAAGTATTTCTCAAGTTATCGCGCTGACAAGATTTCTATTGTTTTAGCCACTGTGAACTTGACCTTTGGCCTTTTGGCCCCAAATGCGAAAGGCTTCTTAGGATTACCAAGAACAATCCACAAACCAAATTTGAAGTTCATATGTTAAGTATTTCTCAAGTTATCGCGCTGACAAGATTTCTATTGTTTTAGCCACTGTGAACTTGACCTTTGGCCTTTTGGCCCCAAATGCGAAAGGCTTCTTAGGATTACCAAGAACAATCCACAAACCAAATTTGAAGTTCATATGTTAAGTATTTCTCAAGTTATCGCGCTGACAAGATTTGTCCGGACACACACACCCACACACCCATACTTGTTTCACATGACTAGTGTGGACTTTCCATTGCTTTCGTGTAGTTAAGAAAAACCAGTGAAAAAACTCATTTTTCTCAAACTGTGAAAACTCTTTCAACCCAATTTTTTTTCTATGATTCCCTTTAGTGTTTCTCTTCATTCTGCTACAGATAAACCTAACCCAAAAATGCCTCTAAACCTGTTTTCCAGAAATGGGGAAACACTGTGTGGACGTGGGGTAAGTCCACACAACGTCGGTGCTACCTACATTATGTGGACGTCTTTTGTTCGGAAGTCCACACTGCGTATGTAAGACAAACTCACCCACCCACCCACACACACACCCACACACCCACCCACCCACCCACCCACCCACCCACCCACCCACCCACCCACCCACCCACCCACCCACCCACCCACGGAAGGACAAGGCGGAAACAGTATGCCCCTTCGGCTTCGCCGCGGGGCATAAAAACAATGGTTAATAATCCAACTGAATTGTCCGGATGTAATAGTACATGTAGTTTGCCATCTGTTTGACGTTTTCTGCAAGACAAAGAAGATAAATATTTCTGTTTTTTTTGTTCTGGACAATGTTGTTATTTCCAGATCCTGTCCGGTATTTCAGCAAATTTCCCTCGAACAATGCAGCGGAACACAGTCTTGAAGTGAGGGTGTTTAAGTCCGTAGATCATTGGGTTCAGACAGCTGTTGATTGATAAAAAAGCAAAAGCAGTAGGCACGATCTTTTTTACGATGGCCGTGTTTGTCAGTGTGAATGACAAAACTACACAAACACTGTAAGGCAAAATGCACACAACAAAGGCGCCCACCACAAACAACAGATTCTTGGTCACTTCAACTTGGAGTTTGTTGTTTAGGTTGGGTTGCTGCATTCTCTGGTCGCCATAAACTTGCATTTCAATGGGAGCTAAATGTTGAACTCTCTTTGCGTGAGTGTGGATGCGGTAAAAGATCATCACACAGCTCCAAGATATGAGACAGAATTGAATGGGAACGAGACAAGCCATGCGACCTAGGATGCAGCCTTCAGAACTGTTCTGCGTGTCCACGACGCAGGACAGATACTCTTTGTCGAAGCCGAGTTGTAGGCAACCGGTTAGGATAGGGATGAGAACAGCACACGTGGGTACCAGCCAAGTCAGCATAATGGCTACAGCAGTCCGTCTCTGGCTAAACAACTTGCTGTATGTTGCCTTACTCACGCTAACAACTGCATACCTATTGATGGCAATGCACAGAAGATTATTAATGCTACAACCAAAGCAGAGTGTGTACAAGAAACCTGCAACGGTACAAAATGGCATCAGTGCGGGCATGTGCTCTGTACTGAGAAGTATGGCTGTATTTATCGGAATAACGTAAGCACAGGTCACGAAGTCAGCAATGCTCAAATTCAGCACAAACATGTAAGTTGCATTCCAGAGTTTCTTGGATAAAACCACTGCAGCAATAACAAGTGCGTTGCCAAATAGTCCAACAATTGAAGCAACGAGAAGAACGGCAGATATGATCTGCCTCTCTGCATAGCTAGAGTACACCCCATCGTATGAGGAACCTGCGCTGTTGTTGCTTAGTTCATCCATTCTCAAACAGTACAGTGAAGTTCAGAGCTCTGAAACAGCGATTACTGGGTGATAATTTTAAGATCAGACCTCTTCAAACATGTGAACTGTCTGGTTCATCAGATGAGGGCCTGTTGCCATGGATACGCACCACTGAAGATCCTGTCTCATGATTTCACAAACCAATAGAGTTCAGAAACAGCCAATGGTCAAGTTTTCAGTTTGATCGTTCACTGAAATGCCGCAAGATTTTGGCCCTTCAAAATCGGAGATGACAGAAGATCTATCTTAGTTCATCATAAGGATATCTGCTGGTAACACCAGGCAAAACTTGAAAGTTTTCCAACAAACAGCAATTGCAACCTGTTAATTTTATAACCAAGGCAGCAATTCCAAATCACACGCTGGGTACATCAATAAATTAGGAAAGGATGTCATTCACTTGTTGATGTTCGAATACACGTTTTAAATAACTGTAGCTCCATGCAATGGTATCAGGTACATCTCTTAACTGTGCCTCTCCTGATGGCAGACCAAACGAACACCCAGTCAAATATCGACTAAAAGGAGCGCGAGTTCTTTTTCTGTGGTTCTAGAGCACCCATGAGTATTCAAATATTCATTTGTTTATCTGGCAATTGTCCAGGACATTGTTACGTTTCACAAAAGGCAGCACTTAATGGTGGCGCGTGATAGATAATGATGACGGACTTGAATTGGATGAGTGGAGCTGACGACAAACAAGCTTTTGTAGAAAACTGAAAATGATTAATTGCACACTGAAGGGCCGATGCTTTCTGTATGGCCAACATAATGGATCCATTCTGCGAAAAAAAATTAATCAAACCTGGAATCGCTCAATTCACTGTTCACAGCAAATGAAGTTCGTGCTACATGGACTTGTTTTGTTTTCCTTAATGACAGGTTTCCGTGACAACCAATTTCAGTCTCTCATTAAAAATGAAGACAAAATTCCGCCTTTGTCGAAAAGACCAATAAATTTCAAATGAGCATGATACACAAATTTCAAACAATGTATTTCACGGCTAGCATGACTAATGATTCAAATACATCACTTTGAATTGACAGATTTTATGCCATCTTTCAGTGCAACGAATGAATTAATAATCACACAAAAATGAACAAGCTGCCTTCGTCCTCTACTATACAAAAAATGAGGGGAAAAAGGAAAAACAACTAGTACTTTCTAGCACTGATCAAAAGGTAACCACGGACTATCTATGACAAACTTGTCATAAATAAAATACCTGTTCTACATCCTGCATAATTTGTTCTACATATTGTATTAAACTTTGTTCAGCATTTGGCATACTTTGCTCAAGAATTGAAATAGTGCATAAAAATAACAATTTGAAAGTGAAGTTTTTACATAACCCGTCCCTAACCTTCCCAAATTGGTCCTCCAAACTCCTAGATGCAATAAGGAGGATTTTGCAGGATTGAGGCTATATGGCAAAACTGAAAGGCTGATTTTAGAGGATGCACTGTGTCAAGTTCTAGGGCCCGAGCTTGTGTTGTTTATTCTCAGCTGTCCATAAACTTAGGCCTAGATTATACTTAAAATCCTCCGCACTGCTCCAGGATGTCACTGGCCCTGCCTCAATATATTGACAGTGACTGCTGGAGGATTTTGGAGGATTGAGGCAATAGTCACCCCTCCAAGAACCACATACATGAAATAACAGATGATTTTGGAGAATTGAGGCTGTTTGCAAGTTTAACATGGAGGCAGTTGGAGGATGTTGCAGGATCGAGGTTGAATTTGCGTACAGAATGACAGCCTGATCAAGACATCAATTCACATTGACTTAAAATGACGTGCAATTTCAAGACTCATACAATTTTGAAGGGTCTGCAATTTTGATCCTTGCAAGATCTTTTTCAAAGGTTATATGTTCCGAGAAAATTTTTGCCAGGAATCAAAAGCCACGCCCTCTAATTTTTCTTTTGGTGGAACATTTCAAAGATGTTATGTTTTAAGTTTCAAAAACTCACCACTTTATTTTTCTGTCCTCGCACATATTTCTTGATTTTTTTCTCTGAGAGGGGTGGTGGTCCTTCAAATGGATCCTTCTTCTCCCTCGACTTTAAGAACTCTTTCTTCCATCTTGGCTCCTCTTCTTCACCTTCTGAGACGGGCCTTTTTCGCTGAGCTTTCCTGGTGTGCTGCTTTCCCGAGTTTGGCTTACTCTCTGCCTCCACAACATTTGTGTCAAAATATCTGGAGGTTTTCTTTGGATGCCTTTTCTGCATTGTAGAAAAAACATTAATATATAAAATCTGATTTATTCCCCTATTACTTACAAATAAGACACCCCCCTCAAAAAAAGGGGGGTGGGGAGGCACAATTCTCACCAAAAAAAAGTAGGGCGGGGTATGTAAAATGTTAGAATAGCTTTAAAAAAGAATGGATTTATCCAGACAACACTTCGATAATTGTGTACAAAGTCTATTGGAATTTATGGTCTTTTTTCATGTTCGGGTTGTCACGTGCGCCTTGCTGACTGAGTGACAGAAGAAATGATCCAGCGTGCGCGTGATCTTTTCGATGTTGGAATTTAAATACCCAAATGTGTGTAAACGACCCTGGAAATTACACGAACAATAGACGTCTAAAAAATGCAGGACTACTTTTCTATGGCTTTACAGAGGATGAGTATGCTTCTTCAGCCTAAATAACCTACAAATAAAGTTTAAAATTGAAATTTAAAATTTGACAAAGTTCTACATTTTCGGATACACACTCCGGAAAGATTCCCATATCTGGCCATCATTTGTCACCCTGTGCGTAAACTGTATGAGACTGGTCTGAAAATAAATTTCTAAGTGTTTTCTCAGTAAATACTTTAATATTTTCCCTGCTAAATTTGACTTTTTAGGACACATTATCACTTTCTGATGGCAAGGGCCTAGGGCAAAATAAAAAAAAACTGTTAAGCATCCCCGCGTAGCGCCTGCTTCCTTTTTGGAGGCCGCCTCCTCTTTTTTTTTTTTTTTTTTTTTAACCGAAAAAATGATTAATTTTAAACAACAGTGACATCATTTTGGCCCATATACATATAAAGCTGCTATGTCATTTCCTGAGTCCAATGGCGGCCATTTAAAAAAAAAATGCGCAATAGCCGTAGCCTTGTTGCCATTTTGTGATTGGTCAATTAACGACGTTCGGTTGTTCGCACAGTTTAACAACTCCAATGCGAGTACGACGTAGTGGCGTGCAAAGATCCTATAGCGCCGCGTATACCCATAGCGGCGCTATAGGATCTTTGGTGTCGTGTATTGTCTTTATTGGCAAAATAAAAATGAACGAATGAAGTAAACTGTAAAGGGTTGATTTATTTTAAAATTAAAATAATAATTAAAAGGAAAACCAGAGGCATCCAATTTTATGCGCATACGTGTATAGCCTATGTATGTAAAATTAATAAATTGAGATGCATAACAGGTTTTTTTTCTAAAGAAAGTATGTATGTATGTGTATATAAAATTAATAATTTAGGCAAAATAAAAAAAAAACATGTTTAGCGTCCTGCCTCTTTGACAAAAAGGAAGGAGGAGGCCCTTTTTTTTTTTTTTTCAAAATGGCCGCCCGACACATTTTTCAAGCCAACGCAGCCGGGCTATTTTTCAAGATGGTTACCAGCTTTTTTCAAAATGGCCGCCACTTGGACTCATTGACTATTTCCACAGCTTTATACACGGTATAAAAGTCTAAAAATATGATTTCTTTCGTCAGAGATCGTTAAAATTTATCAATTTTTGTCTTTTAAAAAAAAAAAAAAAAAAAAAAAAAAAAGGAGGCGGCCTCTAAAAAGGAAGCGGGCGGGGACGCTAAACATGTTTTTTTTTTACTTCGCCTTAGATCATAGATGCATACAATAATTTTTTTTTTCTAAAGAAAGAAGTACATGTAATTCTTCAATTCCTGCTTTATGCAACGAATCATTGCAGATAGATGGCTTGCAGTGTTCTTAAGATAAGATATTCCATTTACATTTTACATCAAACCGTCAAGATCTTCACACGTATGGATTTTGTGAAATGATAAGTTTTTCCTTTTTTCCAAATTCGAACGAGATGTGTCACCAAAAAAAACCCTGCAAAATCTGGTCTTGTAAACGGTGCACATGTACATACACGCCCGGCCCGTACGTAATGTACATGATGCATATACGGCCATTGAACTGAACGTCTTTAATTGTCCAAAATGGCAACAAGGCTACAGCTATTGCGCAGTTAAAAAATTCGAGCGCAAAACTGAGATGCGAACCCACAACCTCGCAGTGCAAAATCTAGCCCCATAAATGTGGCCTATTTACTGGACTGCCTCCGTAAACATAGGCCACACATCCACATGTACAAAAATCGTGTCGACGGAGCCAAATTTTGATTTTCACATTTAGGCTTAGTTTGTAGGGTTTTTTTGCTTTAGAAGCATAATCACCCTCTTTACAGGCTAATCAGAAAGTGCTGCCTTTTTCAGATGTCTAATTTTTGTTAAATTTTTTATGTTGAAATTTTGATACGCAAACGTGTAAAAATGAATCTGGAAATTTCACGAAAAATATACATCTGAAAAAGGCAGCACTTTCTGATTAGCCTATAAAGAGGGTGAGTATGCTTCTAAAGCAAAAAAACCCTACGAACTAAGCCTAAATGTGAAAATCAAAATTTGGCTCCGTCGACACGATTTTTGTACATGTGGATGTGTGGCCTATGTTTACGGAGGCAGTCCAGTAAATAGGCCACATTTATGGGGCTATGCAAAATCCTACCCTCTATCGACTGAGCCGTCGCACTGCTCGCTAAAACGTGGGGAAACAAATAATTATATACCTGCGTGCGTATCAAAAAAGTATCGTAGAGGGCGCTAAACAACGGCTACCGTAACGATAGCCACTTCGATTTAAAAAATCTCCTTGTGTCGGAATTAAAGGCTTAACAATAAATGCCGTGTGTACCGTTTTTAAAACGATTTTAAAAAGTCAAGTAAAATATCAATCCAACACAAGGAAACTTTAAATTCATCTTTATCATTAACTGTCATCATTTATTGATATCAGGGCAATACAAATTCATTTTAAATGGATTAAAACCTACATTTGTTTCTCCGAACTTTGACGGAGCACGCGCTTCTATGGAAGTCGCCATCTTGAATGTCAAAGGTCAAACACTATTTAATTCATTGGTACCCGGCTTCACCTGATGTATGAATTCGGTAAGACGTCAGAAAAAGTGTTCCAGTTACCAACTAAGAGTTTCGCGCGAAATTTGTGTACAAAAGTTGATCGCGGCAAATTTGATGCGGTTCGGTTCAAACGTAATTCATTGATAAAGAAGTAAGGTAAGTAACTCTACGTTTCAATGTCAAATGCCTTGTGCCCCTTGTACAATCTAAATAAAGAGTTGTGGGAATTCTGTTGGGCACAATTGCAGAATACACCGCCACTTGTGTTGCTTCGTTCTCAAATAATGGACCCCACTCAGCATGCTCAGCATGCTCAGTATCCGCGTAGCTGGCAATGGACTTCAATTGTTTCTTTTGCAGTGATTCCAACCTCGTAGCCAGTGATTTTAGGGGTGTATTTCCGAGTGGCGGGGTATTCTGCAATTACTCCTTATGTTGAAAATAATTATGAAGGAGCTGTTTAGTTTCACGCTATAGTCATGATAGTCCGAGTAACTTGGATTAGCTTTGGAGTAGGGCTATCGCTAGCCCCATAAATGCGGCCTATTTACGGGACTGCCTCCGTAAACATAGGTCACGCATCCACATGTACAAATACGTGACGCACTTTGCCAAATTTTGATTTTCACATTTAGGCTTAGTTTGTAGGGTTTTTTTGCTTTAGAAGCATACTCACCCTCTTCTTTATAGGCTAATCAGAAAGTGCTGCCTTTTTCAGATGTCTAATTTTTGTGAAATTTCAAGTTGAATGAAAGTTTGATACGCAAACGTGTGCAAATGAATCTGGAAATTTCACGAAAAATAGACATCTGAAAAAGGCAGCACTTTCTGATTAGCCTATAAAGAGGGTGAGTATGCTTCTAAAGCAAAAAAAACCTACAAACTAAGCCTAAATGTGAAAATCAAAATTTGGCAAAGTGCGACACGTTTTTGTACATGTGGATGTGTGGCCTATGTTTACGGAGGTAGTCCAGTATTATATAGGCCACATTTATGGGGCTAGATCCACGTCATCAAGACTACCAAGACTACAGCCTAGTGCGGTATCCGTTAGACCACGTGTTCGATCGAGTTGGGATGGTAATTTAATATTTTAAAAGTTATGGTGAAGCCAGGCCAACTTCTACAGGTGTGTATGGGGGAAACTATACAATGCACGAGTTTAAGAACGGAAAAATGCGGGGAAAGAATGTTGCAACCTGACGCTACTTCAGCAGTCGTGTACAAAGTCCATGGAGCATCAAGAATATTTTCAAAGTATTTCCTAACAAACTTGGAAATGTTTCTCAGTCCCAGATTCATGTCTTATCATTTTTGCAATGACTGACCTTCATTGAGATGATAATATGAAGAAACAAGCAGCGTCAGGTTGCAACATTCTTTCCAAATGCGGAACCGGTTCAACATCCAGCATGAAATAAACACTTTGTTTTTTGACATGAAATATTTTTATCATTTTTCACAGCTTGACAGTTAACATTCAGCAGGGCTCGACCAGTTCTCAACGACTTCAACATGATGGCCAAGTTGGTCGAAGGGAGTACGACTGGTTCCATCAGCGCTGGTAGCGTACATGACATCCACACTGATGTTGTTGAAATTCCGTGCACGCCCATCAACGTCAGGAAACGAAAAAGACGCTCCTTTCCAGAGAGTCCGGACGGACCCACAGGTGCGGAAACATCTTGAAATGATCTGGGTTTAAAAAGTTCAATGGGAAGACTACTTTCTTGGAATCTGTCATCAGTAAACTTTCCCCCAAATTATATATACTTCAAAATATTGGCTTAATATAAAAAATGTAAGCACATTTTTTTAACAATAACTTCATATTTTGTTTGGCTTTTTTTTACAGGAGAGATCAAAGCAGAGATTGCGAAGCTGCTCACTTACGTACCAAAGATTGACGACATTTTCAAAATCACCAATAAAATTGGTGAAGGTAAGTAAGAGTTGTAAATGGACATTTATTGACAAAGAATTTACCGATTTTTACAAAGGACATATAAATATGAAGAACTGTTGTGGCAACTTTTATTTGTCCACAAAAATGGAGAAGTCTTACAACTCGCAACTCTCTCCCCTCAGAAATATTTATAAAACAGTATTTGTCTTTGTTTTTTAAGGAACGTTCAGCTCTGTCTATCTGGCCGAGGTGAAATGTTGCGGCCCGGACATCAAACAGCAGTTTGCACTGAAACACATCATTCCGACGAGCCACCCAGAGAGGATCATGGGAGAATTGCAGTGCCTTCACAAGATTGGGTGAGGAACGGGAAAGAAAAACCCAAACAGCCTTAGCTGGCTGAGAGTAGATGGTCATAAAAATCCTTCGCAAGAAAAGTTGTAAATGGTATTGATGTGCACAGCTCTTGTTCAATGCAAAATATTTCTCAAACCCCAGCGCCAAAAATGTGGACCACAAAAAATGAGTAAATCCAGCAATTGGATGTATTTTTTTGTTTTGTTTTTGCAGAGGAATAGAGAATGTCATGGGTATGCAGTTGAGTCTACGGGAGCAAGACCACGTCGTGATTGTGATGCCGTATTTTCCCCACGACAGTTTTCATGTGAGTCTTCTGTCCTTTTTTCCCCCTCATTTTTTCCTGGTCCAAGAGAGCCTACCTAGTGTCCTCTTGTGTACCTGACTGACTGTCACTTGTGACTTAGCCTGGTTGTGGGCTAGTAATGAGAGCCGGGCAGTGCTATCATATAGGATTACCCAGAACTGGGCTAACTCCGACCCATTGTGTACACCAGATGCATGAAAAGACTGAATAGTGAACAGCCATTTTGAATCAATGGGAGACTACGAGACATTGGTGGCAGCAAACTCACTGGTCCTAACTCAATTGTTAACGTCATGTTTAAGCTAAAGCGCGCATGCTCAATATGACGCAAACAATGGACAAAGGACCGGTGTGTTTGCTGCCATCAACATCTCAAAAGTCTCCCATTGAATGGGATTTTGTGCACTCTGGGACCAGCTTTACTAGCCTTGCATCGTCTTGTTGTCCCTTTCTCTTCAACCCTTAAAACTTTTTTTCTCAACTTTTCTTCCTCGATCAAGTTTCTTCATTTATATTTCGTCCTTTGCAGAGTTTATTACTACACTCTTCACTATTTTTTTTTTTTTTTTACATAAGTATCAAAATGGTATGATTGTTTGCAGTTATTTGTGCGGAAAATGAAGATTGCTGAAATACGCGAGTACATGCGCAATCTGCTACTCGCTCTGCGTAGAGTGCATCAGTTTCACGTGATCCACCGTGACGTCAAACCAAGTAACTTCTTGTGCAATCGACGACTTCAAAAGTAAGTTTCAAAATTTGTTTTTAAATCCTTCCTTAGCAGTGTTTAGAATGTTGTAAATCATTGGGGTATATAAGGGGCAGGCTTGTAATTTCCCACCCCCACAATAAAAGAAATGTTATGCAGTTGTTGGGAAACGTTTGCCATATTTTTAGTGAGTGATAGATTCTTAAAAGTAGCTCGGTGTTGAGTAAAATTAGTCAAGAAAGTCTTTTGAAACTTTCAAAACCTTCCCAAATAAAAAAAAGGAAACGCGACACCTTTGCAACAAAACCTGAAAGAATGAAAAGCACAAACTAAATTTGCAGGATTGTAGGATTCGAACCAGGGTCATAAGGATGAAAAGACAAAAGCACCACACTAATATTTTTACGAAAAATGACAGGACGGCAATTCTTCAAATCAGTTTTCTCTTCCTATTTCCAGGTATGCCCTAGTAGACTTTGGCCTAGCTCAGAAGGTCCCTGCATCGCCAACAAAACCAAGAGCTCACAGTCATCCGTCGACACAGTTGAAGTCATTGCCAACGACAACACAAAAACCTCAAAGGACCTTACCTGCTGTGCCAAAACAGGTCTGTACGCATTCTCAACGACTGCTGTGAAACTCTCCATTGTAAGATTGTGTATTTATGAAATGCACATGTCCATCAGAATTGGTGTTCAAGACGCTACATCATTATTACCCCTGCTCATTGGGCCAATGAATTGTTCAAAAAACATCTCAGATCCCTTGGGAGCAAAGCAGCTTAAATCAATCATAGTAACCATCCCTGTCCTCACGGGGACCCATTTACTCCTGGGTGGGGAGAAGCAAGGAGTGACAAAGTGCCTTGCCCAAGGGCACATGCACCACAACCCCAGGCTGGACTCGAACCAAGACCTGCAGGATGACCCACAGATATTGAGTTTGATGCTTCAGACCACGAGGCCACGATACTCCCATACTGAAATACTGAACCTGTGTGCAAATTGTCTCCACGTATCTAGCAATAACCTTTTTGATTTTGAATTTTAAAGTTTTAAATTTGTTTGTGATTCCAGATAGCGAAGGAAAATAAAGAAGTGAGCAAGGATTCGGTCCCACGACTAGCTGAGCTTGACCCAAACACCTTCAAACGTGAGAAACCCGAAAAACCTAAAGGTGTACCCTTCATGAAGACCTTCCAGTTACCGAAGAGTTTCAACCAGCGGATTCACGGACCCAAGAAACCCACGCCCAGCATCACCAGGCCAGCACATCAGAAGCAGGCAGGGGCCGTGAGGCTGAGCTCTAGCCGAGCCCCGGCGGCCAAGACCTGCGGTTGCTTCGGTTTGCTTCAGGTCTGTAAGGTCTGCACGTCGCGGAGCGGCCAGGCCGCGCCCAGGGCGGGCACTCCAGGGTTCAGATCGCCAGAGGTACTGCTGAAATGTCCGGATCAGACAACAGGTTAGAGCACCGACGTTACTTATCCACTGAGTTTGATATTAAGCGTCCACCATAATGTTTTGACTTAACACAGCTGTGATTGTCCAACCGACAAAAGTTTGACATGCATTCACTTGCGTATAACGCGCATGGTTGGGGCGTGCTGTGTAGCATTGGAGAAGCACACGTTATTGGCGTACGTTATGCATAGGATCAAATCGGTCGATTGGCTTATAGTCCGGCAGATTGGTGCAAAATATGATAGAATTGCTCATTTGATGGTATAAAAGCGTGACAGTTGGCACACAGTAAGAACATGCCCTAGAGAAACTTTGTAGCTATAGGGCCACTGCATTTGTACCTTGAAAACAATATAGGTAGAATAAAATGCAATTTTCAAAATTTTCAAAGTAGCTGCCATTGCTTGTTATTCTACCTATATTTTTTCCAAGGACAAATCTGCGATGGCCATATACTCAGTCACATATCCTTCTCATGACATAATCTGACTGTGTGCCAAATGCCATGCTTGTATCTTCAAAGGCACAATCCCATCACCTATCTGCCGTACCATGACTGGTTTGAAAGAAGGGATTCATAATACTACCAAACTACCAAACATTTGCTTACTAGAGACCATTTTCATTTTAACAGTTAACTTCCTGCACTACTTACCATACACTGATACAGTTAATTGTTCCTCCTCCAAAACCACTCAAAGCTTCAGAAGTCTATTCACACAGAAAAAAAAATATACAGAAAAAAATTAAAGCACACACATAACAAAAACCAACAGTGTTTATGAAGTTACAGCCGTGAGGGGTAAAACCCAATAGCAAATTTAATTTCCTGAAATTGTTGGGGTTTTTTTTTCCAGCTGTTGATATGTGGGCGGCGGGGGTTATACTCCTGTCCATCCTGAGTGGCCGGTATCCGTTCTTCAAGGCGCAGGACGACATGACGGCACTGGCACAGATCATGAGCATAGTGGGTACAGAGGAAATGAAGAAAGCTGCCAGAGAATATGGTGAGACGATGAAAGAGTGTTCTGCATTTGTCCACAAAATGTGAAAAATAAATAAATAAGAGTTGGGATATAAAAACCTTTAGGTTTTTGGTATTGCTTACAGTCCAAAATGGTTTGGTTTGAAACCACAAGTTACTACTGTCAACAAAGCTTGTCCTGCTGTTAATTTACTTGAACCATCTGAAGCAACGAATAGTGCACTGATTTCAAAGCACTTAATGATTTCAAATTTGTTTTTCTTTCACAAAGACTGATGTCAAATGAACGTGTTATTCCATATTTTTTTCTGGGCAATAATTTGTGACCTTAACACAACAAACGAAAAGCTTTATTTTTGGGGTCAGAGGTCAAAATTAACCCGAAACTATTGGGAGAAAAAAGAGAAAAGTATTTTCTAAATAATCTCATGCATTCCAAGTGATACCCTGAACAAGTTAGTTATTTTTGAACAATTGTAAAACAAAATAAATGAAAAATTGCTTCTAAATGGAAACAATTCTTTCTTGGTAGAATGTCTAAAAAAAAGAATTATGGGGCCCGTGACATGAATCTTACTTTGGAACATATTTTGTGCAACTTTCTAATCCTCTTAAATGTATGAAAACTATTTGATATCCCCTTTTTGGTTAATTTGATTGAAAAGTGCACTATTTTAAAAATTTTAAAATGTCCATGCTTTTCCTGACAACTGAGGGCGCTGTTGCTGTGATGTCATTTTATGAAGACGCTGTTCACTTTAGGGATTTTCTGTTGAAATTGTGAACCCAAAATTTGCTCATTAAAAACATTTGTAAGAAAACTTACATTGGCTTACTGTCATGTACTGAAACGATGAAACACCCAAAGACAAAAGTAAAGTTACGACAGCAAAAAATCCAAAATTCTGGCAAGTTTTGGTGCTGAAATAGATTTAACATTGAGGTTTCTACCTGAAATGACATCACACTTTTGCTCATGAATATGGAAATTTTCATTAGCATAGAAACTAAAAAGGCACCAAAATGCCCTTTAAAAAATGGCAACATGAAAATGAGGTTAAATGAGAAACAAAGGTGCACTTAGAAAATTGCATTACATTGGCCCTTTGAAATTAATAGACGCTTTTCAGTTAAAATTATTTAGTAAATAAAGGAAATGTTTTCGTTTTGAATTCAATCACATAGGTAAGGAGATTACCTCCAGCGTGAAGCTTCCAGCGATAGATTTAAAGAAGATGTGTATTCAACTCAAGAAGGGAGATGCTGGTTTCTCACCACCGTCCAGTAAGAAGAGCAAGGTTATTACGCCAGAGAACGATAAAGCGCCACACAGGAACACTCGAAGGCGTAGCCTGGACAGTCAGCGTCAGACATCCCCGGACGGAACCCCCGACACTTCCCCCGCCACTGCATGCAGGAAGAGGCGCTCCTCACGAAGCCCGCCCTCTAGAGTCCAGAAACAGACAGGGAAGGACTGCGTGCCGGACTCGGCGTACGACTTGCTGCGGCGACTTCTGGACTTGAATCCTAAGACAAGGATAAAAGCTGACGAGGCACTCAAACATCCATTTATAGTCGAATGCTGATTAGGTTTTTTTTTTTTTAAATTGAAAGTTTTGGACCATTCCGAGTTTGAACATTCCTTACTAGGTCCCTTGGACTGTTAGTTATTGCATTCAAGTCTAGTGCACTTTTTCAAATGAATAATACGATTGGGTAAACATTGATAATTTTTTGTTAGAATGATATACTGTAATTCACAAGTCATTTTAAAATGCTTCGCTAGGAAGTCAGAACGGCGTTTTTTAAATGCAGATACCAAATGTTTTGTACAGTGTTTAATAAAGAACTTTTAATTTTATAAAGAATGCACCTCGTTTGTGATATAGTGGTTTTGTCTCGAGAATTTGAAAGTGTGAAGCTTTATTCAACAATTTAGAAGGAAAATTTCTCTCAATGGCTGTTTGAAATGAAGTTAAAAGGACAAAACAAAATGACTGAAAATGGAACTTTTTCCCTCTTAATAGTTAAATCTGTTTATTTGAATACTTGCCAGTTATCACATTTCCATACAAAAGTTAATCTACAAATAGAACTCAGTGCGTTTGTTTTTTTATGTTATTCAATAGATGTGACAAAACACAGTAACTGATCATTTTTAAACAACTTCCACATTATTTTTTGCACCTAAACTATCTCCCTGAAAACGTGTACAAATTTCATTTACAGCACATGACACCTAATTTATTAACAATAACAAACGCACGTTTTTTTTCCCTAGGCTAGAAGTAAGCGTCTAGTTCTATTTTTATGTTTCGGGAAAAACAACTTCCTATAATGTACAAGCAGACGACGACCAGAAGGATTTTAAAATATTTGAAATAACCTCCAAATGTCTGGTTCCCAATCCCTCACCAACAAGCAAATTTGGCAATCAATGAGACGGGGAACAAGACTTCAGGTTTCGGGCATTTCAAACAAATACAAGTTGCAGTAAAGTCACGGGTCAGATTATAATGTGGGTGGAATTAACTTTAGAAAAAAAAAAATTTAAAGAAAGAACACAGACACTTTTGGAACTGCTCTAGCTAGGGTAAAAACGGGACTAATGCCTCAAATGTCAAAATGAATACATACTTGTATAGGTTCAATACATCCCTGAAATGATATGAATACAATAAAGTTACCATATGGGTTTTCAACAGCCTCCGAAAATCTCACATAGCTAAACCTCGCTTATGAATTTGTGTCTCAATTAAATTTTCATTATTTATCAGTATACATCAACTGTTAAGTCTAAAAATTGGATGGGTTAGGGGGCAAGTTTTGTAGACAAAATATTTATTCGTAAAATATACTTATCAAGAAGGGACTGTCGCAGTGGTCACAGCGTTAATGTAGACCTGAACAATGAATGACAAATCATGCATTTTTTTTGCATATGGATGATTCTTGGGGTCTATTTGGTGGTGGGATGGGATAGTTGCCAATATGTGCACAATTGCATTGATTTGGCTAAATTACTATACAAATTTATGTGAATAACTTTACTTCGATTAGACAAACTGAGAATATATTAAGTGATTCCTAGAAAGTTACTGTCTCATTCAAAATGACAAAACTTTACATTTTGAATGATTTACCAAACTGCATTTTAAGAAGAATTACTTTAAGTTTCTATGGATTGCTAATTCTGAAATGTCACTTGTAACAATTGAGATCAAACTAATTTTTTTTTTCAAACTTTTTTCCTCTTTAAAAATTGTTAACTTTGTATGATTACGTTTTATATGACGGATTCGTTTGCGAGACCAGCTCACGTTGTGCTCCTCCAAAGACGAAAGCAAGAGTTTACCATGGCCCATATTTGGGGGGGGGGGGGATGGTGTAACATTTTATCACATGATCTGGCATTTGCACATTTGATTTTTAGGCTTCAACTCTTGAATATGAAAAAAAAAGTATGATCTTAAAAAGGTATTTTGTAGCAAAAGCATTAATGGCATGGCATAGCATATTCTGGAGGCAATTTACTACTACATGTAGGGTGTAAAAATAAAAAAAAGCAAAAAACGAATACAACTCACAATTTCACCAGCAACTTTTTTCGAGGGCATATGATTTGGAGGGGCATGATTTCTTCAAAACCCTCCAAAGGTTACGCCGTTATTATCTGAATACCAGCGGAGCTAGTTGTCCATTCACACTTGACCAAAAACAACTCACTATCCATTACTGTAAAGCAGCAGCCATCTTGGTCAAGTACCCAATGGATGTACATTACAGATCACCATGAAACAGCCTGCAAGGTATTGGGTACCTGGCTGACTGTTTCGATTCCACAGTATGAGAGGAAGAGAGGGTCTAGTTTATAAAAAAAAAAAAAGAATTGGGGGGGGGGGGTGATTTTCCCAAAGATGGCCGACACTTCAACAGCAGTCAATTCTGTTAGTAACATACCACTCTAAAAGCTCAGAAACAGTCTATTATCTACAATTCTCAGTCTTTCCCTTTCTAAATTGAGGTTGTACGTGTCTACTTTGTGCAAAATATATATACATCTCTTTGTAAAATAAACAGGCAGCATAGGGCTATCTTAACAGCATTTGGTTTTGTTTTTTTTCGAGGATTGATCACAGAAAAAAACAATCTGGCCTCCATTTCAGTTTCTAGTCAACAGGTCTCTCTTCTCCTGACCCTGACCCAGAGGTCAAAGTTCAAAGGTCAACCAACAAAGATGCTAATTCTAAATTCAGAACAGAAATCAAACAGAAATTCAAACTACTTGGGCTTCATCCAGAAGCGTTCTCTTCTACTCCTACTTTTTTTTGTTTTTAAATACATCAGAGTCAGTCGTTTTTGTCTGCCCTACCCTAATATCCAAACTAAAATATTTTAATAACGAAATGCTTACTGAACATTTTAGTTTAAACACCTGAGAATTCAGTCTGGTGGTATCATGTTTATATTTTCTTTTTAAGAATCGAAAGTTACCGTTACAGGACAACTTTTGTGCAGTGACTAGCTGACCATTCAAAGCATCTTGATCAAATATTGCTTCCAACGGTCAACTCATTTTTTTTCTTTTTAGTGGCCAAAGACTTTTTTTGTCAAGGTACAGAAATTTCACAAATTCACGATAAAACTTCGTTCTGTGCATTAATCACCGTGATTAACCATTAAGTGTGTATTTACAACAAAAGCCATCAATGTTTTTTTTTTTAAGTGACGACCTAAATTATACCACAATGCGATAAAAAAAAATCTCGTCAGAGTAAAACTACACAGCATACAGCGAAGTAGATTTTGGTATTTAAATATTGTCCCAATTTTAAGAAACCTTACCTACAATGGTATTAGACCCTTGGCATGCACCGACCCCAAGTTTACATATATATTAGGCGTTTCCAAATTTACATATAAAAAGTAGGCTTTGATGTGGCAATGGAATGCTGATACTATGGACCCCGTGCACGGACAACAGAGGGCGCTTTGGGAAACCCCTGTAGGAGGGGCACACCCCTTAATGTGGCGCAAGACACGCATTCTTAATCTGAATGTACACACCCTGTAGCATCTCGTGAGCTGACGGTGATCTTTGCGTGAACTGACGGCGCTGTCGGCACAGAGCTCAAATAACCCTACCAGTGGCCACCCTTAAATCTCCCTTCATAACCAGCGTGGCCACTCCTTGGGATTTCTCCCAAAGATCTTGGGAATTTAGGCCGGGGCTTGGGAGTTTTTTCGCTGCGCCTTGGGATTTTTTTGTGTATTGAGGACACACTGAAAGTATGGACTGCACATGCGCAAAATGTTAATTGAAGCACGTAGTGAGCCCCATTCACATAAAAATAGGGTCTGTGCTGCTATTTTGATACATCATCATGAGACCTTGGGAAATCGGGGGAATTTTTCTGCGGTCATCTTGGGATTTTCAAATCTGATGAGTGGCCACGCTGTTCGTGACTACTGAGGGGGTACTTGTGCACGGAGACCATAATATTACTTATTAATGCATCTGACTTGCAATGTCAAAAAAACCAACGTGGTAAAATACTCCTACATGTGATCTGGTTATGAGCAATTATATACAGGTCTATAATACACAGGTTATCATTGTTAAACAGGCATGGCCTTACATCTCTTTAAAAAAATCTCTTAGACAATTTGTTTTAATCTTTTTTACATTTTTTTCAGCGAGGGGATATTTTTACATTTGCAGCAATGGGAAGCAGCAACATATTGAGATCCAAGCTGGATTATTTCAATAAACATCAAAACAATTCTGACTGATCAGAGACTAAAACGCAGGGAAAAAAAATCAACCAAATACAAATAATGTAAGGAGAATTAAACAAAAATTTGTTCTGTCCTCAATTTGAATTCATACCAACCCTACTGTTTTAAATTATACAAAATATATTTATATGAAGTTTTTGTAGCAGAATTTTGTTGGTACTTGTACAAAGTGGGTTTTCAGCACGAAAATATATCTGACGGCAACACAAAGCTTACTAAGACATGCATCCGTTTGTAATTGCTCAGTCTCTCCACAAGAAGTGTTTGACGACAACATTAAACTGGACGATTTCGAGCAAGGCCGAGACAAAAATTGTACCCAAATTCCAACAAAAAAAAACAACAAAAAAACGCCACTTTTACTGTTGGCTCGCAGTCCAAAACTTGAAGTACAAAGAACAGAAATTGTTTTTTTCTTTTTTGCCAAGTAGATTCCTAGCTGTAAAATTGTATGTTAATTGAGGTCAGGGGTCAAATCATCCCAGACGCGTCGGTTCCACAATTCATTAATTTGACTTGTAATTTGTGGGGTTTCAAGAAGCCACCTTTTGATTTTGCTAAAATTAGCTTTGATGTGGTGAGGTAGATTACATCCGTCCCTGTGTGTGTTTTTTTTTTATCTTGTTCTTTATACCTGAAGATTTTTACATTTTTTAATTTTTGTAATTTTTAATGAGCTGGTTTTAACACTGCTTGATTATACAACGTTTTGCTTTAATGTACAAGCTTTCTGGTTTTTTTTACCGATACAAGTAAAACAACTGATAGCAGGCAGGGTTGTTCTCAACATAAGTCACAAGTGCGATGCCACTTGAATTTTTGAATTAGTTTATTTAAGCAGTGCGTAGTCATAATGCAGGGGTTGGTACAATGCCTATGGCAAGCCGGCACCAGTGAAAAAAAAATGGTTGTGTAGTTTTTTGGAACAAGTTAGACAAACAATTCTGCTTCACTGAAATGGGCAAATAAGTAACTGGGTGAATATCTTGAATGTTTTGTGGACCAACTTCAATTGATATTCATCAATACATGTACACAAATCATGTATTGCCATGTACTCGTTTCAAATCCGTCCCAGGATCAAATATCATTCCATTTTTTTTATCAAAAAATTGTAAAAAAAAAAAACAATCTCAAACTGCAATGGGTACCCACTTACATGGATTTTTCTGTAAAACTCAGCTGCTTTTATAATATTTCACATTTTCAGATCCAAAAAAAGTCCAAATAATTTTTTCCTGCTACCTTTTCTGTAAAAAAAAGTCATGAAACCATAAGATCTACATACCTATAAAAAAAATAATAATGTTTTAATTGAGCTTCAAGAGAGTTGGAAAAAAAAGGGTTTTCAATTTCTAATGCAGCTGCCAAATATTACATACACATATAATTTTGTTTAAGTTTGTGAGGGGATGCTTGACAAAACAATATGCACACACAGCAGGCAATTATGCGTTCCGATATTGTGCTGCGGCAAACATCGACACCACGTCAAATGCTTTGCACAGAAAGAAATATCCTGAGTTAAAAGAATACTGCTAAAAGTATTGACATTTTGTAAGATGCTGCAGCCATCTTGGATCTTGTACCCAATGGATGGCCATGAGACCTTCCACCTTGATAAAAAGCACCAGCCTAAAAAAATTCAAGATGCCTGCTTAGCTTAGCGCTCAAAATCGATACTACTGCCAATCATTGTGCTGGCCACATCAAGATTTCTGTTTTAAATTTCTATGTACAAATTTATGAGACAATGGCATTTGAATTCTTCCGTACAGTTTTTTTTTTTTCCAGGGTTCCCACAAATATACTATAACAAAATCCTTTCCAACGGCTTATTCCTGATTTTTTCCATGGCAAAATCAATGCTTTTTTCCAGGAAAAAAATCCATGACAAAATGTACGTTTTCCCATGGCAAGGTGCACTTTTCAGCGGAAAACAGTTTTGTCATCAGTGCGTCCGACAGGAAAACTCCCGGAATTTCCTAGGTCCAATTTTCGGAGGATTTTCCCAGTGCTTCTGAAAACCACAGGATTCGGTTTCAACATCTTCTTATAAATATCAGGAGGTAGAAAATATCAAAACTTTCATGAAACACGCGTAGACGTTTGTTGCAAGGTTTTTTTTACAGAGGGCGCTTTTTGATAATTAAAAGAAGAAAAAAAAACAACTCGGGGATACCGGAATGACCACAGGTCTACAACGCATGGGGTAGATTCGGAATGCGTTACCAGTCTGGAGGTCTGACGTTTGCGACCAACGTCCCAAGCCCCCTTCGTGTCTCATACATCCTCTGGTGAGGGGTCCACGTGTCTCATCCCTTGCAGCGGGATTCCGTTGGGGTTCAGCTTGCTAGCCATGAAGCCGGCAGGGATGTGACCGTTGGGGATGGCGCCGCTGGGCACGGTGCCGTTGGGGATAGCGCCGTTGGGAATGTGACCGTTCATCAGGTGGCCGTTTGCCGACGGGGAGCTGGCGGTGCTGGCTGTGCAGGGGGAGGCCGATGGCGGTGGACCGGTGTGCGGGCCTGTCCAAAGACAACACACCTTGTAATAATTTCCATTGCATATTGAAAATCCAGCTATATAGGCCACATCACATGTGAGGTCGTATTGGCAACCAGCAGGCAGACCAAACATTCAAGCATCTTGTACATTTTTACTTTGCCCACATTTAAACAGTTCATGTCAACACTTTTAATTAAACCACTTATATTTCAAGCAATACACACACACAGTGCTGAAGAAAACAGTTCACTGAAAGTTGACACCACGACACCTAATTTTGTAAACAAATGTGAAATGGACTATCGATCCTTTGCATTTTTTGCAGCGATCTTCGAGGTGTATGCTTTGGTTAAAAAGGGATACATGTGCATTCAATGTTACTGAATTCCGATAACAAAAAACACATCAAAGTTGGCTGCTGAATGGGATGGTTTATTACAAACAAACACAGAGGCAAGTTCCATGCCCACCCCACTTTTATTTTTAGGAGGCCAGTCTCATGGTCAATGTAAAATGAAACTTCTTACTGACCCTATACACCAAACTATACATTCTTCTAGTTCCACTTTATATCCTCATTGATCACTGCCGGTGGTAACAGACTCAAACTATGATTTTATGATGGCGGTGCCAAGTTTTTGAGATCCACCTTGCAAGAATCGTGGGAATTTTTCTCATAAACTCCGGCCGCAATCCGCGTACAGTGCTTTTAGAAATTACGTCCATGAAGGGTACAATTTCAGTTAATTTTTTTGTTTAAATATTTGTTTCTTTCAAAGTAATTACATAGTGGACAAGAGAATTTCTGACTTGCTTAAGTCAATGTCACAACCATTCCATATATGGAAGCCTTTACCTGTGTGCGTGTGTATGAACCATAGGGCTCCCATTAGCACCATTCCCATGACAAACGAGGCTACAGCTATGGCTGCAGCTGGCCCTGTGCCTAGTCCTTCAGCTAGAGAGACAGGGAACAAGACCATGTTAGTACCTCATTCAATATCAGGAAAAAAGCATGGTGCCTTGCATTGTTGCTGGTATTCAGGTCAGGGTGCTAGACAAGTGGAAGGCCATGTGTAACTGCCCAATAGGGAGCATATTGTTCAAGGTGTTATTAACATGTTATTACTACCCCTGTTAATCGAGCCAATGAAGCATTCAAGTAGCCATCAAACAACCTGCTGGGCCCAATTTCACGGCACTGCTAAGCACAAAAATTTGCTTAGCACAAAAATAGTCTGGCTTATAAAAGCAATACCAGCCAAAACTCCACGTGATGTATATTGCTAGTGATTAGTATTCAGCTGTTGCTTGCTTAGCATGAAAATCACATGGAGTTTTGGCTGGTAACCTGCTTTCATAAGCATAACCTTTTTTGTGCTAAGCAAATTTTTGTGCTTAGCAGTGCCGTGAAATTGGGCCCAAGGCAGTATACAGCATTATTATCACAATTACAATGTAAATGGCAAGTGAACACACAATAACCATCCCTGCCCTCACTGGTACACACTTTGGTCTGGGTGGAGGGAAGTACCTAGTGATAAAGCATTTTGAGGTGTGTTTGTTCAAAATCTTCTTTGGTATTTTCCTTCAATATCAATTGGTATTTTCCTTCAATATCAATTGGTATTTTCCTTCATGTCAATACTTCAATGAAATATAAGTTTTTGGTGAATTGATTGGTATTTTCCTTCAATATCAATTGGTATTTTCCTTCAATATCAATTGGTATTTTCCTCCATGTCAATATTTCAATGAAAGATAAGTTTTTGTTGAATTGAATGTTTTGGAAAACAAATTTTACCTTCACAATCTATACTTTCATCGTCAATTTCTCCTGGACCTGCAAAACAAAACAAAACAAAACACATATTAACCCTAACCTCACCTAAAGCTACAAAATACTACCAGTAGTAAACTGCAGTATGCAGTACTGCAGCATATAAGTGGGCAAAGCACTCATAGTATATTTGGGTACTTGGTACCTGCATACAAAATTTTTGTAGTACTTTGTAGTATGTGTTATACCCCAAATGAACTATTAGGGAATTAGGGTTACAATAAAAAAAAAAAAAAAAAATTTAAAAAAAATTAAAAATAGAAAAAAAATTGCCCCAAAGCCTCATTATGTTGAGACGGAGAAGGACAAAACCTAATATTTAATATGCAATGCACCAGCACAGTAAACCTCCAACAATTTTTTTTTTGTTCAAAAGAAGGGCAGGTCGAATTGCAGAGTACATTATGCCGATCACAGAAGTAGGCCCAGTTCAACAATATCAGTTGACTTAGCGTAAGTCATCCAATACCCTCTTTCTATAGGCAGATGTCATTCTGATCACAGCTTGTTTATAGTGACTTACTTCCCCCTCCATCAGGAAACAATTTGATAATGGACAACGCCATCTGGAATTGCTTCAAGATTTATTTTCCAGGGAATAACGGGCGACGTCGAAAGGAAATTGCTGGGAAATTGCTCAATTGCTTCAATATGGAGGCGCTGTTCCAACATCTGGACTCTGGTTGTCATAGAAACAATGAACAACCTCTGTTAGATTACTCATTCAAGTAAGCCTTAACCAACACCGTGAGACTTTGCTGGCAATGTTTGCGTTGTTCGCCAAAGTGGAACACCCCCTGATGTGAGTTGAATTACAATCAGTCGGGTTGGTCCAGGAGTACATTTCTCAGCTTTTACCTCAAATGTCCGGGGTGCAATCCCACCTTGCACACCGTGTGGATTTGTGTTTCAACATCTTGATTCCATTTTCTCAGAATGTTCACCAGGGGCTTTCCTCAGGCCTCGCAACCTTTTTTAAAAATGTAGTTGCCCCTCGGGCAGGACTGCTTAAAATGTGGTTTGTCTATTTTTGTGTCATCTTTCAAGATTCTTACCTTTGGAGACGATGGTCCCTTCATTTTGCGGCAGAACAGATGAGGTGGAGGTCTTGTACGGACCCAGGTACAGACTCTGGGTGGGGAAGTCTAACACCAGCCCGTTCTGCTTATTGATGGCAAGGCAGCCGGTGTCCGGATCCATTATACTCTCACACTGTATCAGAGTGGGAAGGAAAAAAGGTGTGGCATGGGTGTGGCACTTGTAACTTCAACTCAACCAAGTATCCATAATCCACTGTACGAGAGCATTCTGGACAGAAAATGAGGGCTTGGCATGGGTGTGGCACATATCAATTTTGATATCAGGATCCAAAATGGTACAGCGACACACAGGACAAACAGATATGATTAGGGCGTGGCATGGGTGTGGTCCTGTGAAGTATGGGTTTGGCACAGACTTCAAGTATGCGATAAGGCAGTTAAATGGAGTGGTGTACATTCAGGTGTTTACTCTTCAGTTTTATTGAATCTTCGAGAAAAAAAAGAGTTCAATCAGATGGAAGTTGGACAGAGATGATACAGGTGGGACATGGGTGCAGCATGGAGTGGAAAGGGGGCGGCACGGATTGACGCAGCAGTAGCATGGGCATAACACGGGCATGGCAAGGTTTTGGCATGGGCGTGGCATGGGCATGGCAAGGGCATGGCATGGGGGTGTCAAGGGAATGTCGTTGGGGTGTCGTGGGTATGTCATGTGTATGTCATGGGTGTCGCATGGGCATGTCATGGGTGTGGCATTGGCATGTCATGGGTGTGGTATGGGCATGGCAAGGGCATGGCATGGGGGTGTCAAGGGCATGTCATAGGGGTGTTGTGGGTATGTCATGTGTACGTCCTGGGCGTCGCATGGGCATTCATGGGCATGTCACGGGGGTGGCATTGGTATGTTATGGGTGTGGCATGGGTAATCCATGGACGTGGTATTGGAGTTCCACAGGTGTGGTCCCATTGTTTCTGTATCTAGCCTTACCACCGGTATTCCCCGGCTGCTTCCTGTGCCATCTCTGGAGCAGATACCCAGCTCACAGTGGATGTAATACAATGCGTCCCACTGCAAGTCAGGCACGTCATAGCTGAACCGCCTGAACTGGCCAGAGGTTGAGACATCACGATGGAATATCAATGTCTCGTCTCTTGCGCATCTACAACATATACAATGACAAACAGAAACACTATTACGATAGAACTGTGACATTTGGGTAGAAAGAGTTAAATTTTGTACCATTTGCTTGTACCATTTGCAGAATTTCAGGTACGAGAAAAGTGTCCTTCAGTTGGGGTGGGGAGAGAAAGAATGCATGTTTCATCTCCACTTACACCAGCATTAGTTGAAGGCATATAGGATCATTTGCGTTTCATTAATTTTGTTCGTTGCCAATAATAATACTACTCTAAATCCAAAGACGACTATTCAAAACCTAACCTGTTGAAGTTTTAGTTATGTAGATATTACATTTTTCAAGAGAAAATTGTGAAAAACCATGCACAACCATTTGATCACGAAACAAGATTTCGTCCATATAGCACTTTATTTCCAAAAATCAGTCAATTGACTGATCGTTGGAAACCACTTACATTTCTTGATTTCTTCTAAATGACAGCAAGCCAGACAGAGTAATTTCGCAGGATGTTTAGTACTAGTAAGATCTTTAATCCAGGTAAGCTTTTTGATAATAATTTGGTAGGTTACCTTCGGGATAAATGCAAACAATCCTGCCTGCCTTTAAGATTAAGCTTATAAGGAGTCTTAGTTATCATTTGCCTTGTTGCTAATTAGCACTTGAGTGTGCCGTGGTAACAAGGGCCGACTGCATCCGGCTGCTCGGGACTCAAATTTGCTAAGCAGAGAACTATTTCGCTTAGAAAAAACTGGTAACCGACCAAATTGTCATATATTATGTACTGTTGTGACTGGTCCCCAGTTGATTTGTGCTTAGCATGTAAGTACGCTCAGCGATGTTCTCTGCTTGGGAGCACCAGGAAATATGGCGATAGGGGAATATGAAATGAGTCAAGCGTCGGACTCACCCGTTGTATATCAGGAAGTGCAGATTGTCAGTAAGCGCCCTGGAGCCGGGTGACAGCCAGCACTGGCTGGGAACGATGCTGAGCTGCAGACTGTCCTTCAGAGCGACCTCAAAATAGACCCGCTCTCCAATCTGGAAAGTAAAGGGAAAAGTCGTCTGCTTCTCGGCAAAGTCGTTGCCCGTGTACATATCCATGGAGATGGTGATCGTGGGCTGGAAAAAAAACAACAGGAAAAGGCAATCAGGGAAAGTGGCCGATTACAAAAGTAAACAGGGTTTATTTTGGGGGGGGGGGGGAGGGAGTGAACAATCCACGAAGTAATCAACAGTGCATATGATGAGGGTCGTCGAGGGCCAAGGGCAATGCAGGGTCTATAATATGTTAATATGGGGGGGGGGGTGTGTTCCAAGTTTTCGACAAGGTAATGACAATACCATACATAAAATACGACATTAGCTTATAAAGAAGACAAAATACCTATGCAAAGTACACAGATGAGATTGTCAATTTCAAAAAAAAAGTCTGAAAACTGGATGAAAGGTTATGAAAGATGCATTTCTTTCCATACTGATAATGTCTTTCCCTCAGATTCAAAAAGTCTAAATTCCGACAAAAGTCTGAAAAATCTCAAGCCTGAAAGTACAAAATAATGTACCAGAGTGCGGGGACTACACCGCTGGTTTCAAGCACTCACCTTTCTCTCACCGCCAAACAAGCCGCTGGTCAGCACCTCTCCTTTGCTGTCGTACTCACAGGTGAAGGGCACTTGGGCGGTCAGGGACTGCTCGTCATCCACCGGTAGTCCGCCCATCAACCTCTCCAAGTCAGACTCCCCGCTCCCTTCTATTACGCTCTCTGCGTTGGAGTATATAACCTAGCAGAAAAGCGACATTACAAGAGTCAGGTTGGCGTAGCGGTACTTTCCTCGCCTTCCACCGCTGTGACCGGGGTTCGAATCCCGCCTGGGCCAATATGTGGATTGGGTTTTCAGTCCCTGCCTGATTCCGTGGGTTTTCCCCAGGATATTCTTCTGGGCTTTTCCTCCCACCTCTACAACTGTAACTTCTTCTCATTGTCTTTTCTCCACAGGTTTCTTCAGGCTTGCGAGCTACAGTGCCTAGGGCGCTTTTGAGGAATCCCTGGTTCCATTACCAGAAATGATTAATAATAATATAATAATGACAAATTTGTTTTATCATTTAAAAAAAAAAGTTTGCCCCCTCCAACAAAGTCGTCAACGCCTGACAAGTCCTTACAAGTCCATCACAAGTCGTCGAGTTCAGTCACAAGCGATTCAAGTGAACGGTGACAAAGTCATTTCTTTTTCATTGTTTGTTTCCTGTAACTAGCGACCCGACATGGCAATTGACTTGTGATGGACTTTTAACTCTTGTCTCCACACACGGAATTATAAATATTTTCACTTTTCCATTCACGTCAATGGTCTGATGCCTGGGTATCTCATTTTCCTTGCTCCCTCCATGACCCAAAAAACACCAAAATTAGCTTTCTGACTATTTTCAAATGTTGTCACTTTTTCCTCCAGGCATAATTTTTTCGGGGTCCTACGATGGAAAATCAGCAGAAGCAAAACTGCAAAAAAGTACACACTGCACGTCAATTAAAATGTTACCGGGTGGGACTCGAACCCACGACCTCACACAAACTGCAAACTTACCTCATTATGATACACCACTTGTCCGGTATCCATCACCGTCATGGTGGTTCCACACTGATCCCGATGCGTATCGATGACATAGTAGTCACCAGACTCCACCGCCTTGCAGGAGTGATCCCGGAGCATCATGTTGCCAGCTGACAGGTCAAACGCGTCCATGACTTTGCGTAGTATGCGGACCGTGATGCCGTCTCGCCGGCAGTCCGTGTCGGTGTACTGGGTGATGATGGAGAGACGGGAGGGAGGCTCTCTGGTGGGGGCATTCTTGTGCTCTATGGGGGGCGAGGAAGTGGGGGAATATAACAGGTTACACGGGGTACCGATTTAGCACCGATGGCAAGAAAAATCATGAAAGGGGTTCAAATTTGTAATCAAGTCCTCATAAAATCTTCCAGTCCCATTTGAAGTGACGGTTTGTTTTTTTAAATGAACGGTGACAAATGTATTTTGACATTGTTCACCCCGATAGCTGTTACCTGATTTGTGATTTGAAATATGATTGACTTATGTGACTTTTAAATGGTACTTGTGATTGATTTGTGAGAACTTGATCTGTGAGGACTAAACTTGTGAGGACTACAATTGTGAGGACTTCACTTGTGAGGACTAGACCTGTGAGGGCTAGACCTGTGAAGACTAGACTTCCGAGGACTAGACTTGTGAGAACTAGGCTTGTGAAGATGTCGGGACTAGGCTTGTGAGGATTTGACTTGACTTGTGAGTACTAGACCTATGAGGACTAGACCTGTGAGGACTAGGCTTGTGAAGATGTGGGGACTAGGCTTGTGAGGATTTGACATGACTTGTGAGGACTAGACTTGTAAGGAGTAGACTTGAGGACTGGACCTGTGAGGACTAGACTAGAGGACTAAACTTGTGAGGACTTGAATTGTGAGGACTTGGCTTGTGAGGACTTGACCTATGAGGGCTAGACTTGTAAAGACTAGGCTTGTGAGGACTAGACTAGAGGTCTAAACTTGTGAGGACTTGACTTGTGAGGACTTCACTTGTGAGGGCTTGACTTGTGAGGACTACACTTGTGATGACTTGACTTGTGAGGAGTTGACTCAGCTGCCAACGCATCTCTCACCTATCGAGATGATGAACTCATTGGCAGATTCTGCACTGGTGAATGACGTCAGCGGCCATTCTTTCATCTCAGCCCATGCCATGAGTCCCGCGGTGTTTCTCGGCAGCTCCTGCTCCTCAACTCGATTCATGAAATCTTGCCGCATGTCTACGCTATTTGGAGTCTGATGTAACAAGAATGGATATATCTCTCAGAAGACATACATGTATAACTTGTGTGATTCAGCACAAATACATGCAAATGACTCATAAGTGAGCACTTAACGAAACAATTGTTATGTACATGTAAGTATAATTAGGATTAAGATGCATTCTGTAATTGACCTATCGCAGTAGAATCGCATGAACGCTGCTTGTGAAATATTGTTCGATTCACATGATTGTACAAATTGACGCAGAACGCGCAAAGTCTGAGACAAACAATCTTAGTGTACAGAATTCCCCATGGGGTTGTCTAAGGGGCGTGGTTAACTCGCAAACGGCAATATGTCAAGTTGTCCCCCTTTGTACTTGACCCCACTTGCTACCTTTGTGACATGCTTCAAGTCTGACAGACTGATGCACCATGGTATTTTCTAATCCCTATCGATATTTTTTTTCCCATAAATTATTCTTCTGCAGGGTTTCTCCTACCGGTACCTCTGAAAGTGAATTTTTCCATGGAATCAAATCAGGCAGCCTGGGTTTGTCTGGCAGAAATTTTAAAAAAGAAGGGAGAAAAAATGCTCAACACACCATGACTTGTAAGAGTCCTCGTCGTCTCCCCGGGTTAACCTTCCAAGTCGCATTAGCCTCCGACACCAGGACCAGGATGATATCACACGAGCTGTCTGTGCTTCGGACTGGCTGCAGCTCCAGGGTCACAATCGGTGGATCACCGGTATCCGTGGCAAGGGCACCGGCGACGTCCCCCAGGAGAACCACATGGAACTCCGGCTGTAATGGGCCCAGGAGATTTGGAGCCTGACAGCCTGTGATTGGCTGCTCAAGGACGTGTCTTGCCGTGAAGTCCGGAGTTTGAAAATCTGACTGAATGATGCAAGTCGGGGGACTTGTAATACCTGCAAAATGGAAACCAAATCCCACGTGCAATGATCAACAAAAGGAGCAAATAAATGTAGGAAAGTAGACTAAATCTAGGGCATTGCAATCACAAAAACCGTTTGCCTTGTAGCACTAGCAAAAAAACTCAGGGTGTGCGTCGGGATGTGTATACACACATGATTCTAAGTCGGGTTCCAAGCACACAGAGTAACATTAGGGACAATAGACCCCACAAGTCAATCTTTAGAAATTTATCTAAAAACAGTTTGAAACTGAGTTTGAGATTTCAATAGAAAAAAAAACCACAGTAACATTGTCCTTCCCCCAAGTATATGTGTGTGTGTTAGGGTGTATGCCAGGATGAGCCCATACCTGAACCGACTAGCAGGCTGATGGCGTTCGCATCCAACACCTCGCTGAAGGTGCTGACGCTGCCGTAGTGAGTCTGAGTGAAGACTAAGAGGTCCGAGTTGTTGTGAGGTAGCGCTGCACATTCGACGTTGACTGACAGCGAAATGCCAGGATTCCACGAGACAGACTGACACGAGTGGAGAGGAACCTGTCAGAAAATTGAGGTGGTTGGCAAGCATGAGAGGGGTGGTGATGAAAAAAAAAAAAAAAAAGGGCACAATTGATTACTGATCAATCTCAATACGATAAACCCTTACCCTACTAGACCCTCCAACGCATGCCAATATGTGCCTCAAGAAAATCTCCTATGTTTTTTGCATGGCCCTCCAATATCTGCCATGTCATTTCAAGGGTAACTGGACAGGCACTCCAATACATGCCACAGAGAACAATGAGAGTCCTCTGATAACAAAGTGAGTGCCCCCAGCTGGTCAGTATCAGGCACCCTTCAGGGCCTCCAACTCCTGCCAATTGGAGCCTTCACTGTCAAGATAGTTTATCTGCCAAAAAACTGCAGCTGGAGGGCATTGGCATAACCAACTGACATGCAGTAAACTACCCTCAGAGAGTAAGGGTTAATGGAATTATTATAATTAAGGTTTTTTGAATTACTTTTTGTGTTTTTGTTTGAGTATCTTTTTCTTTTCTAGCGGGAAGGGGGGGGGGGCTTTTTTGCTGGTCTGTGTACACATTTGTAGTTTAAACATAGTAAACGGATGGACTTGCGAGATTCTAGCATTCAAGCATGTATTAGCCATCAGTCAAGCGACATGTCAAGGCAGTGACAATAAAAGCCTACGTTTTGGAATTCGTCCAAGGCAATGCAACATGCCAACACAATCCTAGAGACTGTCTAGCCAAACACCCAAATAGAGTTAACCCCTAGCCTACCCTGTTTTGACCCCTCATCCCCCCATGGCATTCTCCCTCGATTTTAAGTGTACAAGAAGACCCGGCCTAGATTCAACTCCCAGTACACGATTTGTTGCTCATCAATCAGAGAGAACAGCCCAGGGCTCAGTCTATGGTTCAACTCACTGGGGGAACATTCTGGGCAAGACGCGGTCCTCAACAAGGACTGTCAACTCAACCAGACTAAAAACAAAGAAGGTGCGAAAAATCAACAGTCCAAGTATTGTCAAAACATGTTTAAATGAATGACAAGCACATTCACCTTTACTTCCCCAGGTACCTGTTCACCCTATCAGAAGAGTCGAGTATGAAGAGAGACCCTTGTCGAATGTCTGCGAATCACATTCTGCAAGTCTGACCGGAGAACTCTTCTAGTTAAACATTTTGGAAGCAGCCCACTTTGCCATATTTGAACAACTTTGCAGCAATGAAAGTCTGGGCAGTTTCTGAAGGGCAATGTCAACCCAACTCTCTTAGGTGTGTTCTTCTTGAAGGTCGGCCCTTATGGGGGGGGGGTAAAAAGTTAGTCCCAAGTGTGGCTGGACAAGATGAGGTTGAGTGCTTTGCATAATGTTGCAAAAAAAAAGGATACTTTGCACCTTTCTGATCTTGTCAATTATCTACATGAACAAGTCCTGGGGGGGGGGGGGTGTTTTCCAAAGATAATAGAATGCATCTTCCGAGTTCAACTTAGCTGCCCCTCAAAAGGTTATCAAGATCGCTTCTCAAAAGAACCATGACTGAAGGTACATGTAGATCCTCGGAAGCGTAAATAACGTGACACATTATTTTTTTATCTAGCTCGCAGTTCTCATGGGTTCTTTTTTTTTTTTTTTCAATTTTGGTATTTCGAGCACATTTAATACGGTTACCCAGCGGGCAATCGGTGTTCAACAGGTGGTACACCAGGATGCACAGCAAAGTTTCTGGGTCACCCTGGGTGACTGAGTGACTAATTCTGCACCCTGGAATGTGTTCTCTCTCTACTGCAACACCCCTAGCCTTCCTGTATTTTTGGGTCAAACCCTGTAATCTGTGTAAACCTTTTTTTGTCTGTTTGAGATTTACAAAGAATATGTATGCACTCTTGAAATGGCAAAATTGAAATAATGGTAAAAAAAAAAATTCCACTTTATTTGATGTCAAACGGCCAGTCTTTATTGCCCTTTTTATGACTTCCAACCTTGAGAATATTCAATTTCAAAGAAATAACAGCAACCGGAAATTCCACTGATTAGAATAAACACTACCCAATTCTTGAAATCAACCATTTTGTGAAAAGAAATCTGCTTGTTGGGTTCTGTTAAATTCGACAGGCCCTACACTCTGCCACTGCCACATTCTGTAGCATTCAGCAATGTTCCTGTAAACAGGTACTTAACCTTAGGTTAATCAACCACTTTCTGAAAGTAAATGCTGGAAAGAAATGTAAATGAACTGTCTGAGCCATGTTGGAATTCAGAGCCAAATTTCGAATTCAATATTGAGGTGCCTAACTGTATGGGTTTTTTTTCTAATCTGGCAATATGTTAATTCCATTTAACCGGACTATATTGGGAAATAAACTGAACTATATAAGAAAATAAGGAAAAAATGTTGCAACTTGACGCCACTTTTTTTCTTCATATATCATCTCAATGAAGGTCATTCATTGCAAAAATGATGATAAGACATGAATCTGGGACTGAGAAACATGTCCCATTTTGTTAGTAATACTTGGAAAATTTTTCTTGACTCTCCATAGACTTTGTACACAATCACGGAAGTGGCGTCAGGTTGCAACATTTTTTCCGAAAATAAACTGCGCTTTATTAAGAAACAGACACTTTATTAAGAAACAGAGATTTCGGTGGAAGGGGGGGGGGGGAGGGGGTAAGTGAAGTGTGTAATGCATTATGCCAGCTTACCACAATTTTTATCGTAAATGAGGGTATGGATAGCATATTCTCTCCTTCGACACTCCACCGGACCGGCTCGGCCGAGTTCAGAACGAAAACGAGGGACCGGGCGAAAAATCCCGCCTGTTTGGGCTTAAAGTGAAAGTCCACGAGGTTTTGCGGCGTGCTGCTCTCTGAGTCTGTGGCTGAGGTAGAGGTGGGAGCGGTTGAGGAACGGAGGTTGACAACGTGGACTTCTACTACGTCGGGATCCGAGGAGGCCGCACTGACGCAGCCTGCTAGACATTGCCGGGGTTGTTTGTCATAGGCGTGGACGCGGTGCGATAGCGGTGACGTCTGTGGAGTGCACGGCTGGCTACATGATACACCTGTGATGCACATTGACAGGTAAAAATATTAGCGGAACGCTGACATTGTAAGGTAAAGATTCAGTCTGAAAAGAGTTAAGCAGCGCTGGGAGTCCTGACCGAGTCACTCCTGCACTAAATAGCATTGTAAAATAGAAAATTGCACCGAGTTAGTTAAATTGCACCAAATTATGAACATGTGCGTACATGTACACGTTCATCTACACAGCTAGTAAATCATTTGTTCACCAAATGTAATTGTACATGTACACATTCAAAAACTTGAAAACACAACGTGTTCAGATCAAGCTCCCACATGTGTACATGTTAATACTAGTCACATGTGCATGGCCATAAACATGTACCGGTACACACACATGCACAGTTCATCTGCAAGTAATTCACATCCATTGTAAATTCGTATATTATGATAACTTCCAATCAATATTTTGTAGGATATAAAGAAAATTATTCCTCAACTCCAGGTGTGACACGCAGGTTTGTCACATGACAGGTTTATCAAATGAAACACCAAATGTGATTCAATTCTTTTTAATTCAGATTTCTACTCAAACCACCAACAACTTTCAACAACAAAAATACACATGGTGCAGTTGCCAGCTCGAAGACGTTTCATGAGCTGTGTGAAATAACGGCCAAAAACCAAGAAAAATTTAGTTTACAAAATTTGTGTTCCCCTTTTGCATCTTTCTTCTCCTAACCTGTTGTTACACATGTAGTTACACAACAATGTAAAAATATAAAATAAAAGAAAATTTAATCCAAACGAATTCAATGCAGCCAATTTGTAAACTATTCAGAAAGTAATCCTCATTTGGAATTGGATGTACTGCAGACCAACCTAACTAGTAATACGCATGGCTCCTTTACAACTCAACAAAGAACATTAGTCATAAATGTTAAACATCGTCTGGATAATATCTCATTGCCCAGGGAAAAAAAATGCATAAATTCTGTCCTGGCTTAGAAATACTTAAAATATCTCTGATGTTTATAAATTGTAAAAATGTAATTGCACCCTGCTGATGTATAAATGCCACAGCTGCAGAACATTAAAAAAAAAAAAAAAAAAAAAAGCAGGAAAAAAATGTCCGAGGCAGAGAGCAGATAAAATATTTATCAAGGCTATAATATCTGGGTTTGTTTAGGAACTGTCCAAAGACATACAATGGTAATTCATGTTTGTTTATCTTGACTGGGATGAAAGGCCGGGGAACTTCAGATCTACTTGTCATGAAACGGGTCATCTTTACAGTAACACGTACCGAGGATCAGGCCAATGTTTACATGCATAAAGTTGCAGTGAACTCAAAACTAGCAAACAGCTTGGGCCAAATACTAGTGTCATGTTGACGATTCGTGTCAAACTTTATCAGGTTTGTTTTACAAATATTACGCTTTTTCAGAATGTAGAATGTAGACACGAGACGTGTACATTTAACGATTCGCCTCGGGTGTTAAGCGCCCCTCAGGTGTTAAAAACAGCATATATCCCACATCACAGCAGTCAACAATTGTTTTGTTATATCGTGCCCATTAAGTCAAAAAGATAGATGGTGGTAATTTACTACCGGTATGTGAGAAATTATTGAAATCACTGCGATGTAACCTTTGATAACTGCAGGCTTTCCTGCCGGACATGAGACTTCATAGAGTAGTTGCAGCTGTTCTCAGCCGCAAGCGCATGGGCACGTTATACACGGGCGAGCAATGCAGTAGTCGACTCTCGTTAATACAAACTCATTCGGACTTAGCCAAATTGTTTGTTATATCAGAATTTTGTATTAAAGGGAATATACATCATTTGCTTTTGCTGTAATTTTCAGAAATGGATGGAATTGGGGGTTGGAAATATATAGCAAATATAGTTACACTGACTTTTTTGAGGTTTTGGGTTCGAAAATGCTATAAAAACCAAGAAAAACAATCATTTTCCTGTAGTCTGGTTCCCTGACTCCATATAAGAAGAAACAGAGCAGTTTACATACATTGGGGAATTGTAAGGTCAGGGAACCAGTCTAGCTGGCTTGTACCCGTTCATAGGTGTGTAATCGATTGCAAATAAGTGCGATGGTCAATTGGGGCCAGTATTTGAAAAAAAACCCAGTTTTTTCCAACACTGGTCGGCCGCCCAGCGTTGGAAATTGATACAAAAATACCACTTTTCTTGAAAATGACAGTATACCAGGTGCCATGATTTTACAGGATGCTTTACACTGTCATTCACTAAGCAAGGTATATGTTGTATTTTCCCTTTAAGAGGAACATCAGTCCCATTCATTGTGCACATAAATGCACAGTCGGGACCAGGGCTTTGTGTTTGCTATAACCAGAATTTGTATAACAGTGTTTGTACTAACCGAGAATCGACTGTATATTCTAAAAGTTTGAAAGAACCGTTGCAGAGAATTATTGTCATGAAAAAAACAAAACACACAAGAAGAACAAAGAACACACCAAAGGGTGTCTTCATTCAACAACATTTTGGCGGAAAACCAAATTTCTGTCTTTGTTCTTGTCTAAAGGCCAAACTCACTAACTGCCCCTAAATAACATTGATGAGAGCCAAGTTCTACCTACAATGTATGTGAAAGACAACTCTACAATCATTTCCCCTTACTACGGTGCATGTATCATTTCCAAAAACGAACTAGTGTCTGTATTTAAAGATATTTAAAAGCAACAACTACATGTCCATGTCCCAATTTCTCCACAAGTCCACTGCGCGCAGTTGGTGGTCTATAAAACTAGGTCTTGGCTCTGGACCAAAAATAACGCTCCCTAAGCCCCCAGTAGTTTGTCATGTTTCTCATCCTGCACTGGATTTAAAATGCTGCTGCTTTTTTTCCCCCTTTACAATTTGCAGATTCTATTAAGTTTATTAAGAGACGCATATATTTTTGGTAGCTATTGAATGCCTCAATGTTGTAACAGATACCGATTAGAGACAAGTTCGGACCAGAACACGAAGAAGGGAAATTGAGGTGGGTCGTGATTGTCTCTTATCCCTCAAAACAAATCAGTTTTTGTAGATGGCCATACCGCAGCATGGTTACCCGCACTGAAGGTGAATATATGTACATGTTAATACATGTACATGTAGGTTCCTGATGCAGGCATACAATACATGTACACGTACTTGAACTTAAAAGCATTAGCATATATGTAAGCAGCCAATTATCTATGTTACTGGGTCACGGAAGGGTAAAATATATGGTCGGCCAGGTTTGGCAAAATCCAATGCTCTTTTTTTACCTTCTCTCACAAATTTCCATGTTTTGTTTAAAAATATAAAAACAACATTTACCTTTGCTAAACAAACATGTGCGTTGTGCATAAACTGACACGTTATTGGGACAAATTAACTGTAAAAAGAGCAATTCCACGGCAAAGTGGCACAGCTAAAAAGGTGAAAATCTATGAAATCTTCACAACTAAGCATTACAACCTTAAATGTGGTATCAAGTTTAACAGGACAACAAGATCTTTCATTTGAGTGGTGTGCCACTGAGATAGAATATGAAAAAAAAAGAATTGTGTAAAAAAAAAAAAAAACCTAGCTTTTGGGGCTAAAATTATTCATTATTAAACAAATTCTGCTTCCGATTACATGGCATTTAAAAATAGGGTAGGTACATGTACATGTAGGTAGGGATTTTTTTGGGGGGGGGGCAATTTTTGTGTGTACAATCACATGGAGGTGTCTGCATGTAGTCACGGGTAAAAGGTAGTAATTGATGGTTCAGATTTTTCCCTCATTCCACCACCCCCCCCCCAAAAAAAAAAATAAGGTAGGGGCTGTCAAAATAGGGTAGGTAGGGTAACCGGAAGCAGAAATCTATTTATTTATTTTTTTTTTTCCTAATCATTTGGCTACTTGTTTTCAAAAATGCATGTGTTATTGTGAGTTCATAATCTACCGGTACATGTATGCTGATAGAGATTATTTGTGAGAAAAATCCACCCTAAATGCCGAGACTTTATAGAATAACAGCGCAGACTTGACGGCAGACGCCCCTTTAAACATAACGTGAGTAACCGTGGAATTGCCCAAAAGGAGGCTATCCATGAGGCCTATATGGTCTACATGTACAACATGTTCTACTAAGCCAAAGCATAATAAAAAACACAATATAAGTACCGTACTGGTCCATGTGTACAAAATACCGAAGTCTGATACATGTATGTATGTATATGGGTCATTCCACTGGGTTGGGAAGCAGTGCATGTTACATCCATGTATTAGGACCTAATAATTAGGTTATATTATTAAAAGTATCAATGCATTCTAAACAATTGCTCAACATAATATTTGTCTTAAGGTGTTTCAATACTTGAGAAAGTTTGAAATCATTTGAAAGTACTTTGACAAAAATATGAGCAAAAATGTATTAATTCGGATGTAACATTGACACCATGTCAATGTTAGGGGCCATTCAGAATTTTCATTTTAAAATTTCGACTTTTTTTCCAAATTATATTGACCCACCCACCCACCCCTAATTTCGATTAACAAAAAACTGATTTGTTAGGCATAAAAAAAAAACCATACATGTACATGCATTACATCCCACTGGCGAGCCTGTGCCGGTTGCGTGTCCTTTCGGAAAAAATGTACAGAACATACAGGGGACGAAGTTGAAAAAGAAACGCAATATCGGAACGCTTGCGCGTAATTCAGGCAAGTCAAAAGATCAATTTTTTGGGGGGCTCTTTTTTTTCCATGAAAAGTGAATTTCGATTTTCAATTATTTAGCTTGACCCAACCACCCACAATTTGGAAAAATAGTCGAAATTTTAAAACATTGAAAATTATGAATGGCCCCTTACATCCAAAAATTCTTTTTTTGCCATATTTTACACGTATGTAAAATGTTACCCAAACTGACATTGCATATTTACAACTGGACACCTAAGCACCAAGAAAAACTTTTGTTTTGGTATAGTCAGGGTTCAAATATAGCAGAAACAATACCTCAAGTGTGGATGTAACGGTGTAA